GGAGCAAACAAAGAAGTCATGTGACTTCTAACAGGGTCGCAACGCGACGCGATTCTGTGTGGTTCCATCCATGATGCATTTGCTTCTTCATCAGGACCCACCAGCTGGGGTGGTCGATTTTCCAATGTAATTAAACGGTTAGATTACGATACACCCTTGATTTCGTGCAGCAAAAATACCTGAATTGCCTCAACTTCAAGGCCAGTTCCCGTCAACGAACCTAGGACCACATCCTCGGAGATAGCATTCTCCATATCCTCAACCGAAATTTTTCCAAGCGAGAGAGCCCGGTTTGGGGTTGAAGTCATGTCCACGGGGGAGTCGAGTCCTCCTGTTAAGAATGCCGCCACCCAAAGAGCTTGGACCTCTGCAACAACGGCTATAGTTGATGATAGAATAACACCGAGCGTTGCAAAGGAGCGGTCGCCTCGTGCGACTAACTCGGGTGCAACCATACGGCGGAATAGCCGATATGGCACCAGCTTGTGAGGTTCGGCCCATGAGAGAGGATTCCGATCTGTGAGAGCGCATCTCGTCGCATTTAAAGTCTTCCGGATCATGATCTCAGAACGTCGATCTAGATCTTCCCAGTGTTGGATACGGCTATTGATGGTAGTTTCCAGTGGTCCATTGATTCGTTCCGGTGTTTCTGCTGGAATTTCGGGACTCTGGCGAATTTCCTCGCCCCCTGAGTCCACCAAAGCTGACAGCCCCAGTTCTAGACGGAGACTTGCAGGTTCAAACCGAATCGGAACTATTGGCTTATATCCGGTCGCGTAGATAATCAGGTCAACTTGCTCGATACAACTGCTGTCCGCCAAATGCACAGAGGCCTTTGTGGGTGAATCTGCGGTTTTCTCTGGCCTGGTGGCGACTATCTCCATGATGGCTGATCGGTGCACGTTGACATGTGGCAATCTAATCGTTTCCCAGAGGTCTCCTTGATTTGCAATGCCAATGCCCGATGCGCACGAGACAACACTAGAAGTCATCAATCACTGAGTATTCCGATTGCCATCTCACTGGACCTACCTGTTCTCTGGGCGAAGCTTTTCCATTTTCGGATCTGAACCATACTGCGCCATGTCCTCCAAGCCTTTATCAACCGATCGCCAGAGCCAACGAATCCACCATCGGCCAATTGGATTGCCATGGAACAACCGCGCTAGCCATGAGCCCTCCCAGTGCAGACCCCCACAAGGTCCCAGAGACAGACGTTTTGGTGTCTTGTAGCAGCATGGGTTGAGATGGGTGAGAAGTCGGCTGCTCGCAGCCTTGTCGCTTGCAACGGTTTCTCCTTTCAGGAGAGTGGACATTGGCGGTACCATCCACGCGGGCCCCACACCTCGATCCCGGATGATCCAGTGTACTTGGACCAGATCTTTCTGTGTAGACTTGAGGTGCAGCTTTGGCTGGTTGCGATGTAGAGTCGCGAAAAAATGCACTAGATCAAAGGCTGATTTTGCACCCCCATAAATAGCCACCGATCGCAGTTGTGGGAAACAAGACTCTATGACTGGAATGCTAACAGTCTCGGGCTTGGTTGCTTTGAGTGGCTGATATCCTAAGTATTTTCTTGCCCAGTCGCCAATATCCTTGGCATGGATGACGGGAGCAGGGTTATCGGAGGCCATTGATGATCCCTTTGTGTTGGGTAAATTTGGTACCGAGGTAAGTCCTGTAGCCAGTACCAACTTGTCGCAGATAATGGTGATATGGCGACCCGGGGACGTGGAAACACTGATGTTTAGCTTCCACTCTTTGGTGTCTAGACGGCTGATGTTGTCAACCTAGAGATCAATTAGAACCCCTGCAATTCGGGAACGATCCGAGAGTATCTTACCGTCCAGTTCAATCGTATGTGTTCTTCGAGCTGCCATTTCTTAACCCATGCACGAAGATATCGGTTGATCTTCCAGCCTGCAATGAACTGATTATGTGTATTATCCGCATCTTTCTCTGGAACAACGTCGGAAAGAGGCAGATCACTGAATTCATAAAGTCCATATGAGTTCTGGCTCAACAAATTTGGGTAAAGTCTCTCCTCAGCCCAAGTGCCCCCAATATCCGAAGCAGAGTCGATCACAAGAAGACGACTTTCGAAGGAGGCTGCTGGGGGAGCATCGATGCTCTCTGTAAAATAGGCAGGAATTTCAGCGATTTCATCGGTACTTTTGGCTGTGCTTTTATCATCAAATGCTCCCATAATTTGCAGATACGTCTTGGCCGCGATGAGACCGTAGAGACCTAAACAAGTTAATCAACGTCCAATCTGAACAACTGTTACCAACCTGCTCCGACTATCACGACTCGTTCCATAGCTTTTATGATTAGAGAGGAAGGAAAAAGGAGAAGGGGGAAGGGGGGGGAGAGAGCATTTAATTTGGAAGTGTACAATGAAAGAGCAACAATACGAAGGAAATGCTCGGAGATGTAGTGTTAATATTGTTCCTGTGGGGGCACCGCAACAATGAAAATCGCTTCAATCAATCAATCATCAATCAAAGTTCAATTAACCTGTTGCAGTCTAACTAGTTGCGTATGACTATGCAGGCGCTTCTCCAACCGAAGCAAGAACTCGAGACCCAACGCCGAGCGGGATCGCTCCCAGAGTATACAGATGATGCCGAAGTGAGGAGTGCAGAATCAGCCCATTCCCGTAACCCGTTCAACCCATACCCGCAAAATGAAAATCGCTTCTCTTACTCCATAAAGAGTGAAGAAACATTAGAGAATAACGAAATCACGAATGTATTACAGATTACATCCACTGAAACCATTCGATCAAGTTCCGAAAACTCGTGCTGCAAAGTAGTATCATTTATCATATCAAAGGAAAAATTCGCCAATCCTCGTTGTCACTCACACTTGAACAACGCTGATGTTCAAGATCAAGGCCACGTAATTGACTTGTGATGATCTCAGACCTCCTCCTCTTAGATACCTCACAAACGCTCTGCCATGTATTCTGCCAGAATTATCCAATCTGGAACGTCCGGCATTGCTGCTCCACCCCCTGTGGTTTGAAACGACCACTCAGCCAAAGGACCTATATCGATTGAGTCCGAAATTTCGTCAATGTTTCGAAAATTTGGGGCTATGCATCGTCTCTGGTCTTCATGCCCCATCTCTTGGTAGTCCCATACATTGTTGAAACCATAGATCTCTGTCATCATTTTCTCCATTCTACAAGCCTGGTAGAAGGCCCGACCACCCGAGTGGCGTTTGTCTAGCGCGGCAATTACACCCGTCGACCGATTTCCTTCTGATCCTCATGGTCTAGTCACGGTCTACGGGATGTTGAAAAATAGGTCGGGGATGCCGGGCATGCGCGGCTTACCCTCCGCTCCGATCCTGTGATCGGTCGAAGACTTTAGATTGCATATCCTCATGGGGAGGTATGAGCTACTGGCAATGGCAGTGTCATTGAGATCTAGATGCCCTATGCCTATATTTAGGAACTCACGTTCCACTCTAGATGAAGAATTGACAGAGTTTCAAGACACTAAACACTGGATCTCGTCCCTCGATTAGTCTTTCTATACATTTGTTCGTTCAGCATTCACAATGTCGACGCTTAAGAATTCCTTCAGACTTGGAGAAGTAGAAGGCCTTCCTACCTCCGCCAACGATGATTCTCCAGCTCATCCTCTCCCTGCCTCGTGGTATTCTTCGCAAGATATGCACGAACTTGAGCGACGCGCCATATTCAGCCGGAAATGGCTTCTTACCACACACAAGCTACGTTTTTCTAAGACAGGTGACTGGCTCCGATACGACATCGCCGGGTACGCTTTTATTTTGGTGAAGGATCGTGAGGGCAATGTCAATGCTTTCCACAACATCTGTCGCCACCGTGCGTTCCCAGTGGTAACCGAAGAGCGTGGCACTTCCCAAATTTTCTCTTGTCAATATCATGGATGGTCCTACAGCCTTAATGGCAAACTTGCTAAAGCACCCGGGTATCAAGAACTGGAAGGTTTCGACAAAAGCAAGAACGGCCTTCTCCCGATCCATGTTCATATTGACGTCAACGGTTTTGTCTGGGTCAACCTTGATGCCGGCAAGAAGCCCGAGATCTCATGGGAAGATGACTTCAAAGGAATCGACTTCCAGTCACGCTTTGAGAGGTTTAACTTTGAAAACTACAACTTCAACCACGCCTGGGAGATGAGTGGAAATTATAACTGGAAGATTCTGGCAGACAAGGATAACGAATCCTACTTTCCTTTGATTTTCAATTTCAGCTCACATGCAATGGATATTAGAGACGTCAAATCCACACCTGAGGAGATTGCCAATGGACTGAATACTGCCAGTGCTTACTATTTCCCTAATGCTGCTATGACCGTCTCGTAAGCATACGTGTACCCCAATGTGACCCGGATGATACTAATTGATTGCGCAGGCCGCATTTCTTCTTCATGCAACGACTTGTGCCTACGGGCCCCACCACATGCTCGGTGCGCTATGAAGTCTACCGCAACAAGAACTCTAGCGATGACGAGTTTGACTTCATCAACCAAACTTACAAGCGGATGATGCCTGAAAAGAAATGTCTCTGCGCTGAAACACAAAAGAATGTCAACACAGAGGTCTCTGTGAATGACCAACTCCACCGCACGAAAGAGGGATTAGTCTTCCAGACTCTCGTTCGTAGGTTGATTGCAGAGCACCATAAGCGGGAGGAGGACGCAGGGGAGCAGTTTTGGCCCGCACAACAAAGGCTCCCCAAGGAAGAGGCTGTAAGCAAAGATGATATGGACTTTTGCTCCAAGCTGACAAGTAATAACGGATCAACTTTGACTGCGGGGGGTTGTTGTGGAGGAGGATGTGGAGGTGGACCTCCCACCATTGCAGCTACGGCACCTGAGACTGTGGTGATTCAATGATGTGCATAGTAGCTTTTTTTCTGTCAGTCTATTTGATTTTTTCAGCCGTTAATGTTTTTTTTTCTTCTGAAGAGGACGTGTTACATGCAACCGTGGGATATTTATCAGTGATCACGAGATAGGCACATGCATCAACAGTCAATTAGGCACGTAGATTCTATCACAGGTTGAGCCTTTGCTGGCAAAAGAGAGTATAATTTTCTGGCTGACTAGGCCATTTGGAAATTTATCATATCAGGGCTCGTATTCACCAAAAGAGACAATCCAAGGGATCATTTGACCTTTTTAGGTACAAATTGCACCTCAGATTTCCGATTAGGGAGGAACCTATGGGAGAAGAGACACTCTTCTCCGACTCTGATTTGAGTACATCTCCCGAGGTTATCTCGTTCTCCCCTCTTTTATTCTTGTCTTGTCTATCTTGTATTGTCTATCTTGTCTTGTCTATCTTGTCTTGTCTATCTTGTCTTGTCTATCTTGTCTATCTAATCTATGTAACCGCCATACCCCGCTAAATCTTTCCCACTTTTTTATTTTTCCCAATGATGCCGCGAGAGAGCACTCGCGGAAGGCTGCGTTCCCACGAGGCCTGTCTCAACTGCAGGTAAGCTGATAAACAAATGTCTGTCTGTGAGTGGGAAATAATCTCCACCTAGAAGAAAGAAGACCCGATGTCCGGCTGAGAAACCGTCCTGCTCAAGCTGTGTCCGCCTAAATCAGCCATGCATTTACACCACAATACCCAGAGGGTCCCGGGGAGGGCAATCCGTATGTACTGGCTTGTGGCTGTCAGGAGTTGATCATTGACTTGAATTCTTCTTCTTTTCTACAGGATGACAGGCTAGCATTCCTTGAAGAGAAGGTAAATCTTATCCTAAGTGGCAGACCAACTCAAACACTTGCATCAGAAAAGCCGCAAGAGACAGGAAATGGAATCTCAGAAACACGATTTCCTCTCACAACATATCCGCCATCCATTGAACCGAGCACAGTCAATGAGCCATTCTTTCTCGGGATTGGCCACGAGGACTCAAGCTCTCAGCCGTCATTATCTGCGATCGCCAAGGCTATTGATCTTTACTTTGAATACTGCCATCGACAACCAATTTGGTGTTTTGACCGGAAAGATGTCTCAGACCCAAGTTATCTGTCAGAGGAGCTCGTTTGTTGCCTACTCGCCTTGAGCTCACGATTCTCAAGAGATCGTGACCATTTGCAACATTATGGAGATAGTGCAAGAAGCTTGGTCATGCTTCGCATGGCTAATGGCACAGTGGAGCTTGAAACCCTTGAAAGCCTCTGCCTGCTCTCATATTCCTCATTTCTAGGTAGGAGCCTCAGCCAAGTGAAAAGATTTGAATCGTTGATTGTATTCTAGATGGAGATATACATCTCGGTCGCTTCCATCTTGGTCTTGCGTTACATCTTTGTCGGTCAGCAACGCTGGATCTGGAATCGAGTTATGCCGAGGAAGGTCCTCTGACTGAGCGTAAGAAACGTCTATTCTGGAGTCTCCAATGTCTGGAGCAGTCGTATGGGCAGCAAAATGGGTTCCTTTGTGTACCATCAGAGGCCATGCGCACCTTCCATGCTGCCTCCAGTTGCGACCGTAAAAAACAAGATCGGACAGAGCTGAGACCTCCACCTCTACCGGTGGATGATCTCGGTTGCTCGAAATCAACAGATTTGGGTATTTGGAGCCTAGCAGTCCACTTCGGTTGGGTCTGGAGCAGAGTTCGAGCATATGTCTCCGATTGTGCTCGAAATAGGCTCAAAGAACCTTGGCGGCACGATTCCATGTACGCCATGGTGCTTTCTGACCTTACAGAAATTGAAAACAAGCTGTCTCAGTGCCATCGTTATGACTCGGTCAAATTTTACGAGCGAACTGCAGAGGAGATGAGATCAAGCCGAAAGTACTGGACTCCGTGGCTGAAGCTGCAATTCACTTACCATTGCATTTTGACTGTTCTGAACCATCCTTTTCTCTATATTGTGGCATCACAATACAATGACAATCTGGCAATCCCGAACGCTTTCTGGAGACGGTCATCCGAGTTGGTCTTGCTACACGCTACCTGGCTAGTCCGCATGATAGACATGGTATCGGAGAAGAAGATGCGCCTGATCGATCCATTCTTCGGACACGCGGCCGCCATTGCAGCTACAGTGCATCTGTACTACTGCTGTGCTGCAGATCCACGACTCAAGTACAAATCCAAAGTTGATTTCACAAAATGCCGAAGGTTCTTGAAGAGCTTTGTGTCTTTTTCGACTGCTTGTGGAATCTTGGTGGGTCTAATGAAGCCAAAATCAGCTTCCAAAGCTAACAAACACACAGGATCAAACGCTAGACAAGATGACTCGAATTGCTTCCGGTTCAGAAGACATAGATCATGAATGGGAACCTGAGAAGATTCATCTCAGCATACCTTTAATGTGGGATGTTCTTCAAGTCAACTGTAAACCCAAGCCACACGGAGTGTCCACGGGCGGCTTACTACATCCATCATTGACTCCAACCGTCTCTACAGAGGAGGCGAAGGATAGTCCAGCCTTGACTCTAGAGGTCATTGTTGCAATGTCCCCAAACATTACAGTTAACACTGCGGATGGTGGTCAAGCTGCCCACATTCCACCAACCAAGCCGCATACATCTTCCACCTCAGCTTCTTCTGACCTCGACCTTGGTGAGAAACTTGTTGCGCCAGCCGACAGTTTAATGACCAATACCCCCTGGCTATGGACAGATCCCTCGCAATTTGTTGATTTGGAAAACAATGTGGGATACCTAGATTCCGAATCCACTCTTGGAAGCATTGACGGATTTTCCACATGGTGGGATTTTGGAAACCTATAGGACTAATATGTTCATTGACTTCTGCTACGGCATTCCCGTATGTCTCGGGCCGTAACTCTCGTTCACTTATCTTTTGTCCCAAGGCCCCTATGCGAAAAATAACCCCGTGACGAAAAAAAAAAAAAAAACTACCTAACAAACCCAGATGAAAACATGATTCCCACGCGCTCCCGATCAAGTCATGACGCTGCCACCGTCTTCAACCTCTTGTGCAAGGCAGCAAAGTTTCGCCTTATAGCGATTTCGGTGAACTGAGCTCCAGTTGTTACCACTGGACACTTCTTCGAGGGCCCCTGGATCAAAGAATCATTACAGGGCCGATTGAAGTAAGCAATGCTGTATCGACCACCATAATAGTCACCGGGCTCACTAGGAGCCTTGACACGATTAAAAGTCGATTGGAACTGGTCATCCGACCAGGACATGAATAAATCGCCAACAATGCACACGATCTCGCCAGTCTTGGCCTTCACCTTGGTCCATTCGTCCCCAATTCCAAACTCTGTCACCACCTCGCGACCGGGACAAATTTCCAGCCCATCCTGGCCGTCCCTCTGGGAAAGTAAAGTCAAAAAGTCCAAAGCGGCATGTGCCCCTGCTCGATGATGCGCCTTGCCGTCGGAAAATTCCGGCAACTCAAAGTAATGAAGTAGACACATAGTGGTTTGCGAGTTCGGTCGTCAGATACCATAACAGTCGATAAAGAATCTTTTCTGGAACCCCAGACCCCGTGCATAGCATCTCATCAAATGTTCTGACACTTGTTGGGCGTGGTTCATGAAATCGAGTGAGACGGTCCGGAAACCAGGTAGGTCGTCGTACTTGACCCAGAGATCATCCATATTCTCGCTGAACTGCAACTGGTATAACTCTTTACAGTCGGGCTGCCTGGTAGAAGGCCGGATTTGTGATTTCTTTTCCCATCCAACGTTGTTTGGTTTCCACGGTACAGTTGCTTTGACGTCGTTTGATAGATCGTAGAAACGTTTTGATATTGCAAACTTGGATTCAAGGTTTTCTTTTTAGATTCTATGACCTGTCAAGTTGAAAATTCCGATATTCTCAGCGGCTTCAATCAGTTGATCAGTGATTTCATTTATCCGACCTTCGAAATCGTGCATCGAGACAAGTGGAATGTCTCTATCGACATTTCGGGCTTGAGATGCCTTTCATCTCATACCAGTGCAGGAACTTTACATTTGTGCAAACGGTGATTCAAACAGTCATAGGCAATGTCGCGTGCACACTGGTGGCTCGGCCGAGCTGAAAAGAATTGTGTGGGGTTTCACTCGGATTTCCACGCTATTGAACGGGAAGTTGGAGTAGAGAATCCAGTGATTGTCGAATATTTCAGTTCGAGTGTTGCTGTTTTGTCTGTTGAAAGACAATTGCGTTTCCAAGCCCCTCCTCTCTGATAGGTCAGAGGCATGATCGAATGAATCAGTTGCAGCCCGATAACATGTTGCCTGCATTCCTAAGAACTCCGACACCAACAGCGCCCCTGAAAAGTCACAACAATTTTTGGGTGTCAAAATGGAGAACAGGTACTTTTTGCACTCGGCTTCCCGTAACTCTTGCAGCTCAATGGTGTAATCCCGGGCCATGTTGTAAACCCTGGTCAGGTTCAGATTGTTTCGGGTATCATTTATGTGTTGATTCAATTTATCCACATAGTACACAGTGATTTACATGACATAAATGTACGCAAAAAGAAAATTGGGCCAGCCCTTGGTGCCGAAATAGATACAGCATCTGAGAGCAAACTTTTGCACCAGTGAGCTATATGGTTGATCCGACAATACCGATTGCTCTAGTCAACCTTGCGCACTTGGGTCACAGGCGAACGATATACGCGGCGGCCATGCAGAATGTACAAAGCAATTGCAAAGATTATCACCGCTCCAAAAACAAGGATAGACCAATTCATATCCACCGGGGTCGGGTGATTGGCGGTTGGGAAGAAGGTGAAAATTATGGCAAAGCAAAGCCAAGCTAGTGAGAAGATATTAATCGCCAACCCGAACATACCGAGTGAAAATCGCGAGCGGGGGATACCACCCGGTTGAAAACGGAGACGAACGACCGCAGCAATTGGCAAGATGTAAGTAGTAAAAAGTGCAGCGATCATCACAGATGCGACAGCATTGAAAGCCGCAGTAGATCCGATGTTGATCAAGCTCAGCAGCACGGTAATAATGGTTGACACCAACACAGAGCAGATGGGAATTTGGGTATGTCGATTTACATGAGCCAGATGCTTCGAGAACGGCAAGGCATCATCGCGAGCAAAAGCAAAAGTCTGGCGAGAGACTGTCGCAAGAATGCCGATCGCGCTGCAGACTTCCATGACAAGAATGATAGCGGCCACAGCATTGATAGCAGCCATGGAACCGGTAGCATGATTAACTGCCGGGAGGAAGGAGAATCCACTAGCCGGGGCAAGCACATCCTGTATGTCCCCCATCTTATACAGCAAGGTGATTAGTATGATGAAACCGAGGCCGCCGTTGATCAAAGCGGTCGAAACCATACACCATGGTACAACAAAGGCAGCATTTTGGACCTCTTCGGCTAATAGAAGTTAGCCAGTATCGCGAATTACGAGAGATGCGATGTTTGACTAACACATATGTGTAGCAGCATCCGGGCCTGTCCAGGAGAAGATTGGAGTCAGCTGGCCCACCAGACACGCGAGGCCCATGCTCGGCCATTCGCCAGAGTTTGTGAACTCCTTCCAGACAGATTCCCCAGAGGCCTTTCCTGGGGACATAACCCACATCAGGACGACAACAACAATGAAGCCGAAGAGGTGAATGGCGAGGATGAGGCCCTCCATGGGAGGGAGAATCTTGTAGCCCCAGGTATTCACCACAGTTCCGACAGCGGCGATAGCGATGGTCAGTAATGTCCCATGCCAGCGCTCAAAGCCATATACCCAACCGGAGGGATTCGAGTAGTTAAAGACCAGTAATCCTTGAATCAGAGTACCGCAAAGGTAGCAAATACTGGCAAAAGCCGCCTGCCAGCCTAGAACCGAAAGCCAACCTGGAAGCTGGATTAGCGCTAGAGATCATTAGATTATAATTGGAGGTGGGGGTTAACCGGTGAGATAGCTCAAGAACCGTTGACATCTTGGCCAGGCGAATTCACTGACCCAGTGGTACTGTCCACCCGACGTTGGGGAGCTGGCTAGTCAATCCCCGTGCGCAACAGGCAGATGGGGAATTAAACTTACATTGAGGCAATCTCAGCCATGGAGATAACGGCGGCGAAAAATCCCACAAATGATCCAAGATACACATAGACCATGCCGGCTCGTCCGCCATCAGTAAGGCCGTAGGTACTCGTGCTGTGTGGTATTCCACATTATTCCCGGTTCCTCGTAAGATCGAGCGTCCAAAACTCACAGCAGAATCGACTCCCATGTGGCCATCAAGGTCGTTGTGAAACCTAAGATCGAGTAAAAACGGAAGTTTCTCTATTGTTGGTCAGCATAGGGTATAGTTGCGGGGCGCGCAACTCGCCTTCAACTGTTGGGTCTTTCCGAGACGTTGCATGTCCCAATCATCCTGGTCGGTCGTGTCTATGTCATGGCACACCATCTTCTTGTTAGATGCTCCCTTCATGGTGGATGGATGAGGGGAAAAGGCAGACCAAAGACCAAAGGGGCCTTGAAGGTCCAAGGGGGAAAAGCCCGAAAGTGGAGCCAAAGTTTATTTTTCTGTCGACACATCTGCAGGGTACTTTGTTACTTTGACTCTATAGGTTACAATTTAGATTGACGGTGTGGTTTAGAAGTAACATCTAAGACTTTATAGTGCAGATAGATTATCCTGATTATATCTGGTAGGCCGGACATGGTAAATGGAGTACAAAAATCCTTCCGATCTGATTCGAGAACTGGTTGACGGTTTCTAAGCACAACCCACTAGAGGTCAAAGCCCAATCAGAATGTCTCATTTTTATGTAATTAGGAGAATTGCAAGGTTGTCTCTGTACAACTTGGTCAACTTCGTTAACTATAAGTGTTAGAGATACTAGATGATCTACTATGAAGTTTTAGATGTAACTAGAAATCTTGTTGACGGTTACAACGGATGAAGGCATATCTACTAGATAGGAATCCTATAACAGTAGAATGTGGAGATTGATTGTTAAGATACCTGTCTAATATATATATGAAGACTCACAGGGTGGATCTGCATACTGGGAATGCACCACCATTTATCGTCGGGAGCGGGCTCTGGGACGCAACCCCCGCATAGCAGCATGTATGTAAAGCGAGCTAAATCGGGTCAATGAATTCATCATCATCATCATCATCATCATCATATATATATGAAGAAGAAACTATCTATTGAGAAAAGGAGAGTTTATCTCTCGGAAACGGGACGCCTTTTATATTTATATTTATTTATTTAGTCCGATGACAGTCACGTAACCCAGACTAGTTATAGTATTTAACCCTGAGATTCTGTAAGGATCGTATGGTTTCTATTAGGTAGTGCAAAAAACTAGCTATTACATAGGGTTTTAATATAACCTGCTAAGCCCTCGCTTGCAATAATATAAAACCCCCTTTTTCTATGTCTTATAAAGCTAGGTCGCTATGATTCCTAAGGCCGAGAACTTAGCCTAAGCGCTCCTAAACCTCTGCCTTAGGCACTAAGAGTATATAAACCCTACAAGCCTCTCGGGAGTAGACTGCGACATCGCCCATGGACGGGCGGGTGGGCACTGCCCACGGGCCTTATGTAAGCGGGAAATGGGCCCTAGTTGGTTAACAGTCACGACATTTGCCCGAACGCGTTACAACGTGGACGAGAGAAATTTATAAAGGACACTGCCTGACGCGCGAAAATTCTCTTCGTTTCCACCAAGGAATGAGAAACCTCCAAAATATCATTCGCTTTTCCCACTTTCCTAGATTTTCTATCACGACGTGCAAAGTGAGTCCGGGAGCTGTACATCATTTTTCGACTCACGGGAAGATGCCAGACTCCCATTTATCTGAGTATACGTCCGGGAGATGGATGTTCGTAGGATTGCCATGGCCTTGCTTTGCCTTCCCCTTCCCCTTCCCCCTTGCCCTTTTGCTGTGACCAAGAATTCATTGACTAACGATCAACTTAAGCTACAATGACCATCTACGGCAATATGAAAGAAGACGGGCTTTCAACGTCCCTGAACTCAAGCGACTTGCAGCAGTATCAGTTCACCGGAAGGAATAAGACGTCTCCACTTTCGAAAAGCTAGCTGAGGGGGGGTTCAATCGAAGTTTCCTTGTTACTATGAATGATGGCTTCCAACTTGTTGCACGCATCCCTTGCCCTGTCACCGAGCCAAAATTCTTCCTCATCGCGAGCGAAGTTGCCACGATGGATTTCCTCCGTTCTCAAGGTATACCTGTTCCGAAGGTCTTCGGGTACTCTGCCAGGTCGGACAACGCTGCGGGAACAGAATACATATTCATGGAGCTCGTACAAGGAAATAATTTAGGTGATATTTGGTTTCAATTATCGGAAAAGGAGAGGATAAATTTGGTGTTTCAAATTGTTCAGATGGAGTCTCGACTCCTTTCTCTACGTTTCCCAGCAGGTGGGAGCCTTTATTACTGCAAAGATTTGCAAGATAAATCCAGTTGGATTGACATTCCAAGCACTTTGCCGACCAGCAAGGGTCATTTCTGCATTGGTCCTAATACAACACTTGGATTATGGTATGGCAAACGACGTGATTTGTCGGTTGGGCGTGGGCCATGTAAGTGCTTGTTTCCTTAGCTTTCCCCTCCGCCCCATCACACTCGTGTTAGAGCATCGCAATGTGTCAGTAATTAATTCTTGAAGACATCGATTCTTTAGCGGCCCTGACTGCCGGTGCCAAGAAAGAGATCGCACACCTCACGAAGTTTGGGCGACCTCTGCAACCTCTTCGGCGTCTCCGTCGAGAGATCTACAACTACCAGGCACAGTCACATTTTGAGCATATTGCGAGTCTGGAAAAATATCTGCAAATTGCGCCTTATCTTATACCACAGAATAATTCAGCCATCACCCGTCCCGTTATGCGCCATCCTGATCTCCAGCCTAACAACATATTCGTCTCTGATAAACTGGAAATCACTGGCCTGATTGATTGGCAACATAGCGTGGTTCTTCCACTTTTCCTGCAATGCGGAATTCCAAACAGTCTACAAAACTATGGTGACGAGGTCTCAGAATCATTGCAGATCCCCTGTCTTCCAGACAACTTCAACAATTTGGAAGAAAGAGAACAATTCGAACAAGCCCAACTTCTACGCAGGCGCCAACTCCACCACTTCTATGTGAATTTCACGGCAAAGTACAATTCCGAGCATTACGATGCTTTAACATCTGATTTGAGTACTCTAAGGCGAAGGCTCTTTCACCACGCCAGTAATCCTTGGGAAGGTGATAATACGAGCCTCAAAGCTAATCGCTCTTTCGAGGGACTGGGCAAAGGTGGATCCTCAGGAGAAGCCACATTGCCCAATTTCGTTTACAGAGGAAGAGTCGGCTGAATGTCTACAGTTGCAGAACGCGCAAACTGAAGCAGACGAACAACTGCAGGCATGTCAAGAAGCAATTGGAGTGGGACATGAGGGGTGGGTGCCTCTTGCATTGTATGACGAGGCAAGACGACGCGAAAGGAATCTGTTGGCGGACGCCTTAGACGCGGCTGAATTACTTGAGGAAAAAACAAAAATAAAAGAAAACTGGATTTTGGGGACTTTTGCGAGGAAGATTATTTGTGAATTTTTTCACTCTTTGTCTCTGATTACGCGTTTGAATCTCCCAAATTTTGTATTTTTGCTTAATCACGAGACCGTCATATATGACCCAATTATTCTCAAGTCTCACCTAGCAGTAATAAGACGGTACACTTTCTCTTCTTTCAAAAGGGCAGGTGGTACTACCCCGGAAGAATTTCCCTTGCTACAAAAATGATGCTCGTGGTACCATTCTAATGACCTGTCTGTTTACCATAACGCGAGCCATATAAGAATTTGAGGGATCTTATACAGACAGAAACACCAAATATACTGTGATAGCGCCTGAGAAGGCCAAGTTTCCGCCCCACCAGTTTTAGACGGTTTCGGTAGCTTCTTGCTTCTCCCTGAAAAAGAATCATCTCACCCCTTTCCCTTCTGTGGCCGTTTCCCGATGGACGGTTCTAAAAGGGACTATCGCGGCCCAATAATACAAGAAGAAACTCTTTATAGGATATACGCTTACAAACTATCTTATTTGCTCTACATGAAGCGATTGACCTTTTCTTTGATATAAAACATAGGGCTATCCTTTATCATAATCATTACCATCTGCTTTATTCTTATATTCTGTGCAGTTTACTGCCTTTCGTTCCTCTACCTTTCGACCTAGAAATCAGAACTCGCAAACTCGTCGTTTAGAGCATTCTCCCTTCTGCAAGCACGTTTCCAAGCTGTAATATCATCCACGCTTTGAGCATGGAAGTGCGAATGCTAATTCAAAAGACTAGGTCAGTGCGCACAGCCATGTGCTGGAATCAATACTATACCTATCTCTCCTGTGGAAACACGAAGGTGTTCGGGGGCTTCTTGCCCTGTTTCAAGCCTGGTTGCAGCAAAATCATTGAAAAGAATCAAGACCTTAGACATGATTGCGGTAATTGTGGAAGATGCGGCAAAGGATCAAAGATGGAAACTATTGAAGCAACCAACTCCAATCTGTGAAAGCAAAAATGTGATAGAGCGGATCGTGGTTGTGGTGATAAAGAGGGTATATCTGATTCAGGGATTTGGTATAAGAAGGAGTTTGACGTTTTACCTGGAATTTTATCTTACCAATACATAGCAAGATATAACTGCCCTCTTTTTGCTACATATTATTGTTTCCCAAGCTTCGCAAAATATTTGCTACCATTTAACTTGAAACCTCCTAGGACTCACAAAATGAAGGCATACCTCTCCGCAGCGATTTCTTATCTCATGATTTTAAAATTAGAAGTAAGCCTTGTGTTCCACACCGAGGAAATTACTAACAATGTGACTAGCCCTGGGACACCTTGCATATCCGGCAGGAGGATGAACAAACAGTGAGGATAGGAGCAATTGGATGGAAGCTAGACATCCCCCTCCACGAAATGAAAGGCTCAACATTTGGGTGCGCATTTCTTCTCGATCATGGTGGATATTTTTGGTGCACAATTTTTCATGCACTGCAGCATTGGAGGAATCCAGAGTGGAAGCCGCTGTCCGGAACCGACGGGTTGCGGGTTACCTTTATAGCAACACTTCGGCTTCGGTTCCATTTTCCATTCTGGAAATGACGACACCTGGTCGAATCATGATATGGCAGGCTGAGCATCCGGACAGCCAGTACACGCCCAAGCTCAAAGCTGAACTCCTCCTTCGACTTCTCAAAGCTGCTTTGATTGGAAATGCGAAATATTTTTGGCGGTTGTTACTCGGGTTTGCCATTTTTGGGCAAAGGTTCTTGTTGGTTGTGACTGCCATGACCCATAGCCTGGTACACATGCTCAAAGTTCAGTGTAGCGTTATACAAATGATTTTGATACTTAACTATCTTTTCATCGCATCATCAACCCTTGGGGATGAAGCCAAGCTTCGGCGTGTTATGATTCTCGAAGAGAAGGAATGGGAGGCCGGCTTCGTTCCAGCGAGTTTCAATCATATAGGGGCAGAAGGTTGGTGGATAAAAACACGAAGTCTTCTAGCAGGAGCTGGATCTCTGCGTGCATTTTCAGTGGAAGATTTAAAAGCCCACCTCGGACATATGCTCTTCTTGTTTGGAGAAGTTTCACCTCAGCGGTCCTGTCATAGCTTCATGCAATGGATGCGACAAAAACCTCCATCTAGGCCCTTTGGTAGCAGAGCCAGCATAGCTCTCATTTGCTACAGCTTTTCTGGCATAAAGAATTCCACCGACTATCAATTGATCGATTCATGGTTGTTTGATATGGGGTTCGTCAATGATATGCTTTGTCGTCTTCAAAAGTCGCCCTTGTTCAAAGATGACATTAGGTTGGACGAACTGAAAATTGTGCTCACAAATCTCGAAGCGATTTTGTCTATGGAGGATGAATGCTCATCTTTCATTCAACCCCATCCAATCTACATCAAAGATACCGCTCGAATACAAGCCTATTTTGAGACAGCATTTCGAGCGCTTGAACAATGTCTGCTGTTGGAAATTTGGGAAAAATGGCGGAGAGTTTAGGATCAATCTCAGAATGAAAAAGACAGTTTGCAGGGCCAGTTTCCAAGGCAAATGTCTCATGGTAGGAAGCCGGGGCCTTTTACTTTCGTGATGCGATCTTCTAACATTGACAGATATGAGGATACAAGATGTTATGAAGATATTCCAAGATGTCTCATTAGTGGACGCATTGCACATAGAGACAAAACAGATAAGACTGTTAAAAAACTCAAAGCCCGATCGAATGGTTCTTGGGGAGCTATTTCATGTCAGAAGAATTCAGCAAAGATGGGAAGCTAAACACCTTGGTTAGTTGCTGCTTGCCGAAATGACATGGCATAAACTGACATCCGGTCCAGCAGAATTAGTGGTAGTCAAAGTTGCCCAGGTCTCCCTAACTGCGTGATGTTGCTCAGGTGGCTTTAGATTTCAATTCGTGTTCTTGAAGGAAAAAACTAAGTAAAAAGATCGTGATGGATCAAGAAGAGGTTGCAATTAGAATATAGCTTTCTGATAATATATCTGAATTAATTTTGTTCTCCTGACCAGTCTACATGAAGCGAAAACACATGGCGAACTCGAATATTGTCCCCCTCTTTGCTACTGAATATTTGGCTATCCACCGGCCACTCTCCCTTCTTTCATCCCTGGATATCACGTACCCGTCAAGAAGCTTTGCAACGAAGTCTCCTATCTCTGTCAATCTCAGTATATTTTTGGACCATTATTTGGATATGCAAAAATAGGAAGACTCACCACTTCTAGCCCATTCAATGCCCAGCGGTTCAAGTATTGTTGAACATCATCGATGCATGCCATTGCTTCGCGTATGCTTTTGACAGCTTCCGACTGAACGGATAATTGGTCAATGTCTTTTAAGTGTGAGCTTCGTAAGGCACATGTATTGGCCTCCTTTGATTGACTCACTTATTGCCATATGTAAGCCTTCTAACACAGAGATGGCCCAGAATAGGTCCTCTGAGGCATGGCTTCTCCGAAGCTCGGCAGCAAGGCAAGATTTTCGCTCCACTGTCAGCACGACGCCATCTCTATAGTTTCTCATGACCGCTGCCATGTTTGCCCGCTGAATGACGGACTTTTGGGTCACTAGGTCTCGGAGCTCCATCTCTGTAGTACTAAGTTCCCGAGCATGTATATGTGGAAACAACTGCTGGAAGGTTTCGCCCAACAAACAGAAATGTAGAAAGTTGTAACGCATTTTCAGTCAACACGAATTATATCTATTTTGTGGCAGAAAGTATAGCTAAATACCAAACACTGGAAGATCATCTTTACGCGCGCGCGACTATCATCTCTACAGTTTCCCGTCCCACCCACAAACTAGCCCCAGTGCTAGGATCGAAGAGGGAAGGAACCAATAGGCCTGCAGGGGTTGGAGATGTGATTGCACTCGATCTGTGCTTATCAAATTAGGCGAATTGAGGTGAATTGAGGTAAATTTAGGAAAATTAAGGTGAATTAAAAGAGGGGGTGTTACTCCGCACATGGCTGCGCAATTCGATCTCTCTTCTCCGGCGATATTTTTCTTTCGCATAACTGCGATGCAAGACACAACCATCAAAATCTTGATGCAGTACTGATGTGTGACTAATATTCCAACCCCTACACACGCTAGAGCTCGAAACTAATGGCTGCATAGATAGTGGGGACTCCACCAAGTTTATCTCGCTCAACTAAGTCTTCTGTTCTCCACATCACATATAGCATGCAGATCACATCTTCCTGTTTGGTACATTACAGCGAGAAATCAGCCACCAACTTCAACCTGTCCAGGGTGAAGCTCTGGTTGCTAAGAAGCTAGCCTTATCAGTCATTATTGAATTATGCCCACGTTTTATGCTTAAATGAAATTTTTATTTATATTTGGCTTTTCCTGATTCCCAGTAATGGATTGAGTTGGGATCTTGGGGTTGACTCAGGATTCAGTCTCGTCTTCGGGTAGAAGGAGTAGGCATTGCAGAATCCCATCATAGTAAGCTCTTATCACCTTCTCATCCCTAATTTTGGTCCACAGACACTTAATTGCCATAATTGAAAGGCAGTAGGCTTGTACCCTGTGTCCCGTGGTGCATGTGCATAGTGAGTCCATTATGCATAATCACATTTTCCGCGTCAAAGGGTATTGACACCATTCAATTTATACGATGGATATGTCATCCATTATGATAACTTCTTTTCAACCTGATGTTCACTTGTCTAATTTTTAGGCGATGTCTCGAGCATGATTAAGCACCACCCTATTCCATTGTGAAAAGACTGACATTAAGCGGTATGGCATCAATCTTGAGGTACTAAATCCATACATTTCGATGTCTCTTCTATAATAAGGATAGTGAAATTGCACGAAAGCTTCAAAGCAGTTTAGGTAAAAGTCAACCAAATTCTTACTCGGTCTTTATCTTGTCAACTCCATGGGTCTCTACTGGCCCCCTAGGAGGCAGACTGGCCCATGAGTTTGGATAGTGGTATTCTTTACACATATCTGAGAGGGCGAGCATGAGTGGTTTTGTTTCCGGTTCTCCGGGTTGGCGAGTGTTGTTTAACACAAAAAGAATTGTTTTCCACATTGCAACAAAGCATGGCCACTGGATTTGACCGAGACCCAGATCCAAATCGTTGGCAATGTTTCTGTCCATTAGGCGGCTATTGATTCTGTCGAGCTTGCTGATGGCGTCTCTTGCTGCTTTTGGTGGAATTTATTTTTCTGTGATCGGGTTGTAAAAGTCAACATATGGATTGTCAACTAATGTAAGATACAGGGTATATAAATGTCGAGTCGCTTTGTGGTGTGCATCTAGATGATATTGAGATAGTTTTGGTTTATCAAGTCTCTGCGGGCGACCTATTATGAGGTTAAATTCAGTATCAAACGCGCCTTCTAGCTGCCTAAGCTAGAATGCTTTGCATCTCTATAATGTAGTGAAGACGTCTTACCTTCGAAATCTTTAACTGCCTTAGCCTTTTTATCGGCATTTTGAATCTGGTCTTGATGGAGATCGGCCAGTATTTGGCCGAAGTTTATGGGGAGCCTTTTAGACATTTCTAGAGTATTGAGAGTTTGAAAACGGCACTGTCAGCTTTAAATAATTGTTATGCGGGGAACCTAAAACCGTGGTCGACCACGGTTTATCAGACCACGGTTTCACAAGCTATGAGACTCTTCCTTAGTGGTCGCCTACCTGTCGTGCATACATTTTTGCGCTGTGGATATTGAACAAGTTTATTTTTGAGCAAGGTTACACTCTCAATGCACTACATCCTATGTGAATTTTCTTTGGGCTAGTATAGACAACAACATGACCAAAAAATTAGAGGCCCTATCTCTTGTATAATAAACACACAGAAAGGCGGCTTCGACCCGCACGAGCGGAAATTTGAACCACATCAAACAACGAAAACGCAAGATGCAGCCGACATGGTTAAATCAAATCCACGGTTTGAAAATTGTTGCTATCTAATTGACATAAGTATGGTGTTATCAGAAAATTGGAATTGTAAAAGAACAAAAGGATAAAAACAATTCGGAGACGAGCTTTGCCATTTACATAAACTTCAACGAACAAATGCAAGACGAGTTCACAATTAAGCTACTGGCTGGCCCTTTTGATCAATCGTTTAAATCGTCTCGGTTTTATGGTAGACGCCGTCTGTGTCTGAAAGTCTGCATTTGGCTGGCAATCTGCCACAAGGGCCATAGGGTGGTTCTAGCGTATAGGATTGATCTGTTATCGAGCAGGCGTCAGGCACATCGGAAACGACTTGCGTATTGTCATCGTTCTTGTTTTGATCGATTTCTAGCAAGGGTTAACGAAAAGCATTCTAGGAACTAGGACCTATAGCATACCCGCTTGGCTACCTTGACCACATAGAGCAACAGAGTGATCTTCCATCGCCTTAGGTGATCTGTTCTTGGTTGCTTTATCATCCAGGCGGGGGCAGTTCTGCTCAAGTATTCGAGGCTCTTCCGGATCCTCGAAGGCTAGCTGCGTAGTGGGGGATGGAATAAAGACAGGGTTAACATCTGTACGCTCGTCTGCTGGGACAGGAAAGCTTTCATCGATCAATTTCTCCCAGAATTCTGGTGGAGCTATTATCTCAGTGTCGGCATCAGAACCAGGCTGCTCTGCTTCATCATAGCCACAATCCTCGTCAACATGAATCACTATAGGGTTGGAAGCCGAGCCCAAAGGAGCAGGATTATCTCCAATCACTATAGGATTAGCCTCTGTGCCTGGCTCAGGAGAATCGATGAGTTCGTGTATAACTAGCGTAGGCCAGTCCGAAGGCTCATCGGCGATTAGTGCTTCGCAATGTCAAGTTAGCAAAATAAATAATGCTTATAGAAGATCCCTCACCAAAGGCTTCGCGCGCATTGTTTGTAAAGGAGCTTATACTGACTGGAGCGGGAAGAAGAGGCGGAAATAAAATGCGTAATGATTGATGTAGGGCAAGGCTAAGGGCTGTGATCAATACCAAATACCTAATCCGATTCTTAACTGTTGTTATCGGAGAAATAGCGTGCGAGATACATGACTTTATACCCCTCGTCTAGCCGACTACGCCTTGTACAGCCTGCAGGCTGATGCGGGCACGTTCGTCCAAGTCTCAACTTCAGACAGTAAGGATCAGCAGGATCGCTTCCAGACGAGGCCTGTCTGCCAATCGTCTTCATGTCCAATGGACAGTGCATAGTAATACCGCACGATTGACCAGCTTCTCGTTCATTTGGTCCAGTTACATCACAAAGCGCTGTTTCTATTTGGAGGAACTGCACTCCTGCTCATCGTCCGCGCCCAGTAACATCGCCACCGTTTCGATTGAGCTCTGCTTGCCAGTCGTTCCATGGCTCAGGACAGAAGACGAAAGACGCAGGACGGACCAAGACGGAGACAAAAGACCCCTCATCATCTCCAGTCCGCGCGACGCAGATGCTGTAGGAGTAAATCCTTTTTTCTTATCAGTCCATCTCGCCCTCTATGCCAATCAATCATGAAACCAACGAGGATTTCGGTCACAGAGCGCCTTCGGTGACAGGGGTCAGGACTACGTAGATCTCCGGAATGGGGATGACCGCGTTCCCGAGATCATACCACAACGATGCTGCTATTCCTGGAGAACTGCCTGTCTGCGCATCATCTGCACCCAGTGTCACCATCACTGATTTGAAAGGGGTCTGCTAGCCAGTCGTTCCATGGTTCGAGACAGAACACAAAACGCGTAAAACTGGACCAGCACGGAGACACATGCCCCCTCCATCTCCAGCCCGCATGATAGGTTCCTTGTCCTTCTATCTCGTCCTCTATGCCAAGCACTAATGGAACCATGTAATGCGGTCGCGGGGCGCCTTGATGATATTGGGACGCGTAGATATCTGGAATAGATTGCGCGATACACTGGTGTAAATCGAGGGGAGAGGATGTTTGCGCGCCGCCTAGGGTGTCACCTCGCCGCTTTATGGATCCGAAAGCCGTCCTGGGCCCCGATATGACCGCCGTGAACTGTTACAGTCATCGTAAAAAAAAAATTGTCCCTATTTGTCACTTAACTGCGCTGACTGAGCAAGAACCGGCTGACGTGATTCACGTCTGAGACAGTCTGATCAGTCTATTGAACCGAGTAATCTGATCCTGTCATCTTCGGTTTTAGATTAAGGCTAGCGCCATCAGCCATGCTCGACAAAGCTCTCGCGCGGTGTGTCGACCCTAAGGCAAATTTGCAGTCAGTCCCGCTGCGCAGGAATCAGTATCCTGAAAGAGTGTAGGGCAAATGCGCCTGCATGCGCGGAGGCCAAATATAGATCGGGCCTGAGAAGGAAAACAGGGGCAGAGGAGGGAGGGCAGTTCGAATTGCAGACGCGGGTCGCAGAAGAGCCGACGAGTCAGACATGGGGAAAAAGGGGGTGGCTGAGCTCAGGAGCTCGGTGATCCGGGTCAATGGCAATGCCTCGCCTGCGAGGTGTACAACATAGGAGAAAGAAGGCGAAAAAGAAAATTGGGGCAGTTCGATGGAGGGGGGAAAGAGCAGGGGACTATATAGAACCACGCGCGGGGAGGTACAAGGACAAAGAGCGCTAAACCAAAAGGTGGACATATTGATCCAGAACGCGTAATTCATCATATCAGTCCGATATGGTGTAGTGGCTAACATCGCCGTCTCTCACACGGCAGCCGGGGGTTCGATTCCCCCTATCGGAGTAAATTTTTTGGGCTCCAAATTCTCTTTTTCTTTTGTAACCAGGTCTCAGTTCTGCGATCCATATGATCCAGGCCAAAATCTTCAAATCCATGGTTCTCATAGTCCGCTCTAGATTCCTCTCAGGTCCTACCAAAATGAGATACCGCCTTCCTAATTACGATAATTCTGGGTCCTCACTTCTATCTCGGTTTTAATCATCTGGTTCCTTTGCTCCCTCCGTTCAACCCTACAACCCTACAACCCCCAATCATCTCGCCGTGGGGTTACTTCGCTCGAATTCGAGCGATAAAAGTAGCCTGCTGCTTAGCGGCCGTTCAGGCGCGCTACGCTTATTCCGACAGTCTAGACAGTGGAGATGACGTCTCCACATCTCAAGGGAACCGGCTTGTGGTCCCCGCGCAAAAGGTCGGAGAGTGTTGCCTCTCTAAAACGGACAGAATTTTTAGAGACAGGACAAGGACAGCCAGAGTTGAGGGATCGATCGCAGTCGATCGCAGAGGTTCAGCAGCCACCAAACACTGGTTTTCACCCCGCCGACCGTGTGTTCCCCGTGAGGTCGGTTGTTTCGGTCGATCCAACCGTTACCCCCCAGTATACGGGTTCAGTGCATTCCCGGGACGCGATATCGTTAACCCGGGAAGGGGCACGACAGTATCCATTCATCGACGAACGTACATGGAACAGACTGCACTCGCAGCTTCCTTTCGACCACCTGCATCCACGCGACCACGAGCACACTGAGCCTACCATCACCACCGACATTCGACACCATGAGACACATGCTATTGATGACAAAACCGAACTTGCGACAAAGTCTTTGGCCTCGAAGGTCGCTCAACACCCCGAAATTCACGCTAAACCTGCCGGAAGCGAGAACCAGGCTAGAAGCGGTTCCACCGCGCCTGTATCCTCACACCCCCAGCATAGGAACGATGGAGACAATGTTCATGTTACTGCACGCTTTAAACATGTCATGACGGATAGTGGCCATGCCGTCATCACAGGACGAGACGGAGAAGCATTTCAATTCTGCGAGGACGAGCCCATTCGAATCCCTGGTGCGATCCAGAGTTTTGGCTTAATGATTGCTCTTCGTGAAGAATCACCAAATCAGCTCGTAGTTCGCATTGTGAGCGAAAACTCCGCTGAATTTTTGGGTTATTCGCCAAAGCAACTGTTCGAGTTGAAAAACTTCTGTGATCTTTTGAGTGAGGACCAGGCGGACACACTATTGGACCACATTGACTTTGTTCGTGATGATGCACACGACCCATCAGTCGACGGACCAGAGGTTTTCAACATGTCTATGCGCACAGCTGATGGGAAGCGCTGCAAATTCTGGTGCGCCACCCATGTCTCTCAAACACAAAAAGATTTGGTAATCTGCGAGTTTGAGCGTGAGGATGACGAAGTGAACCCGTTGAATGTCGAGGGTCTTGCCCCTCCGGCAGTTCCCGCAGACACTCTGGGCATTGTTCCAACACCAAATCAACTTGCTGCGAGCACAATCAACATCAGTCAGCCTCTCCGCATTCTTAGGAATGCCCGCCGTAGGAAGGGCGAGGCATCTTCGATGGAAGCTTTTAGTATCTTAACTCAGATACAGGAGCAGTTGGGGCGGACGAATAATCTAGATCAGCTGCTCAATACAACCGCGGGATTGGTCAAGGAACTTACCGGCTTTCACCGGGTCTTGATATATCAATTCGATAGCAGCTGGAACGGCATGGTTGTTGCCGAGTTAGTTGATCCTAACGCCACTATTGACCTCTACAAGGGCCTTCATTTCCCTGCATCCGATATCCCTGCACAAGCCCGAGAACTGTACAAAATCAACAAGGTCCGGCTTCTATACGATCGCGACCAAGTCACTTCTCGACTTGTGTGTCGAACCTTGGAGGATCTCGACTCCCCTTTAGACATGACTCACGCCTACCTTCGTGCGATGTCCCCAATTCACGTGAAATACTTGGCACACATGAAAGTCCGTTCTTCAATGTCAATAAGCGTTAACGCCTTCAATGATCTATGGGGGTTGATCTCCTGCCATAGCTACGGAACTGTCGGTATGCGCGTGTCATTCCCAATTCGGAAAATGTGCCGGCTCCTCGGCGACACAGTATCCCGAAACATAGAACGGCTTTCATATGCTTCTCGCCTTCAGGCCCGGAAACTAATCAACACTGTACCAACCGAGGCCAACCCAGCAGGCTATATCATTGCATCCTCGGATGATCTGCTTCAACTTTTTGATGCAGATTACGGTGTGTTGTCAATTCGTGATGAAACCAAAATTCTTGGTGGCAGCAACAACTCCCAAGAGGTCCTTGCATTGCTAGAGTTCCTTCGCGTACGGCATTTGGATTCAGTGCTTGCCTCGCACGACATCGTTAAGGATTTTCCTGATTTTCATTACGCCCCAGGATTGAAGGCAATATCTGGTCTACTCTATGTCCCGCTTTCTACTGGAGGCAGTGACTTCATCGCATTCTTCCGCCGGGGACAGCTCACAGAGATAAAATGGGCTGGCAATCCTTACGAAATTGAAAAGCGAAAGCTGACCGCGGGGTATCTTGAACCCCGCGAAAGTTTCACATCATGGCGGGAGACAGTTCTATCGCAAAGTAGAGAGTGGACAGAGACGGACGTGGAGACGGCGGCGGTCTTGTGTTGTAAGTTCTCTCATTTTGATACTCTGAATAGGATTCCTCGATTTGTAGAAATCTGACATCCCTTGAACAGTGGTTTATGGTAAATTTATCAAAGTTTGGAGGCAGAAAGAGGCCGCTATGCAGAACTCCCAGCTCACTCGACTACTTCTGGCAAACTCTGCTCATGAAGTTCGGACCCCTTTGAATGCGATTGTTAATTATTTGGAGATCGCACTTGAGGGTGCTCTGGATGATGAAACCAGAGAGAGTTTGACCAAATCCCACTCGGCTTCCAAGTCACTGATTTACGTGATCAACGATCTCCTTGACTTGACAAACACTGAAAAAGGCCAGGACCTCATCAAAGACGAGACCTTCCACCTCGAGTCAACCTTTAGAGAAGCGGCTGATATGCTCTCTGGCGATGCCAAGCGGAAGAATATATCATATGCTGTTTCAGTACATCCAGGCATTCCCGAATCAGTTCTTGGTGATCAGCGTCGTGTGCGGCAAGTTCTTTCTAACGTGATCTCAAATGCCATTCAAAACACCAAATCCGGCGCGGTCACGACAGAAATGTGGCGTTCTACGAGTCAAGCGATTCCAGGCCATGTAGGAGTGGAGATGATGGTTGTTGATACGGGTGTGGGTATGTCGCACAACAAATTGGAGAGACTTTTTCACGAACTCGAACAAGTATCGACCGATGATACTTACTACCCCGAACAAGAAGAAGAAGAAGAAGAAGAAAAAGAAGAAGAACACAACACGCAAAACCCACCGCAACAACGTGTTTTGGGTCTTGGTCTTGCTCTTGCAGCAAGGATCGTCCATAACATGCATGGTCAGCTCGCTGTCAGATCAGAAGAAGGAAAGGGCAGTCGTTTCAAAATCATACTGCACTTCCGATTGCCAAAGGGGACAAGCGTGGACGGAGATGCAGACGGAATTTCTCCTCCCAGTGTTGTCGTTCCTGCGACGCCTATGCTTTCAGACAAGGAGTTCACTCTAGTTTCCGGAGGACATGAGTCTCGTGATGTCAGACGACGAAGTTCTGAAAGCCTTCGCAGCGGTGCCAGTTCCCGCAGTGGACACAGTGGGCGTAGTGGGAAAAGTCATGCCGATCGACTCATCAGTGCCATGCAAGAAGCCCCCCTCAAAAGGCGCACTAGCCAAGATTTGGATCTAAGACGGCCGAACTTCACGTCCAGTCCTGCAAGCGCCAGCAGCAATCATACGCATCCTCTTATCTCACCATCTGCTGCAAAGCGATCATTGACGGTGCAGGATCCGAAGTCCACTCTATCTTCCGTCACGCATACCCCACCGCTCACGCTACAGCAACTTGTCACTCCCCCTCCCCCTGGTCTGGAGAATATCACGGACTCGGGAGTACCGATGGGTGCTCTTCGAATGTCACAGCATTTCACCAGTCTCAGATCACCACAGATTGAGCCCAACAAGGAAGATAACTCATACTTTCCGAGAGTTTCGTCAATCGCAGAAACATCACAGGCCCCCTCCTCTGGGCCAACATCCTCTGCCCCACCAACCAGCGTACCTTCAACAACAGACTATGACCCACTAAACGTTCTTGTCGCTGAGGATGATCCAATCAATAGCAAGATTATTCAAAAGCGGTTGACCAAACTTGGCCACACCGTTGAGTTGACCAGCAATGGTGAAGCATGCAAAATTGCTTTTGCCTCTGCCACCAAGTGTTTTGATGTGGTGTTGATGGATATTCAGGTATGTTAAAAAGGCTACTCCTCTCTTCTCCGCCCCTGCTAATCTTCCCTAGATGCCGATCTTGGATGGAATGAGAGCCACCCGGGCGATTCGCGAATTTGAATCCAAAACGCCCAAGGAAGCCCTTTCCGACAAAGCTATGCACAATGACCGAGTGCCTATCTTTGCGGTATCTGCAACATTAGTTGAAAAGGACCGCAAAACCTACGTCGATACTGGATTTGATGGTTGGGTTATGAAACCTATCAATTTTTCTCGTTTGAACGTTCTTTTGAGCGGTCTCTGCGATCGGTCCGCCCGAAAAGCAGCCACATACACGCCTGATAGGGAATGGGAGAACGGTGGATGGTTCGACAGCAAGTAACGAATCTTTAATCGTTGACAACCCAAGACAGCCATCTTGCCTGCCCGGGTGCTTTGTCTCAATTCTCACATTTTCCTGCTATGCTCTTGCACCTTACCCTTCACTATACACCTCCATTCTCCTCCTCATGATTAAATCTGACCTATGCTCATTTCTAAGGGAAGGTCCACATGAAAAACTCTACGCCGGCAATATAGTTGGTCCCGAAGACGCATTTCTTGAGCTATAGTGATGTGTTCGATGATTTTCTTCTGTTGACATGGTATGTGTTGCTTTATCTGCATTTCTAGCCCCCCGGTATACGAATTGGGCCTTTGGAATTTTATTTCGGCGTTCCTTGTGACTTCTATCAGGAAAATATACGGATACCCTATACATTTCACATGCATGTTTGTATTAAATTTTTGAAGACTTTTTTTTTCTCTCTCGTTTCTTCAATTTTCTTTGTTTTGCATTCCCTCCTATGTACTGCTCATCTCAGTGTCACAACAACATGCCATCGAAGGGCTAGTTGAGTTTCCGGGCTGCGCTAGGGTTGGCCATATAGGAAAACACTGTGTTACAGTTTCCTGTCTCAGATCCATCTGGCACGGCCAAAAAAAAGTTGGACCGCTGTTCAAATTTTTTTTTTCCAAATAAGCAGGATGAAGTGGTTTAAACTGGACAGTATGCAAAGCGCTTGCTAGTAATTCATGAATGAATCCAAGGCCACGTTTAAATGACTCAAGATCAAGCCTACTGGAATCCTCCTTCCCCTCTAGTATCTATTATCAACCACCTTTGCGGCCAGAGTGGCAATGCTCAAACACGAGTCCAAAAGATCCACAACTAACATTGAATTCTAGAGCCCGGTGGAAAAACCCGCGCACTTCCGTCGAAATCAAACTTTCAAAGCCGTGCTCTGACAAGCGTAGCTATTTAAATTGCTGCTTCTATTCCTAGCCGATAGGGTTCTTAACAAGGTCGGTAGTGAGCTCTTAAATACCTTTTAAGTAGTCTAAACCCTACCTTAGGACTTTAATAGAGTTATAACCGCTGATCTAATTTAGTAGCTAGCGTACGTTGTAATTTATATCATAATATACGCTCGCTAGTATTTCGTGTAGAGTTTTCGCGGCCCCCTAAAAGGGGTGGCCACGCGCTCCTAGGTAGCACGCTTGAAATATAACATTGGTGTCAAGAGATGTCGGAAGTTACAATTAACTTGCAGTTAAAATGGAGGCTACAGCCTTAGGCGTTGTGGTGCATTTCAAAAATTAGATTCGCGCAAAGATATGTATTTTTTTCCGTGCGCCGCACTTCGGATCACGTTGAAGCCACTTTTCCATGTGGCGGGCAGATGGATTGACTTTCTTTACATTTCTTTTGTCTTGTTTGCATTACGCCGGCCGGTTTGTGGCCTTACTTTTCAGGTGGCAGGACCTCGAGAAATCGAGTCCTGCTCACAGGGTGGATCTGCATACTGGGAATGCACCACCCATTTATCGTCGGGAGCGGGCTCTAGGACGCAACCCCCGCATAGCAGCATGTATGTAATAGCGAACTAAATCGGGTCACTGAATTCATCATCATCATCACTAGAAAGTGTATCTACTCTCGCAAACCGGCAATAGCAAATGCGTCGGCTTCCTTGGTACGCACCAATTGTTTAAATACCTTCTAACCCTTGTACAGCTGTTTGAAGATGCGCTAAAGTGTATACAATTTACATTAATATCACAGGCATGGTTATAATTTCGATGGGATCGCCACTAGATTATACCATCTGCGCAAGTGCGGTAGGCACGCGAGTGTAGTTGATAAAGGGAACCTGGCCGAGGCCACAGACCATGTCACCCTGAACAGCAGGTGTACTTTGCCCATTACGATTTCGCCGAGTTAGCTTCTCATAGTTGTTGATAGCACCTAGTGCTGCAATCGTTTGAATTGTTCAGAACAGTTGCCTGTGTGATGTTTTCTGGAGAATTTTTGCTATACAGGCCAAACTGAGCGGGCCAGTACGGGTCAGGACTGATTTCATTCCCATTCATTTTCCTCGGTTGCACGTGAAGCCCGATAATAGCCATGACTGGGATAGTCTAGTGGCACATAGGATTGCCGGGGATAATTGTTCGGCTTACCTCTAGCTGCAGCTTCAGTCCTCTCGTACTAATTTGAATTACGGTTGCGGCGACCTTCAAAACCAGGGAGGCGAATTTCTCCTCAGCATCATATAACTTCAACGTATCAGCTAGAGGATGGGTGACAAGGCACTCAACGAGAGACCAATCTCTTCAAGTGAACGATAAACAAGCCTGATTATCGCGGCTTGACCAACGGGCAAGGAGATCAAGCTGCATGAATGTGTCTCGAGATGCGGACTCGAGTGGATAGATGGATTCTTCACTTTTGATGGTTCCTACTGTAGTCTTGAACTCGAGCTTTGTAGAGGTCAGACGGATATCTAAGAAGTCTGGAACATAGGCTTGTACTATGTCATCGTTACGATAGCCCTAGTCAATTCACAAAGTTTTGTGAATCAGCCTATCGTGTAGCATAAGGAGTCTTTTAGTAGGGATAAACCAGAGCCGAAAAAGAAACTCTGGTAGAATTAATGCATGATTCAATGGGGAACTTGATTCTAATCACATTACGATCAACCATGGAGTCACTCTCTGAAAAACATCCCACACCCGTGGTCGGGGAGGAGGAAGAGAGGATTCAGAGCACACGCTGCTCTCCAAAACCTATAGCCTTACGGACGATGAGTCCGTACACGACCGGGGACTCTGCTACATGAACTACAAACCGCATCCCTTCGAATACTCACCCTAGAATCCTGACCTCGGTCCTAGAAGGCCAAGAGAATCCCAGATCAAGCAATGTCAAAAAGGCACAAAATGGGATGAAACCCACGATCAATCTCGCCAGGTACGTGAGGACAAGAATCGCGCTATGACTAGTCAACTCCAAGTAACCTGAGAGAGACAATGGTAATCGAGTGCCTCTACTAGGGGACCTTCAGTCGTAGACGCTGTGAGCTTGCAGAAAACCGTGATAAAAAAAAAGAAAAAAAATTCAAGAAAGCAGACAAATTCAAACGCACCGACAAAACTTGGAAAATTTGGCGCACACCGACCGGTTCTCAGACAATGGAATAACCTCATCGAAGTGGCCCTCATTCCCGTCCTGATCATTCCAGCCGTCGTTCGGAGTATCTAAATCCACTTCGTTAACCAAATGTGGAAGTTGCCAGCTTGCAATGGTCCAGCAATCGAACGATATAACCCGACTTCGAGTTGAAATGGACCCCTTGGGTTTCAGATCCTGTTACATTCTTCACGACTTGGTCCCTCGGACACCGCTTGGAAGTTACTTTGCCGCCTTGCCATTGCGGAAGACGACAGGTGCGCCTCTTTACGCCTTTATCAACAGGTTCCTCTTACTGGAACCGAAAACGAAGAAGGCGGCGATGAGAGAGTGTCGACTCGAATTTATCCTGAGGCTAGCGGGAAACTTGAAAAAGAAAATCTATGGTACAGAGAAATTAAATCCGAATTTGCAACTCATCGTGGTCTTTCTTCCAGTTGGGCTCCGGAAGACTGTCTTACGGGGGCTTGTTCAATTTCCACGCTGCTTGTTCGTACGTGCTCGTATCGTCCGTGGGAGAGTTCCATTGACCGCGTGTTCATCCCTCGCACTGAGTTCATGCGATTTTCACTGGAAAACGCAGACTTGGACAACGTCAAGAGGGAGATGCCCGTGAAATTGAGCAGAAATCCACATAACATCGAAATAATGCTCGTCCAGTTACTAGTGTTCAGTCCTTGGTAAAAGATAATGGAGGCAGATAGGGTACAGGTTGTAAAACCAACATAGTACATCGCATTTACTCTGTCGATGGTTGAGTTTTACATCGATGGGTCATCGGAATTGGAAAGGTGAACTTACAACGATGCAGGAAATTGGCCCATCGCCTTGTTCAAGTAGTTCATCTGGGTCAAAGTGGTGACTACCAGAACCAACACGAAGACATATGTCGAGGCATGGGTGAATTGGTTGTCCCCGCCTGCGGTGAGCTTGACGGCAATCCCAAACGCCTTGACTGACATGACGGATATGGATCCGACCGAAGAGCAAATCGAAATATAGACCAACGGGTTTGTTCGCCCCTGTACCGGGACGACTTTCCAGATAATGTAAATGGCAATTATTGCAACACAAAGGCAATAGAGAAGAAAGACTACAGATGTGTCAGTGGGCTCACAAAACAACGCTGGGAAGGGTTGTCAACATGGTTGGATTGCCAGGTGCAAGATTTCATCAATAGTCTCGATTTCCTTGTCGCCCGGCGCATGAAGCACCAATAACACCGAGCCTAGAAGGCAGGCGGCACATCCGAGTTTTCCGAGGACGTTGATCTCTTCCCTGAGGAAATATGAGCCCATCAAGGCACTAGAGAGGTGATTAGCGCGATCCTGGAATCAGAATTCGGCTGACTCACCCGGTGAGTACGCTCAACGCCCCAAGCGGTGTGACCAGCACAGCGGGAGCGAATGCATAGGCAGCGGTGTTCATCAATTCTCCGGTAACGACTGTAATCCTGGTCTATTAGCCCCTGGCCACGTGTGTCCAGTCCAATATCCATACGCATCGTTGTTCCACACCACCACACGGGACTCCGTAGGTATTCAAATCCATCTCCGGTGAATCCATATTTTTCGGCTGCTTGTATAAGACCCTGGTAGTGCCATGTTAGATTTTGCATGCCGCGGCGATTGAAGAAACCCGGGGTATTGACTAGGTGCCGAACCTTCTTCGTGATGACATAGCTTGAACCTGCTCATTGCGATCGTCAGTATGTCGAAAGAACTGACTTGAAAGGGACAGAAGCAAGGGGACACAACCAATTACTACCGAGGATAGTAGCGCCAGCGTGAGGCCAATAAATCTGGGGGGTAACCAGTCAGCGGGAAATAACAAACGGCCGGGTATCCACCATCTGAACATACTTATCTTCTATTTTGCCCATCGGAAACTTCTGAAGTTTTATTAACAAGAATGGGGCATAGACAGGGGCCAGAGAAGACAAATCAGGGAATTCGGATGAATCAGGTCGCGGGTTTCAGCTTGCCGAGAGCCATGTGTCAGCAGTACCTTTGAGCTCAATCTCCACAAAAAAGAACCCCCTGATCCACAATTTACACTGAAAATGGTTGACTATCAACGTATTATTTTACGGAGTACTCCGTACACCGAATCTGTACATTATGTGGGTGATCTGTTATAGTTTTGGTATTCATGAGTCGTGTTATCTTGTGTTTCAAGTAAAGTCCAGGATGCGCAGTTTCTAGACAGGTATGGGCAACAGATCTTTCATAGCAACTAAGCTAGTGGAAAAGCTGTCGATCAACGAAGTGCTCTGCCCAAAGGTGACCGTTCAATCTACGCCTTCAGGTGAAGGATGGCGGTGATCTATCTCCAAGAGATCGGTGTGTACATGTGTCAACTTAGGAGCAGATATTAACCGCAGAAACATCCAATAAATCAATGAACCTCAAGTGGATATCGGTAGCTACCGTTGCCCATATAGAGCGGGCTAATCACCAATAGAAATCCTCTAATACCAGCCAAGTACCGTCGCCGCTATATCCCAAGATCGAAGTTGCCAACCCACTGGGAAGAGTTCAAACCCCCCTTCCTCTCATCAAACGCTAAAGTTGCAGCCAGATACTATCGTGCCTTTCGATGAGATCGATAGAGCTTGCGGAACAACTGCATCAGCTCTTTTTTTGTGGCCCCAGGGTAAGCGTCAAGGTCAATCCACAATTCCTCGTCCGTGAGCCATTCATGCGCGCTCATGATGTCCATTAGGTGTACTCAGCTGCGCATGTGCGCCGACGTATCTCAAGAGATCTCCGAGTGATACCACAGCTTCGGCTTAGTGAGGACGAGAAAAGAGGGATGACGGATGACCCGATGATTAGTTATTGCTAGCCTGGTAGACCCTAGCCGAGCATAAAATCTCCCGCCTCTCAACTGAAACCTGATGCTTCCTCGATACATACTCACCTTAATTCGCCATCTTTAAAAGCTGCGAACTAGTGACTCTAGCTGAATCCGAGTTTAAAGGGACCTCTTGAGTTTCACATCTTGGTATCGTCTTAATGGCTCACCTAGGCAATTTTTGATCCCGAGATTCTCCGTCGTCTTTTAGGGCAGTCGTTGGAAAACTAACGAATGTGACTTGGGGCCCCGTAACTCCTCGTACGAGTCTGGAGCCTGCCTCGCCTGTCTCGTCGGTCGATTGTTCTATGATCTTTTCCGGCACCTGATTTTCGACGCCTCGAAATTTCCAACGCTAGAACCACATTGCAGCTTAGGATCCTTTAATTTTCATCTTTTTACCCATTTGATTGCTAGTCAAGGCTAGACAAAGACCACGAACGGGGAAAAGCTAATTAAATCAAAGGGCCACTGTACAAGACATCCCCCACATTATGTGCAAATGAATGTAGTATAAACTCCAATGAGAATACTCACAAAATCTCCTTTTACCATCTCTTGCTCTTCTGCCTTCAAAATTAGAATTGTCCTATCTAACCGGCCCCTGAAATTTTTTTTCAAAAAATACGGACCCCCGCAAGCGAGGGTCCGCCACCCATTCGTAGGGGATCACCCAAACGTCGGTTTTTTTATACATTTTACTACAACCACCACTTACTACCCTATTTTATAGTAAAATAATTATTTAAAAATAAGAAACAAAATCGATGGCAAATTTACTACTAGAGTACAAAGTTATAGATCCCCACGACGTTTTTTGGCCCTTCCATGCTTCCTGATTTCAATCAACACCTTCTTCCACTTCCGCTTCGTTTTTTTCTTGATCGGCTTTTTCACTCAATTTGTACTCTTTTCGTTTCATCTCTTTGACTTGGGATGAATGAATGATACCGGTAATACGTAAATGACGACGAGATACGTCGTATCTAGCGTGGCGTGCCCCCATAATAGCTTGTGTAGAATCGAATTCTCGTTGTGGCTGAACAGCTAATGTTGCCTGGGCCTCGGCCCCTTTCACAAGCTTTGCTAGCCCCTCTTTGAAGCGCTGAGTGGTAGGGTTATAATTATTAAGCCGTAGGCTTATCCTTCTCACTTTTTCGGCGGTTTTTGGAGTGCTAAACTCGGTGTTTTGTGAGGTAGTTGATGGTGTAGTTGACCGGGGTAGATTTTCATCAAATGGGTCGTACGACTCCAATTCATCGGTAATCAGCTTAGAATTAATAGGCCAAAGGCCAGTTAATTTTAAAACCAAGCTTAATTGTATGTGGCCGGAAGGTTTTACGCCTAATTTCGCCAATTGAGTGTAGGAATTCATCCTTTGAAAATTTGCGGCATCCAGTCATTGTAGCCGCTTCAACTGCCTCACTATGCCAGTGCTTATACACGCTAAACACGCCGACATCAAGAGGTTGTAGTATATGGCTTATATGCGAGAGTAAGAAGAATAAGATGATATTATTCTTCTCACAAAACTGGACGAATTGGCGTGTTGAATGGGATCCAAAAACGATCACATAAAACAAGCCTCTTTCTACCAATTGTACGGCCAATTGTCCACTTATGGAATAGCTGAATCCATTAATATGCTAAAGTATCGTTGATATAACCGGTATCGGTTACAGCTAGATGCTCATCGCTATCAATAGCGTTAAACCAGCGTAGTAATACCTGCCTAGCGCTTAGAACTATAAGCGGCGGGCAGACAAAACCATCTGCTGAAATAGCCTCCAAAACTGTAACAGACTTTCGATTGGTAACTGAGCCGTTAAATAGCTTCTTTTTTGGGTGCCTTGTAATGATAAACTGGTCTCGTCCGACACCAATTTAGAAGCCAGTTTCGTCAAAATTGTAGATATCTTGTTGGCAAATCCCATGCTCAGTGATAACCCGCTCGTAGTCTTTAAACCACATCTCAACCACTGATTTACTAAGTGCAGCACTTCTTTCAACATCAAGAGCTCGCCGGCGTCGAACATAGTACTTAGGATGACGTTTAAGAAAACGTTTTAGCCAATGATCGCCAGTTTTAGGGGGTTTTTCGCGGTTATCAGGGTGGGTTTGAAAGTGATCTTCTTCGAGAATTGAATCGGCTGCCATAGTAATTTGACGGCGGTTTATTGATGCTCCGACCGCGTCAAAGTGATCAATATAATCACATAAAGCCCCCTCCTGTATAGGAGTAAGCTTCGGCCATTGGGTTGTCGTTGAAAAAGCGATTTTCCACCTTTCCATCATCGTCGTAGCCGGCTCTCGGAAACCGCGAATTCTCGCGCAGTTTTTGCAATATTAGGTTTAGATTGATTAGAAAGAGAGTCTATTGCTTTTTCAATCTCAATCTCTATCACTTTGTTGGTTTTAGGCATGGTGGGCAGCGTGGTAGAGGATAAATATGCAAATGACAAAATTGAAAAAAAAAACCGACGTTTGGGTGATCCCCTACGAATGGGTGGCGGACCCTCGCTTGCGGGGGTCCGTATTTTTTGAAAAAAAAAATTTCAGGAGCCGGTTAATGGCCACTCCTTCCTCGGCAACTGCGATAGTACTAGAATGGGCCATCACTTGCAAGAGTTTGCTTGTAAAACCAAAATAAACCATATAACAGTTTCCTGGTCTAGCGGTTATGATTTTCCGTTAACAAATGCGACTAGCTTATGTTCCGGAAAGGTTCTGGGTTCGATTCCCAGGGAAACTATTTTTGGCTTCTTTTTTTTTGCCTGCTCTATTTCAAACTACCAAGGTTGTTTGTCTAATCTACGTGGTTTAGTTTTCGTGTGCTTTTTTGAATCTCTTCTTAATGTGGTTTCAGGGTTGGTGGTGAATTTTTATTTAAAAAAATGCCAGAAGAATGTCTAAGAAAGATATATATATAGTGAAGGTCAACGTTGCAAGCATAAGATCAGTCGACCGTTTATGCGGCCTAGTCACATACATATATAACTAGGCCGCATGAGATTGCTCTTTGTTTCATTATCTTTTTCTGGATCTTTAAAAAAAGCCCCCCCGATTCCTCCATCGCTTTTTTCTCTTTACCACCACCTACACAAGAATTCTCTCAGGCGCTCCCAGAACGTGGGCAGATCTTCCTCTACCTTGGCTGACTCACACAGTGGAGACCGCACGCGCGGGAAGATGTCAAATTTGTGCTTGCCAATTCGGCGTTCACATACGATACGGCTAGCTGCTCGTTCACCCCCGATTGTATTTGCTACAAGCCGCGGTAAGTTATCAAGAGCTTGCGGAGGTCATCGAGCGCTGGCTTGCGTTTCTTCCTCGCCCTGGCAGGATAGAGAGACGTTAGTTTCGTTCAATTAAAAGTGAGCCCGGGGAAAGTCAGAGCTTACTCGCGTTAAATGATGCTCAGCTGAGCACTTTCTCTTCTTCATGCTCGATGACTTCCCTAATTGAGATTATGCACATATATCAGTGGTGACTGGAGACTCACCCGTGAGGGCTGCTCAAACTCACACCCGCTGGCATCCATATTATCTTGCACAAGGGATGTAAAGAGACGTGAACATGATAGAGAGAGTAAGTCAGAGGTGATATGGCACTCCTGTATAATTGTAAACTGTGACACCACAGGCACTACATTTGGAGATTTAATGATCAAGAGCCACTTGATAGAAAGTAGAGGAGTAAGTAATTTAAAAGTGAGGGATTCACCAAAAAGAAAGATAAGAACAAAGCCTAAACGGAACAGCGTGGTCGAGAGCAGCTAACAAGGCCACGACCGAAGGGCCTTAGATATCCCGCAACAGAACCGTTAAGGAAGATCATTGGCAGCTAAGATTCCACTTCCCGGAGTCGGGGTTAAACTACTCTTGATCCAAGCGCGCTGCACTCCGTACATTCTACGAGAGAGGAGGAAATCTACCGTAGCGGAGGTCTGACTCGGAAACAACGGACTCTGGACGAGAGCAATACATAGCTTCTTCGCTGCTATACGAGGCGCTCATTAAGGCCAGATCGGCATCTTCGAAGTTGAAATTTTCCGTTACACCCGTTTCAAGGATTCCTAGCGCATTTGTAGGGTTGATAGTCGAGCGGGCGAATGTCACTGCACAGAGAAGGCTGCCTGCGTCGGTTATGGCTGGACGCTGTGTCGATTTTCCACGACGCCGCCTCAGAGGCGATGAATGCGGGCAGGATGCGTCTTCAAATTTTGTATCGACTATTCCAACGTGTAAAAAAAAATAATCTCTTGTCGTGGGGAATTGAATCTAAGACTTTCGGGGTACTTCGAAAGCCTCGAGTCGAGTAGATAAATCCTAAATCCCTTGTTTGACTCTTAGAACAAAGCCCTTATGTAAGATATGGATGATTGTAGGGTTCTTGGACAAAGCACAAAGCAAACCACCATTAGCGCTGGATCAAGCATCTCGAGTGCTTCGATTTCTAGCAAGATCTGGCAATCTGGCGGCCGAGCGACGCCTGCAGGATATTGCACAATCTTATTCGCACGTTTGGCCAGATCATGGTATCTTGTTAGTAGATCCTGTAGACTGTGTATTGTTGTTGACCTTGTCTAGAAATGATATCGCTAATGACGCTCCCGTGCAAGTCTATATCAAATGCCGTGCATATCCCAAACGCTGAATTGACGCTGACAACCCGAAATGTAGAAAAAAAAAAGGCTATGACATGACACATGTAAAAACAGATCTATGTTCAAAAAATGCAGATAAATGACTTAGAAGCTGAACAAACCAGTGCGCTTCTTGCCGTAGGGGTAGACAGCCAAAGCCGCGATAAACAACCCGACTGTAATACCTATCGCGACTTGGATCATGCCGAAACCAAGACTGGCAACAGAAGTTTCAGAAAGAGCGCCTGTAGATGTACTGTTCCCGTTCTTCAAGAGATTTTGACGAACTTCGTCGGCGTATTTGATGCCGGCGATCAAAGACCCACTAGAAGCAAGACCAGAGGGGACCAGCACAAATATGCCGGGAAGAATAGCGGTGGCGGCATGGCCATGCCAGACCCGACTGTATAGATTGCCCAGGACACCAATAGTGAATGCGCCGACGGTGTTGGCGACTTCTGATTGAGTACCGAGCTTGGTGGTACTGAAATAGTTGGCGACGTACCCGGACAAAGCGATGAAGACCATGACGGGCATCTGCTTCAATTTTCCGTGGTTCACGATGGCCAGGAAAACAGAGTAGATGGCCACGAAGGGGAATGTGCGTACATAAACCGATCCGTAGACATGCAAGCCCGAACACGTAGATGCAGATGTCGCATTGCCATCCATCAGCCCGTAGATGGTAGTCCCCACTGTGATACCATAGCCCAAAAAGAGGGAGTAGATGATGGCATACACCATGCGAATCGAACCAGCGATCATTTGGTGAGACTGCAGTTCCAGACTGCTACAAAGAACCATGAATCCAGGGAGAATGAGAGCGATAGATGACTGTGCCATAGCGGAAAAGCAGAAGAGTGGTTCAGACACACCATTGCGGGTGACCATGATGCTGCCAAATGCGCGGGCAAGGAAAGAGGTCACGATGGCAGCAGTAACTTCAAAGACGTTGGAGTAGAGAGTTGAGCGTGGCGCGAGAACGTGCTGCATCAGCCCAACAATGCAACCGAGACAGAAAATAATGGGCAAATCAATCGGTCGCGCCTGGAAAGCGAACGGGCCGACAGCCGCACTAGCCAGACCGTACACCAAGACCAAGATCCATTTGTTGAATCGGGGCTTGCGCTGCATAATCTCGTCTAGTTCCTGGGTTGCTTCTTCGACACCGATGAGATCGTGAACAACATTCTTGTAAACGTTGTGTGTATCAGCGAGGCGACCCAGGTCGACGCCTTGCACCATTCGCACGAGCTTAACTTCGGCCGTACGTGTGGTAGGATCATCAAAGGACATGATCATGCAACCAGGCAAATATAAGAATTGGCCCGAAACTTCCAGGACGCGGGCGGTCATTTGCATGTACTCCTCCAGACGATGGGTCGGCGCACCGTATCGCATAAGCGCACGGCATAGCTGCATGATGTACCGCTGCCGTGCGATGATCTCTGCGATGTGGACGGTGACACGGATCTCATCCTCCAGACGCGTCTTGCGCCTGCTCCTCCTCCGTCTCCTGTGGATACCCGGAGCCGCCTCCACCGCAGCGGGTAGGCTAGCCGTGCTGAGATTCATGGAGGCATTGACCAGCGACGAGGTGGACAGATGCGCCGATTTCTTGTACCACTTGAGCTTCTCCCTGCGCGGGGTAGCGGCGCCAGAGGCTGGCAGAGACGCAGGGATAGGAGGCGAGAGGGAACCAATCTTCGGGGTGGAGATCCCGGACGACACCTGAGTTTCACTGTCAGAGTCATCCGTGATGACACTTTCCGAGCGCGAATAGCTCCCATTCTGGGCGGCCTGGAGTTTCAGCAGCTGCGACAAAATGCCACTGCCCCCGCTGAGTCCGCTAGATCGTCTCCGTTGTGAAAAGGCGCTGAACAAGCCCTCAGGAGTTGTTTGTCCTGACCGCTGATATGCGCCCCGAGGTTTCCGCTTCCGCAGCTGGTCCTGAACCGCGGTCATGCTGCGGACCAAGCGATGAGCTTCGGCGCTTGGGGGCGGCTCGATGATATTCTCACCGGTCTCCAATGCATGCGCTCGGTCGGCGTCGTGGCGCGCGCGGCGGGCCTGCAGTTCCTCAAGGGGAATGCCGCCGTCAAAGTCGTCTGGAATGTAAGTGGAGTTGAGCGGCTCGCCCTCATCCGGGGGGCGACCGAGGCGTTCGGTGAGGCGGCTAGTTTTCTGTCGCAAAAGGTGACCGGTAGCTCGGAAGCGATCGCGGGCCGAGGTGGTCCGGTCCATTTTACCAACGAAATCATGTTTCTCCGACTCGCTAAACTGGTCTGGGGTTTGCACGTTGGCGAGGCCGGAGCCACGGCGGGAATGTGTGGGGGCTGGCGGGGTGATGATTCCAGACGGGTTGTCGTGCAGGTCTGCGTGCGGTAGTAACGGTCGCGACGAGGGATTTGACGCATCTTCTTGTTCATTTCGGGACAAACTCATCGAGCGAAACCGAACCCTATGATGGGAACGGCTGCGAGGGAGTGTGGGTGGCTCGACCCTGACATCGTAGTGAGTGGCGTCGACGGTGGCCTCACGCTCGAGGTTATGGCGATCAGGATTCTCAATGATTGGAAGAGGGTACTCTCCGTATTCTTCATTTGGGCTGGGATGTGGATTGCTGATGCCCGACATGAAGGGAATTTAAGTGAGCCCGTTGGCTCGTTGAAAGATTAGCCAAGAGCTGCAAGCCGATTATGCAAGGCACAAGGTACAACGGCACAATGAATAGAAGTCACAGTCGAATAAGATATAGGAGAACGAGTTGAAAAGGATGAACAGAAAAAAAAATAAGAGTTGAATAATGTACAGAATTCTAAGGTTAGAACAGGATTAAATGACGAAGAATTCCCTCAAGCTGTTTTTGGACAAAAATCGGTTCTACAAAAAAAAGAAAAAAAAAAACGTTCAAAAAAAGAAAAAAAAACGACTAACAGAAGTCTAAGTCTGTCAAGGTTCCAGATTAGTGAAATTATAATAGGACGTTTATATATGTTGTGTGCACATCTGAGAATCCGAGAGACTTCACTTTATAGGCCAAGTTTACGGAGTACTTGTGACGAACATCCATGGATACAACATACAACATAACATGCACATCTCTATCATTCAGGGAATAGAATTCATAGAGTTTCCACGGAGTGTCCAAGGTGGGTCGTCCTGTGGCGATCTTATTCTGGTCCAGTTTGGCACCGAGCCATCCGCTCTAAAATTGATGGTTCGTGCTTCCTAGTCTTAGACCGACTAGGTTAATTCAGGCTTCTTTTTTTTGGTTTTCTTGACTACAACATACTTGGGACTACCTTATCTCTACCCCTTAGGCAGCGTTTGATCTGCCCAAAACGTGGGTCCTGACCCACGTTTTGGGCAATGATTTCGCAACCTCCTGAGAGGTAGTGAGGGAGATCTCAAGAGGGAGATCTCAAGTGAAGGATAGTCGAGGATAGTCGAGGATAGTCTGCAAATTGAATGCCATCAGCCATTGTCAAAAGAAATGGGTGAACATACACCAGAGCTTGTAGAAGCATGATCCACTCAAAACGGGATTTAGAAGATTATTATGCGCCGAGAGCTCAACGCCACCCGGTGGGGTCAAAATGGCGTGAATCGGTCCGATTGCATATGATTCCACATGTGATTTAATTTAGGGGTCGAGAACCCTCGATCATATCTCCCCCTCCGATGGCAGGGGGAGCTCTGGTTTTTAGTAGTTCTGTAGTTCTGGATGGCTTTCTTATCTCATCACTCCCGAGGTCTGACCACGGTATTTTCGATATGGTTTATTGAGGGATGCCGCGCATCAAAGTCACGCAGCCCAAGGGACGAGGTACCAACATGCCGGGCTACTATCCCCTAATTAACCTAGGCCCGGTCCAGCCAACACAAAACAAGGCATCGAGACGGAGTAGTCAAAGTCTAACTGGGTACAACATAGCAGAACGGACTACTCCGGATACAGCGTAGAAGGGTTGTGGAGTGGGAATCCCGGGTCAGCGATGGAGAAAGGATGGCGGGGCGGTGTCGTGGCACATCGTATTAACCTGTAAGCAGAGTCTAGGCGTACAAAGACATCCTGGTGGGGAAGAAGGTCAAGATGAGATTTGTTGGCGCTGCTGATGGGTCGGATTGTGCTTCTATCATGAATTGCAAGTGGTGTTCATACTCGCTAGTCCACCATCAGTAGGCCGGGTCCTTACGATTGGTCAAAAGACAATGGATCCTGCGGTGGTAGGGGTCGCCACCGCCAGAAGGGGGGCAAAGAGCAAAGGATCAGAGAGCATGGTAAGGTTCATTGTACAAAGATGATAGGAAGCGAACGCGATGCGAGATGAAGAAGTATTTTAGATGGAGTCGGAAAGATGATCGGGAGCTTCAATTCTGACCACGTCCATGGCACTGGTGCTTTTGCCCGGCAGAAAACCATTAGGAACCCCCCCCCCTTTGCTTTGACCAAAATTACAGATCCTCGGTATCTGAAGATGTACCTTTTGTACGGTACACCTAGCAAGAGGTACATTTGCTGCTGGTGGCAAATGCTTATTTGCTCGAATCTGTAATTTTGGTCCAAAACTGCAGAAATCGGCTGCCGTACACGGCATTGTTTTGTGAAGAACATTCGATACTGCACTTGGACTCAAATATGTTTATTTTTAAAAATTTAAAAAAATTGCAGCAATCCAGTTACGTTAAGTGCCACTTAAGTGCCAGGTGCGATTTAATAGGGGATTTTGTGCGAAGAATTGGCAGCCAGTGAGGTTGGCTGGGTATCTCGGCAATCATGGCTTTGATCTCGGTGCCTCGGAAGATATCTTCTTGTGCTTCAAGTCTTGGGGAAGGGGGCTTGGTTGTTGCCTTGAAGAAAAACCGGGAACATATACATACGTCCTAGCAATCTCCGGGGCCTAAAAAGTGTTATAAGAAGAAGTCACAAGTAAGATTTCACCACCATGTCGTTGAGATATCTGTTCATCAGTCGCAAAAGATAGAGTGGGATGAAAAGCACAATTCCAACACACGAACCTTTTCATACATGTAGTCTACACAACCAGAAATGCTTATACACTTGATTGTTGCGCTGTAATAGTCCAGGGACCACAAAAGTGGTCAATTTTCTGCTGGCAAGAAGCCAATAGGAGTTGCACTAGCCCACACGTTTAGCAACTTGGAAACACCAATGGTGAACCGCTGTGGTCTTTGTCTGAGCGTCATAAATCGGAGTGAATACAATACTGCCTGGACTTACGTGGACTACGTGGAGTGTATCGACAAATTCAGATCGACATGTCTGTGCAACTAATAGCCTCGCCAAATTTAGGCCGAAATGGACCTGTCTTCTTACGGTGAGTTCCAGGGTCCCTGGTCGTTTGTACATGTCGATAAAATGAAGCCGAACGAGAGGTATCTCTATTCCACCGTTGTTATTTGCCACAAAGAGGAATATAAATCTCGCAGGTAGACATGACTATCACCATGGCACATCGCAGTAATTCTTTATGACAACGAGGACTTTTGCTCTACTTCATCTATCTCTCGCTACCAAGAACAATGCCACTAAGATTGTTGTGTCTCCATGGTTGGGGGACGAATCAGAAGGCAAGTTATTGATTATGCTGACAAGGGGAGGATATCCTAATTTCCCAATAGATTCTGCAGTCACAACTGAGTATGCAGTCTGCGGCGTGAGTGGCGAAACAGAAAACTCTAATCATACAGGTGGGCTCATGCATGAGCTCCAACGTGATAACACCGCGACCTTCTCTTTCCTCGAAGGTGACGTCGACTCAGCTGCCGGGCCTGGAATCGCCGGCTACCATGATGGTCCGTACTACAGCTACTACCGTTTCCCACGCACCTTTTCCCACGAGGATAGCGATGAGTCCGACATCCTGGAGGCGTACGAGCAACTGAGTGAAACAGTTGCCTTGGAAGGTCCGTTCGACGGGGTTCTGGGCTTCTCCCATGGCGGCACATTGGCTGCTGGATTCATGATCCACCACGCCAAGATGAATCCGAATGAGCCCGCGCCATTTCGATGCGCAATCTTCATCAATTCCCTCCCACCCTTTCGCATGGAACCTGGGAAACGTCCAGTCGTAGACGAAGGACTAGAAGGGTTTATTTCCATCCCCTGCGTGCATATTGCTGGGGCTAAAGACCCACTGTTTGAATACTCCTTGGCTCTGTATCGCCTATGTGCTGTGAGGGAGTCGACATTTGCCGTACATGGAAAGGGCCATGAAGTCCCTTGTGATCAAAAGAACGTGGCCATAATCGCCAGTGCAATTCGAAAACTGTCCAGTCAAATATTGTGACACCAGACATCAAAGGAAGAGTCTTCACTTCGGCTGTGCGACAGGGGGCCAATCGTTGCGTGAACAAAAGTCTGTTGAAAGAGGGGAGTAGCATGTTTGCGGTTGTGGAACATAACACACCGGATGTTGTAATGGTATATTGTAGATTCTTCGCGGAGGAAAAAAAAGTTATTTCAGATCAAGACGTTCATCGGCTTTGAGTTTTGTTTCGCCGTCCAGGGTTGCACCTGGATGCTTCACTCGCTGCGACTTAAGGTGAAACCTTCTCCCATATCCCGAAGTAGACTGTAACCGAGATCGAATGACGACAAAAGGTCGGGTAGACCGATCGCTTTGATAGAGAAAAAGTCCATTGCCCTGGCCTGAGAAAAGCCAGTCCCCTCCTTTCACGCGCCTGAGTTATCTGGTCATTGGCCGTCCAACAAACAAAAAGCAACGATGTCGCAAAGAGTTAGCGTCAAACACCCCAAAGCGACCATTTCAGAACATGATCCGGCAAACACAGCCATAGGGTTCTGTACACCGATAGCAATTGTGGGAATTGGCTTTCGGGGACCAGGAAATGCCAAAAATGTTGAGGAGCTGTGGGAAATGATTCTCAATCGGAGAGAGGCATGGAGCCCAATTCCACCGAAAAGGTGGAACAGCGCAGCATTTTATCACCCAGATAATGCTCGCCATGGAACGGTAAGTGATACGTGCAATGAGTAGAATGATCAATAATGTGGGAGTAGATCAATGTGGAAGGTGGCCACTTTCTGGAAGAGGATGTATCTGTGTTCGACGCACCGTTTTTCAACATGACAAGCGACGAGGCAGCGGTGAGTATGGATTTGAACATTGTCGAGCGTACCTAATTGTCAACAAAACAGGCCATGGATCCTCAGCAGAGATTGCTCTTAGAGGTCACATATGAAGGTCTTGAGAATGGTAGGTCCTTGGACCAGATCATGGTTTCAAAGCTGATGGTGGATAGCTGGAATTCCTTTGACCAAAATTATGGGCACAAAGACATCCTGCTTTGTGGGATCTTTCTCTGCAGACTATACGGATCTCTTGCTTCGGGATCCCGAGTGTGTACCGATGTATCAGTGCACAAACTCGGGACAATCTCGCGCAATGACGGCAAACAGACTGTCATACTTCTTTGATCTGAAAGGGCCCAGTGTCACGGTAGACACGGCTTGTTCAGGGAGCCTTGTGGCACTTCATTTGGCATGCCAGAGTCTCCAGACAGGGGAATCATCGACGGCGATTGCAGCGGGAGTCAATTTGATTTTGAGTCATGAGTTTATGTCAACCATGAGCATGATGAAGTATGTGAGAAACTACCCATGACCTGAAGAATTAGACTGATTTCATACCCAGGTTTCTGTCTCCAGATGGGAGATGCCATGCTTTTGATGAAAAGGCTAATGGGTATGCACGAGGGGAGGCAGCTGGCTGTCTTATCCTTAAACCCCTGGCCAAGGCGTTACATGACCACGACAAGATCCGGGCCGTGATACGAGCGACGGGTTCCAATCAAGACGGGCGCACTGCAGGGATTACACTGCCTAATGGAGCAGCTCAAGAAAAATTGATCCGGAGTGTTTATGCACGGGCTGATCTGGATCCCTCGGAAACCGATTTTGTGGAGGCGCATGGAACAGGGACACAGGCTGGAGACCCAGTCGAGACAGGGGCAATCGCTCGTGTCTTTGGAGCTGGTCGCTCGCCTGACAATCCTGTGCGAATTGGATCCATCAAAACTAACGTGGGCCACTTGGAAGGCGCAAGCGGAGTCGCGGGTGTGATTAAGGCAGTGCTGATGTTGGAAAACCGCACGTTTTTGCCAAATAGAAATTTTGAAAAGATCAACCCGCGGATCCTGCTCAATGATTGGAAACTAAAGGTTTGACTCCTCGGGAAAGTCCAAAACCGGGGACTAACTTCAGTAGGTTCAATTGCAGCCTGAGCCATGGGAGACCACAGGTCCTCGCCGCGTTTCTGTTAATAGCTTTGGGTACGGTGGAAGCAATGCCCACGTCATTGTCGAAGATGCCCAAGCCTGCCTCTCTGAATTGGGACTCCAGGGACACAACGGAATCCCCTCGAACATAGCCAAAAGCCATGGCGAGAAATTACCTAGTCCACCGCTTGGTACACCCCGTGTACTGATGCTGTCTGGGTTTGATGAAAGAACCTGTATACAGCAGATGCAGGCTCTGAGCAATCACATTCTTGATAGGGGAGATGAAGTTGATCATGCGAAGTTTCTGAATGATCTCGCGTACACGGTAAATGAGCGTCGCTCCGTCTTTCCATGGAAGGCAGCCGTTGTCGGAGATACACTGGCTGGGTTGGCAGCCTCCCTCTCTCGGAATTTTAAAACTAAAAGCACTGTTCGGAAGCCAACCCTCGGGTTTGTCTTTACCGGGCAAGGCGCGCAGTGGGCCAGGATGGGAAAAGAGCTGCTTCAGGCTTATCCTGTCTTCAAATTGTCTATTTTGAGCATCGACGAGTTCCTAGAGGGAATTGGAGCTTCTTTCAAAGTAGAAGGTACATAAGCGTCAGTTAGCCCTCTAGAAGCTTCTTTTAACTGACATTGTTTAAAAAGGGGAGATCGCAAAATGCACCCAAGACTCCAATTTGAACCATCCAAGTCTCAGCCAGACGGTGTGCACAGCGTTGCAGATTGCACTGGTCGACTTGCTGGCATCTTGGAACATACATCCAGATTCTGTGACGGGTCATTCTAGTGGAGAAATTGCCGCTGCATATGCTGCCGGTGCACTCAGTATGAAGGATGCAATGTCAGTGGCATACTACCGAGGGGCTGTGGCAAGCCAGCTTCTCGTTGCCCAACCGAACAGAGGTGCGATGATGGCAGTTGGGATGTCTGCTGAAGAGATACAACCTTACCTAGACAGATTCCAGTCTAGACAGTTGGTGGTAGCATGTGTCAACAGTCCATCAAGTGTGACGATATCAGGTGACATGTCTGCAATTGACGCACTCGCTCACACTTTGAAAGAACAACAGGTCTTCAGCCGGCGCCTTGATGTGGGCGTCGCTTATCACTCCCCTCATATAGAACAGGTTGCCGAGAATTATCGCAGCTTAATAGACCACATCAAACCACACGGACTGGATCCAATAGTGGGAGATAAGAGGGAAAGGCCGGGGTCGTTCTTTTCTTCAGTCACTGGAACCATAATTCCTTTGAGAGAATTGGATGCTCAATACTGGGTGTCAAACTTGGTCGGACAAGTAAATTTCGCCAAGTCGCTGAGGAGTTTGTGTTTTGACACATATGGCCAACGTGCTGGCCATATAGGGGTTTCCCGAACAAGAAGGGCCGGAACAGCGCAAAAGCCTTCTGTGGATTGTCTCCTCGAGATTGGTCCTCATGCGGCACTTTCTGGGCCGATCAAGCAAGTTCTCCAGGCCGATGCGAAACTCAATGCCGCCGATATAGTCTATATTAGCATTCTGACGCGGAAGGTCAACGCCGTCACAACAGCGCTCGGCGCAGTCGCCACATTAGTATCACTCAATTACCCCATTGATTTTAGTGCAATAAATAGGCCTATGGGAACCGAGTTTAGTAGCGCGCCACAGCTACTGGTGAATCTTCCAACGTATGCCTGGAATCACACCAGGTCATATTGGGCAGAACCACGATTGAGCAAGATGTATCGGAACCGAAGGTCACCGCGGATGGATTTGCTTGGCGCACCAGACAAAATGGCATGTCCATTTGAACCTCGCTGGAGAAATTATCTTCGAACCTCAGAGCTCCCTTGGCTGCTCGACCATAGGATTCAGGGAAACATTGTTTTCCCTGCCGCAGGGTATCTGGTAATGGCAATCGAAGCTTCGATACAGCTAAACAAAGACGAAGAAAGGGTGACAAAATACATTCTGCGAGATGTGGTAATACAGTCAGCCCTGGTACTTAATGAAACCTCTGCCGTTGAGATTATGATGTCTTTTCAAAAGTCGACGCAGGACCAAGAACAGTTGTACAATTTCCACATTTATTCCATCTCGAAGGAGAATAGGTGGATTGAGCATTGCAATGGCTTGATTGGGACACAGAAAAGCATAGGTGTTTCAGGCAACGGGGTCGAGGAAACTGATGGCTATGCGACAGTCCCGTTGGGGACTGAAGTCCATGGAATTTCAGTGATCGACATGCACGATTTTTATAAGAAGCTTCAAGTTTCGGGTCTCGAATATGGACCATATTTTGCAAATTTGACAAAAGCAAGTGTCACCCAAGACGGGGCGTGCTTTGCAGAACTCACTGTACCAGACACACTGTCTGTGATGCCTGCATCATTTCAGCATGAGCTTTTGGTCCATCCATGCACGCTGGATACTATCTTTCAAACTGTTTTTGCCGCTCTACCGCTGGGTATGGGGATTGAGGAAGGACCTGCAGTCCCTGTCTCCATTGAAGAGATGATTGTTACATCCAGTCTGAGTTGTTCCGCAGGAGAGCTCATGAGTATCTGTACTCAGGTGCGCCCAATGCCCAATAAGGATGTGAAAGCATGCATAATCGCAGTAAATTGCAACGAGAAACAATTCGAAACAGAGCCAGCTATTTCAATTCGTGGCCTACGATGTGCAAGGCTCGAGCGTCATGAACCAGCATCTCAGGCAAAAGACAACCGCATAATTTACCAGATTGACTGGAAACCAGATCCAAGCTTTCTTTCCAGCCAGAATGGATCGTTCTTTTTCAACAAAAATGACCCTGTTCAAGAGCTAGCACCCCAAACAGAGTACGAAGAGAACGCAGCCGAGTTCATCAGAGCTGCGCTGGAAGATGTCGGCTCAACGGAAGCAATGGAACTGAGCACTTCTCACCGCAGATTTTGGTGTTATCTCCAAGATTTACTCGAAAGGCATGATGAAAATCCCTCAAAATCATCATCCCACTTGGAGGATATCCGTTCCCCCTCGATGGGAAGCCTCTTGCCGATTGTTGGGAAGAGCCTTGTGGCTATAATTCGAAATCAAGTTGACATTTCTTCTCTCTTCCAAGAAGATCGTCTATTGGATGAGTTCTGGGATATATTCTCAGCGGACGAGTCGTACCAGGTAGCTGCAAAATACGTCAATTTGATTGGCTACGGCAAACCAGACATCTCCATCCTTGAATTTGGCGTTGGCACAGGCCAGGTAGCGGAGATATTCCTGAACCACCTTGTTACTAAAAACGAAACACCCCACTGCGGGAAGTATACGTTTGCGCACGAAAGCGATTCTGTTATTGAGTATACCTTGAAGCGGTTGGAGAAGTGGTCGGAATGGGTTGAATGCAAGCCCCTAGATCTTGGCAATGACTTTCCCAAACAAGGATTTGAAGAGAATTCTTTCGACATCATAATCTTGCCTCATGGATTGTGTACTGCAAGTTGCGAACAAAGTGCACTTAGCAGAATCCATGGTCTTTTGAGGCAATCTGGCTATCTGATTGCAGTCAATCCTTTCGACCCAAAGAATAACATTGTGAAAAGTCTCTTGTTTAGTGCCTTGCACTGCTTGTCTGCAGACAAATTTTGCTTAGGCCAGGGTGCTTGGATGAAGAGTCAGTGGAATGAGATCTTACAAGATGCGCATTTCACTGAGGTTGATGCCTATGCGGAGCAAGACTCCGAGAAAAGCCATCAGTTCATCGTGGCCAGAAAACGAAACATTCAGAAGTCGACGAGAATGGTTTCCATCATATCCAAGGAAAAAGCCGAGGCTGCAAGGCATCTAGTTACTGAGCTCGAGAAGATCTCATGTGAGGTGAATGTGACACACATCGATAATGTGGAGTGCAAAGATCAGATTTGTTTGGTCTTGGATACTTCAGTGTCCTCCATGTTGGCCGCTCCCAATGAAATTACATTCAACAAGATAAAAACAATATTTACGAAGAGTGGTGGAGTTCTCTGGATAACAAAGGGGGGGGGCAATAGAGTCTGTCAACCCAAACGCGGCCTTGGCTGTTGGATTTGCAAGAACAGCGCGCGCCGAATCGGGCGTCAATCCGATTGTCACCCTTGATCTGGATGCTCAAAATCTTCTATCGGAGTATCAAACTGCCAAGATGATTGCGAAAATTCTTGTTACCCGATTTCTCCGTGAAAATCCAGATGGAGACACAGAATATGCGGAGAGAAATGGGCAAATCCTGGTTCCACGAGTGCTAGAACATCTGGAGGCGAACAAGACTATGAACAGCATTACCGATACCGATGTTATATCAGAGCTCAATTTCCACCAACTTCAGCAACCTCTCCGACTGTCCAGGAAACTTGATAACCCCCCTGGTTTTGTTGTTGATTCGCAGATGACAGAGCTCCCAGTCGGCTGCATTGGAATCGAAGTACACTCGTTTGGTCTGAATAAATGGGATTTTCAACCAGACTATCTTGATTGGGAAACAGACGACACACTCGGGCTGGAGTGTAGTGGTATAGTATACAAAGTCGGCGCCGGCGTCCACGGCATCACCGTGGGCGACCGAGTTGCATGTCTCGGAGCTGGGACTGCGAGAAGCTTTTATCACGATCGGGCGTCGGCTTTTCAGAGAATCGATGACGAAATGACACTACAGATGGCTTCAGCTTTGCCTCTAGCATATACCATTGCGTATTATGTTGTGAACCACCTGTCGATAGTTGAGTCGAATGATGCCATTCTCGTCCATGATGCCGGAAGCCATTTCGGCCAAGCACTTCTAGAAGTGTACCTATTGAAAGACGCTCGAATCTTTGCGACGGTCCAAAACCCCAGCGAGAAGGGCTTGCTGAGCTCGAAATTTGGAATTCCCGAGGGGCATGTCTTCATCAGCGGGAAGGATGATATAGCCAAGGAGATTTTGCGTTTGACTGATGGCAAGAAAGCAAACATCGTAGTCACATTCGAGACCGCAGATGACAAAGTTCTCCAGAGCTGCACTGCAAAATTTGGGCGGTTCATTCAACTTCGAACAAGCAAACTCAAGTCTCGACTGCTATCATGTCCTCCGAACACGTCCTTGTCTACAGTGAATATCTTTGAGCTCCAAAAGGAGCGGATGGACCTTGCGAACCGGATATGGCCAAAGGTCTTTCGCTACTTCGTCGAAGGAAGACTCAAAGGGCCTGGCTTTATTGATGCACATCATGTTTCACATATTCAAGACGCAATAATGGCGGCTCAAAGCCGGCAGCATGTTGTGGTTCATGTGGAAGAGAATGATCTTGTGAAGGTACAGCTTATCCTATCCCTCAGAGGGCATACGTTCACCTGCCCTCAGCTAACAAAATTTAGGCTACACTCCCCAAGTCCACGCCGCCATTGTTCCATGCAAATGCGTCATACATGCTGGTTGGTGGGCTTGGTGGAATTGGGAGGGTGGTTGCCTTGTGGATGGCGGAGAATGGAGCAAAGAGCCTAATTTTCGTTAATCGAAGCGGCCTCTCAAAGTACCAGGCTCAAATGACAGTGAGAAATCTGGTCGAAAAAGGTGTACAGATAACCACCCGCGCTTGTGATATATCCGACGAGACTGAAGTACAGCAAATGATTCATGATCTGTCTTACTGCGCACCTCCAATACGGGGGCTGATACAGGCAGCCATGGTTCTTAAGGACGTTCACATTGAAAACATGAGATTGGACGAGTATCGGGATGTTACGGGCCCGAAGTATTATGGCACATGGAATTTGCACAGACATCTTCCTACGGATCTTGACTTCTTTCTGATGTTGTCGTCTATTAGCGGCGTCATTGGGAATGCCACACAGGCTGCATATGCCGCTGGCAGCACTTTCATGGACGCATTCGCCGCTTATCGAAGAAGTTTAGGCCTTTCAGCAGCATCTTTGGACCTCGGAACGATCACAGATGTTGGTCATTTGGCTGAAAACCAGGATCTTGCGGTCAAGATGGAACGACAGGGATTCCAGGGTACTGATGTAATAACTCTTTTATCCCTGATTCAAGTTGCAATCTCCCAGTCGACGAGCGGAGGAGCACAATTTGTGACTGGTCTTGGTCGATGGAAAGAAACGGTGTCACTTGGGAACTTTAATGCGCCTTTGTTTTCCCATTTCCGATTCAAATTCCAGGGTTATGCCGGATCAACTGCACTCGGCGACTCGATGGAAGGATTGAAGATTGAAATCGGTGGTGCAAAGACGGTGGATCAAGCCGCCGTTGTCATCTGCAACGCTTTGAGCAGGAAAATTGCCTCCCATCTCTCCGTCTCAGTTGAAAATATCAATCCTTCTAATCCAGTCTCCGAGTATGGAGTTGACTCCCATGTGGCAGTGGAGTTGCGCAACTGGATATCACGATCCATGGATTGCACTATTCCCATTTTGGAAATCCTCGCAATGTCTATGTTGGAATTATCTCATCGGATTGCGAGCAAGCGATTTGAGGGAAAGTCGGAGTGAGGTTACTGATCTAAGCTGGCAATGGACAAGTGCAGAGAATACACTAGAAAAAAATACACAATCTGAGGTGGGCCAGGTTTTGGTACGTCCTTGCTATGTCTTATGTGGATTTCCTTTTTATTCCCTTCTAATACACAAACATATAGGCAAATGTAGGGCTTGATAACGTCTCTGACTACGAGAAAAGCAAGGGTAGAGGGCTGATTAATACATAGTATAGTCACTACCGTTGCTGAATTTCGGTGGAATCAAGGTGCTTCTTTATTCGCGACGGGTGGGGACTGAATTAATCAGGGCGCTGACTGCATTGAACAGTTTTGTCTCATCGTCTGTTTGACATAGTGGTGGGAAAATTTTCTTTCAAATCTATAGATGAAACTGGCCCATCTTGTAATACTTCGAGGTCTATAGGAACCTCTTGTTGGATACCCCTTTCTTCCCTTTCTATTTGAGGCAAGGTATTCAAAGAAAACAAAGAGTGAATCGCTTCGTATAGACCAGACATCCAAAAACCATTTAGAGCAAGCAAACGGTGTACTCGCTCGGTCACTGATCACCTGTGCATCTTGATGATGGGTGATTAGGAAAGAAACCGGATGTGGTTTGCTAGTCAACAAGACCAATTTTAACGTGCATAACGGCAGAGTTCGACAACTAACCACCTTCATACCTGAATCCTCCACTCAATACGTGGTAGTATGATCCCCGCCCTAGTCTCAGTCCAGCCACTGTTCGGAGCCACGTGCCGTGGCTCCTTGTTTTGTTCCCTGATCTCGCTCCTCATCCTTAGAATCTGTCTCCAGAGACCACCTCCATTTCCTTATATGCTTCCTCGTATATAGTTTCAGAAAATTTAGGCTGGATTGCCAGATAGCAGTCGAGAATCTGACATATATATGCTTTCGAATGCTCTCTCCCGTTGTGTCGTCCTGGGTGTTCCAATGACTGACTGATGTGATCATTATGTTGGGTAGTCGAAAGCCCCTGCGCAGGTACTGGAATTGATTAAGGCCGAAGAACTCCGACGGTGCCAGAGTTGTCCGCTTTTAGTGGCTACCACACTAAATCTAGTCGTGGGGCTATTTGAACTCGTGCTCCTCTCCATTCAGCGCCCTACGAGCGAAGGTGACGCTGTATCCGTAGCCGATCAGAATGATGAACTATCGCACGGCTGGTGAGAGAATGCAGCCGCAGGAGCTCGACTACAAATGTTCATTTAGCTCTCACAATAGAGAATAAGGAGGGCAGTTTTACCCCGAGGCCATCTTGCTCAGTGGGTAAGATGAAATGAGATCAAATCAAAGGATGGGGTCGATGAATCAACGATGAGGTGGAGTGAAGAATTAAGCAACAATGAGATGTAAGAAGGAAGAGGAAGAATGAAATTTCAATTGAAGAACTAACACGTCCAGGTCTCCAATCGACAACTGTCTACGCGCTTTCCTTTGCACTGTCTCATCCAAGCTTGGATATGTTCACTTTCCCATTCATTGCTCTTACCCACAAAGGGTTGATGGTAAGATTCCTTTCTAAACCTGTCGCCTCAAGTATCCTTTGTATTTATCTAGTCGATTCTATCTGGTCTTTGGAGGTCGTTGCGTTCTTGTCAAGACCACCAGACCCAATACCCCCTTTCGTCAATAACATTTCAACATCCCATAGACTATCATTGATCCCCAGGGCTCCAATTGGCACCGATTTTGATTCCCGCTTGGTTCCATGATCAATAACCCATAACTTGAATGAGTGCCTATTCGAGTGCCCGGAAGATTTTGATGTAATGCAGCTGCTATAACTGTTGGTCTATGAACATGAAAGCTTGGCTAGGGTTGCAACTTGGCATGGCCTCTGTGAGACTTGCACTGGACTTGTGCTTTGGGATGTACATGCGACCAGTGTGGGCTGAGCATAGATCACAGCTAGTTACATATGCGACCCTTTTCTGGACACGAAGATCATCACGGTATATCCATTCAGTTTCAACTATGAGTGGAGCTCAATTCACCCAATAGCCAAAAATAAGGGCACACGTCGTCATTCACATAGATGTAAGTTTCCAGAGAATCACTAGCCCACTTCGTCCAAGTCTTGTCTTTCCCTTTGCAGTATTTGAGGCCGTGGTTCGACTCCTTCCGCTCCTTTTTGATGGCCCTAATAGCCCAGCCCGTTTGGGGGTTCCCCCAATCTTCCAAGGTGAGGCTTTGATTGTTTGGGGCATTCTTTACGAAGCTATATCGTGATACTTAGTCCTGCCATTGAGACGTAGTGCAATACGTCTTTCCTGGCACTAAATTCCACGGAAGAAACCCCTCTTCATTTTCCGTCCCTACGTGGACAAACAAATTCGTTGTTGGAAGGGAGTTTGACCAATTGCTGATCGAAGATTTCATCATTGACGACCCTCCTCTTGTATCCCCTCAACTGGGAGACCCACTATCCGCCTTTTTTTACAAGGTTGAAATGGCGGAGCTGATAAATCTGGCTTTCGGGGCTGTAGATTGCCTTGGTAGCCGTCACCAATTTGCAAGCTATGGCCCTATTGGCCTAGGATCCTGGATCTCCTTTTACGCGTCTGGTAGTACTGTGTTGGCGCTTCTCTGAGGTCGGAGATGATTTGGTTAAGCGAAGATCTAACCGATTTTCACCAGTCAGTATTCTACTCCTTCAAATTTAGATGTAGACGTACCTCGCTCTCAATTGTGCTCAATGGAAATGGTAGGATGTGTGTCACTTTCCGATTTCCAAACAAATCTATTTCGATGTCCATTAAGGGAAGAAGTAAGAGGTGCGCTTGTGTCTGACAGGGAAAAAATGAATGTCGGAAGGTGAGCAAGATTCCAAGGTCTGAGGAGCGGAGTGCTTTTGTTTGTAGGTCACCAGTTATCTAGTTACTCAAATGCTAGTCAGCCTAAGTGCACTCTGCTCTTCACGATGTAATTCGGCCATTTGGTGCATTTTAGCTTAACAGGAATTTTTTTTTTAAAAAACTACATATTTAGGGCAAGTCTAGCGCCAAGCTGACAAGAAAACTCATTACATGTATAGAACGTCAGGTCAGTCGAATGGAGACGCAGTTAAGGCCTCTGTAGGATTGCTCGACGGCTAGAAAACGTGGGAAAAAATGGGCGTAGACAAGCTCAAAGCGGGTTTCAGCGGGTTCCAAGGTTAATGGTGAACTTAAGCAAGCCATAAACTATGCTTCCAAGGTTCACTAAGCGCCACCAAGCCAAGGTTATTCTAGGCAACCATTCTATGTTGCAAGTTTTCGATTCAAGGTGCCAGATTAATTTCAGATGTTCCCTTCTCAGTACAAAGTTCAAGGTTATACAAATGGAACTGTTTCTGGCTCCTTTTTGTCGTCTACAAAACTGACAGGATATCTGTGAAAAAAAGAAGAAAAAAAAGGACAAAAGGCTAACCAAAAGAGACGTCACAAAAGCCGCACACGCAGACTTTTCTTGTCCAAGATGTGTACGGAGTACGTGATGAATCGAAAGTCGGTCAGGAGAACAGGTTTGTAAGTTGTACAACATGGGTGCATTGCAAATGGGGGTATCGGATCTTGTCATCGTGGACGAATCATTTGAATTCCTTCACTCTCAAAATTCCAGATCGGGATGTCCCATGCGCACGGCTTTGAAATTCACGGCTATTGCGGCGCCTGAGTAAGGCAAGAGATCGAGATCTACCTATTCTAGTGTCATCCATAGATGTTCTAGTCTCTTCCAACGAATGCGGTTCTCGGACTTCGGCCTTTTGCCCTAATCAATTTCTCTTTCTAGTTCCGGAATATAGTTATAGCGAACATGTGTGGAGATAGCTCAATCCCCATCTTCCAATCGGAGCTCAGGTCAAGCAAACGAGCCGATTAATCAGCGGCTCGGAGTTAGAAGAGTTCATCCGACCCAATATAGGCTACCAGTTTATGACTCTAAACATGGGTCTTGAAGCGAAAGATCTGTTTCATCACTTTGAGGCTCCCCACCAACTGCCAATGCCGCCAATAACAAAGCAATGTTTGCTTCGGCCTCGGATTTTTGGGGCCGTAGTAGTGGAAACCCGACGCTCTCATAAAAGGATGAGGTTCTCCCAAGTTGATAGCCGTATGGTCTTTTGATTGACCTTTTCCAAAGTCCCCTCCCACCCCCCCCTTTCCCCATTCCCCCTTCTTCTCTACCTTCCACCGCGATGGATGGGTCAGAAAAAGGACCGGGCGCAAGCTCTGATGACATCCAGTTCGATACCGAAAGCGCCATGACGATCACAGGCGAAGAAACTCCCGACAAGGAGAGCTCCAACCTCAAAGGAAATGACTGGAGAATGATGACCAAGCTCCAGGATGATAACGATCGCAACCTGGCTGCTGGATTCAAGAAACAGGAACTTGGTATCACATGGCGGGATCTCTCTGTGCAGGTAACAAGTTCAGAGGCCGCCGTGAATGAGACTGTTCTCTCCCAGTTCAATTTCCCCACCATTATCAAAGAGAGCCGGCGAAAGCTTCCTCTACGGACGATCCTCAACAAGAGTCATGGCTGCGTGAAGCCCGGTGAAATGTTGCTTGTGCTGGGCCGCCCCGGCTCCGGCTGCACGACTTTGTTGAAAATTCTTGCCAACAGACGAGGCGGGTTCAAATCAGTGGAGGGAGATGTTCGCTTTGGATCCATGCAGCCGAAGGAAGCTGAAAATTTCAGAGGTCAGATTGTGATGAACACCGAAGAAGAGATCTTCTTTCCATCTCTAACGGTTGGTCAAACCATGGACTTCGCCACACGCCTGAAAGTGCCCTTCCATCTTCCAGACGGAATGACTGCCTTGGAATACCAAGAAGCCTCGAAAAAGTTCCTACTCGAATCCGTCGGAATCTCTCACACCGAGGACACCAAGGTCGGCAATGAATACGTTCGTGGAGTTAGCGGTGGTGAACGCAAGCGAGTTTCCATCATCGAATGTATGGCCACCCGAGGATCTGTCTTCTGCTGGGATCAATCGACTCGTGGCCTTGACGCCTCTACTGCCCTTGAATGGACAAAGGCTATCCGAGCTATGACCGATACACTCAATCTGTCCACCGTGGTAACTCTCTACCAGGCCGGTAACGGTATTTACGATTTGTTCGACAAAGTTCTCGTGCTTGATGAAGGAGAACAGATCTTCTACGGCACCAGAGAGCAAGCCAGGCCATTTATGGAGGATGCTGGATTCATCTGCCGCGAAGGTTCCAACATCGCTGATTACCTCACTGGTGTCACCGTACCCACAGAGCGCAGAATTCGAGATGGCTTCGAGAGTCGCTTCCCGCGCAACGCGGAGGCTGTGAGAGCCGAGTATGAAAAATCCCCCATCTACACACAAATGATAGCGGAGTACTCTTACCCGGAATCCGATCTTGCCCGCGAGCGGACTGAGGAGTTTAAGCAAGGCGTGGCTTTTGAAACCTCCAAAAACCTGCCCAAGAACAGCCCCTTCACCGTCGGCTTCGTTGATCAGGTTAAGATTTGTGTGCAGCGTCAGTACCAAATCCTTTGGGGCGACAAAGGAACTTTCATCATCAAGCAGGTGGCAACGCTATGCCAGGCCTTGATTGCCGGCTCCCTGTTCTATAATGCCCCCGACAACTCTGGTGGACTGTTCGTCAAATCAGGTGCTCTCTTCTTCTCCCTTCTTTACAACAGTTTGCTGGCTATGAGTGAAGTAAACGAGTCCTTCTCTGGAAGACCTGTGTTGATTAAGCACAAGGGCTTCGCTTACTTCCACCCGGCCGCTTTCTGTCTTGCCCAAATTGCTGCGGACATACCTGTCTTGCTTTTCCAGATTTCTATGTTTGGTCTGGTTATATACTTCATGGTTGGACTCTCCATGTCAGCCGGGGCGTTCTTCTCCTACTGGATTATCGTTTTCACAACGACAATGGTAAGTGCCTTTCCATTTTCTCACATGATCATCAACTAATCAACATACAGGCTATGACTGCTCTCTTCCGAGCTGTTGGCGCTCTATTTTCTACCTTTGATGGGGCCTCCAAGGTCTCTGGTTCGTTGATCATGTTCACCGTTCTCTACACCGGTTACATGATTCCAAAGCCTACAATGCACCCGTGGCTCGGCTGGATCTTCTGGATCGACCCGCTAGCTTATGGTTTTGAGGCTTTGCTAAGTATAGAATTCCATGATAAGACCTTTATTCCATGCGTCGGAAAGAATCTGATTCCCACCGGCCCCGGATATGAGAATGCCCAGGCGCATCAAGCTTGTGCAGGTGTTGCTGGCGCGATCTCAGGCCAGAATTTCGTGGTTGGCGACAACTATCTGGCGTCGCTCTCATACAGCCACTCGCACGTTTGGCGCAATTTTGGCATCAACTGGGCGTGGTGGGTTTTGTTTGTTGCTGTCACGATGGTCGCTACTTCGAACTGGCAGACACCCTCAGAGTCTGGTAGCACGCTGGTCATCCCCCGTGAATACCTGCACAAGCACGTCCAAAATCAGCAAAAGGATGAAGAAGGTCAGAGTTTAGGGAAGCACGTTTCCCAAACGAAGGATGAGGCCCCAAAGTCTGACAACAAGTTGGTCCGCAACACGTCCGTTTTTACATGGAAGAATCTTTCATACACGGTTCAGACACCTAGCGGTGACCGTCTCCTCCTTGACAACGTCCATGGATGGGTGAAACCGGGCATGCTTGGTGCCTTGATGGGTTCCTCGGGCGCCGGCAAGACAACCCTACTTGATGTTCTCGCTCAACGTAAAACTGAAGGAACAATCAAAGGCTCAATCATGGTGGATGGTCGTCCACTGCCTGTCTCATTCCAACGCTCGGCCGGTTATGTTGAGCAGCTGGACATCCACGAACGTATGGCAACGGTCCGGGAGTCCTTGGAGTTCTCTGCCCTACTGCGCCAACCTGCTACCATCCCACGCGAAGAGAAACTTGCTTATGTGGATGTCATCATCGATTTGCTCGAGCTCCATGATCTGGCTGATACCATGATTGGTAGTGTAGGGGCTGGATTGAGTGTAGAACAGCGCAAGCGTGTCACTATTGGAGTCGAACTCGTTTCCAAGCCTAGCATTCTGATCTTCCTCGACGAGCCTACTAGCGGTCTTGATGGCCAGAGTGCGTACAACACTGTGAGATTCCTTCGCAGACTTGCGGATGCTGGCCAGGCTGTACTAGTCACCGTGCACCAACCATCTGCGCAGCTTTTCGCCGAGTTTGATCAGCTTCTTCTGTTGGCCAAGGGAGGCAAAACTGTCTACTTTGGTCCCATTGGAGAGAATTCGCAGGATATCAAGAGCTATTTCTCCCGTTATGGAGCCCCGTGCCCGTCTGAGACCAACCCTGCTGAGCACATGATTGACGTGGTCTCTGGTCAACTGAGTCAGGGTAGGGATTGGAACAAGGTCTGGATGGAGTCGCCTGAGCACAGTGCCATGCTGAAGGAGCTTGACGAGATCATTGAGACCGCTGCATCGAAACCGCAAGCTACTACCGATGATGGTCGGGAGTTTGCTTGCACCCTCTGGGAGCAGACAAGCCTGGTTCTAAAACGGACATCAACAGCCTTATACCGAAATTCTGACTACATCAACAACAAGTTTGCCCTCCACATCTCATCAGGATTGGTTGTGGGATTCAGTTTCTGGAAGATTGGCGACTCAGTCGCTGATCTTCAGAGTGTGCTATTCTTCGTCTTCAATGCCATCTTTGTCGCTCCGGGTGTGATCAATCAACTGCAGCCGACTTTCCTTGAACGCCGCGATCTGTTCGAGGCACGCGAGAAGAAGGCCAAGATGTACTCCTGGAAAGCGTTCACCATCGCGTTAATTGTCTCTGAGTTCCCCTACCTGGTCGTGTGTGCCGCTCTCTTCTTCAACTGCTGGTACTGGACGGCCGGTATGACAGTTGATTCCAGTAAAAGCGGCAGCATGTTCTTCGTATTTTTCCTCTATGAGTTCCTCTACACTGGAATTGGTAAGCTGATCATTCCTTTTCATATTGGCTTCCGCTAACAAATTAATCTAGGTCAATTCATCGCTGCATATGCACCCAACGCCCAGATGGCTGCCATGACAAATCCTCTAATCCTGGGCGTAAGTTTTCTTCATTCTTACCCTTCTTAGTATCTCGGCTAATACCGTCTTTTTCAGACAATGATCTCTTTCTGTGGTGTTCTGGTCCCCTACGCCCAAATAGTTAGCTTCTGGCGATACTGGATGTACTGGATTAACCCATTCAACTACCTCATGGGCAGCTTATTGGTCTTCGGCTTGTTCGATCGCGAAGTCCATTGCAAGGAGCAAGAATTTGCCAAATTCGATGCACCCAATGGAACCACTTGCGGCGAATACCTCAGCGAATTTATGCAGACCATTGGTGCCCGTATGAACCTCACCAACCCCGAGGCTACCGAAGGATGCCGCGTGTGCGAATACACCCGTGGATCCGATTACCTTTTCACCATCAACCTGAAGGACTACTACTACGGCTGGAGAGACGCGGGTATTGTGGCTCTGTTTGTGGTCAGCTCGTATGGGCTGGTGTTTGGACTCATGAAATTGAGAACCAAGGCATCCAAGACTGCCCAGTGATTATGTTTTAAAGCCCCAGGAACATGGATTATCGACAATCTCTAGACTTGCTATCTTTCCTTCCTATGCGAACACCTACAGGTGTGAGCACAGGTTTTTTTATTTTGCTTTCGCTATAGAATATGTACCTCTCTAACGATTTTAGAATTTAAATTTTAATAATTGACATCGTCGCCTTTGTTTTTGTTTTTTTTTGTACTTGGTTTCAAACACTGACATGCCGAGAAGGTCATATTGAGGCAGTCGAGTGTCTAGGAGTTACACCGACCAAGCTCCAGCCACACGGAGAAAGGGCGAGCTTTTTTAGAAACATTTCTTGAAACAGAGTGCAAGATCAGACAGGCTGGGTTGAGAGTGATGGGCATAGGGAATCAGCTACTCTCATCGCCATATCACATCACTTTACAGCCTTTGTCTCAAATGGACGATTGTCTGTCCTAACGGAGTTGCGCAATGCTTGATTTTCAGAGCCGAGATGTTCAAAGTCTCTCGTATAAGCCCAATGAACAATGTTGACGTTAACGCAGCTCGGCTCAAAGAGTTGGTCGGACTTTGTCCGAACCGAAGCGAAACGAGGGCCCAAATTGCAGCCGGAGAGCCCGTCTTGGGTAGGGGTAAGCACTCTCCGGACTCCCTTGTCTGTAATGATCCTGTATCTCCACCATGGGGGTCATGGCGGTTTTCTTTCCAATGAGACCTCGTCAACACCGTCATCTCACCGGATCTGCTCGTACAATTTCCGCATTTGGGACTTCCCCGCAAAACGATTGGGCCCCACGTTTCTCCAGAATTCAGGATTCACGGGGTAAATGCGATCTTCAGACTGACACAGTTCATACCGCTCCCCGCACATAAAAAGAGAGGCCCGGAAATCTTGTTCCTACTCTATACCATTTCAATCTGATCAAGCAATCATGGGAACTGAAAATACCATCGCAGAGGCGGAGTTGGGGATGAAGATGGACTTGAGCCATGAGGAAGTTGTCCATATGGCAGAGTTAACTGAGGAAGAGAAAGTTATCGAGAAGAAATTGCGCAAGCGGATTGATGCCCTGGTAATGCCACTGGCTATTCTGGTCTACCTGATGAACTACATCGATCGGTACATTGGCCTCATCCATAACAGTCAGTCGATGCTAATTGAAGTAGCAACAATTATGCTGCAGCGAAGCTTCAGGGTCTCGAAGAGGATCTCCACCTCGACGATGCAAAGTACCAAACCGGCCTCTCAGTTCTCTTCGTTGGATACATTCTCATGCAGGTGCCTTCGAACATGCTTCTAAATTATATGGGTCGACCATCCCTGTACATTGGATTCTTTGTCTGCGCTTGGGGATTGGTATCGGCAGTGACAAGTCAAGTCACAACCTATGGAGGCATTGTAGCATGCCGGTTCATTCTCGGTTTGGTCGAAGCACCCTTCTTCTGCGCCATTCTCTTCTATCTGTCGAAATGGTATAAACGGCAGGAAATGGCTTTCCGGATGAGCATTTTCTACTCCGGCTCCCTGCTGAGTGGCGCTTTCGGAAATCTCATCGCCGCTGGTATTCTCAACGGTCTCGAAGGCCACCGAGGACTTTCGGCATGGCAATGGCTATATATTATTGAAGGTTCCATTACCTGTGCCATTGGACTGGTCATTTGCTTTGTTCTACCTGACTTCCCGGAGACATGGAAACTTCTGGCTCCGGAGATGCGCAAAGTTGCCCAGCGACGTCTTGCGATTGAGGCCGGCCAGGCCGATGTGGATGAAGGGGGTAGCAAAAGCCAGTTCGAGGGTTTCAAGCTCGCCATGACTGACATCAAGACCTATGTATTCGCCTTGGCGTTTATGTGCATATCCGGAGCAGCGGGGTTCCAAAATTTCTTCCCAACATTGGTCAAGACTCTCAACTTGCCCGAGACCATCACCCTAGTGCTGGTGGCACCCCCATATCTGTTTATGGTTGTATATTCTCTTTGCCACTCTGTGGCTTCTGATAGATTGGAGAAGAGATTCTGGTTCTTTATCTACCCGATCCCGATCACCATCATTGGATTCGTCATCTTCATGAAAACCGACTCTTTTGCGCCCCGATACTTCTCGTTCTTCTTGATGGTCTTTGTGTTCGCCCAGAATGGAACTCTATACTCCTGGCTGGCGAGCTCTATTCCTCGCCCACCTGCCAAGCGTGCTGTTGGTAAGTCATAATTCCTGGGTGTGTTCAACAGGCCATCAAGCTAACCTAGACAGCCTTTGCATTTTTCAACTCAATTGGAAATAGCGCTTCGATTTGGACCCCCTACACTTATCTTGACAAAGAAAAACCTCATTACGCCACGGCTATGGGTATTTGCATTGCACTGCAGATTATCGGTGGTCTTGCGGCTCTCTTCCTATATTTAAATTTGCGTGCGCTCAACAAACGCCAGGAGCGTATGGAGAATGAGGAAGTGCAGCTTTCTGAGATGGACATTCGTCGGCTTCAGGCTACTGCTGAGATTGAAGGGATTGATATTGCCGCTGCTAGACGGCTGCAAAAAGGTTTCCGCTATGTGTTGTAATAGAACTCTCGCAATTCTAACTATGATTTGATTTGATTTGATATCTCAACGTCAATTTGAGGGCTTTGACTCGCGTATACGTGTGAACAAGGTGGTACTCACTATGGGACAAAGCCCAATCAGGACATGGCAAATGAATGAAGACCGAGTGGCACGACTGTCCTATCATCCTTAGGTAGTGTTCAGACTGCACGATATTGTCCAATCATGGATTTACCCCATCAATTTGGTGTGTCACCTGACTTGCCTCTGAAGTCATGGATTATTTAAATAGTTTGAACTGCATCTCGTGTCCTTCTATCGTCCCTTAATTGTTCACAATCCAAGATTCTAACCCGAATCCAAGTAAATCATCGTACAAAGTCTGATCGACAGACAACCCAAGATCGATATCCCTTCTAAAACTCATCGAAATAAACCCCCCCCCCCCCCCCACCACGGTCCCACACGATGCAATCAGTAACTTCACGACCAATTCTCCATATCACCACCACACCAATCCTTCTGAGATTCCTATGTATCACCCCAAGAATAATGGGTGCAGGTGATATAGGTTCGACGAAGTCGGGCTTTATGACCGAGTAGGGTGGCACACTGCAGAATGAATGACGTCATATCTGATCAACAGCAGGAAAGACTCCTTCGCCAAGCGTGAGGCTGCACACGAAGCCATGTACATTCGACAAATCGAAATGGAGAAGTGAGTCACAATAAAGAAACTCCAAGATTTAAACTTACTCGGTAAAAGGCTTGAACGTCTTAAAGAAAAGCTCAAGGAGCAGCGCAAGCATATGAATGAACTTGACAAGCATCTGTAGGGACCCTGGACATTCCCCGTGAGTTTAACACTGACAGGTCACAGCGATGAATATACCAAGTCTCAGGGGGGTGAGCAGAACTAGATTTGCGGCTTCTTTGCAAGCATCTCATGAATAGTATTGATGGTCATACGGTCGACTTCACCCGAGATGTCAATATGCGCACTTCCCTTGATTCGACTTTCAGCTTACAACTGTGTCATCATGATTTTCAACCGTGTGCACGCGAAAATTTGTTAGCCTAGCATTAATACGAATTGATGTTTAACATCGAGTCTTAACCGGACTTCTCTTTTAGCATCTTCACTAACTTGAAATCTTTGCTTGCCATATCCAACGGTGCCTCAAACAGGCCCATCTGGCCATCTCGATCAAACCAAGTGATTCGATTCAAATGCTTCCCCTGTATACCATCATGGCTCTCTTCCCGACTTTGTCGAGCATTCCGCCGCCAGTGGGGACACAGATAAGTGTGCTAAATCCCCATCAGTAACGAACTGCTCAAATGAATCCCAGTGACTCACGTAAAGCTGGCAATGGTATATATCAGGCCAATCCTTCCATCAATCTCGCTCGCCCTGCAGATCTGCCTGATATAGGCTGGTGCAAGACCCAGGAATGATCTCGAAGCCAACCCGAAAATGACCGAGAACATATCCAGTTCGATCAGGGAGTTGTCAAAGAGTAGCCAGATTACAAACCCTGCAAAAGCATCCAGAGCAATGAGTCCACTTTGGGTGTTGATTCGACCAAACCGATTAGCCACGCCTCCAGTCATCGGTCGTCCTACCGTGGAGACTCTGTGCCCGACTAGTCAGCGATTTGACCGAGAGACCACCGACATGCCACTTACACTTTCGGAACGGCAAGTACAACGTTAGCATTGGCAGAAAAACCTGTGATCACATCAGTTTTTGGTGAATCCAGCCCTTTCCACAAATGGAATTATCCCTTCACCAAGGCCCGCACCCGACATCAAAGTCCCAATCGCAAGGCTGCCTTTCGATCGAACCCGTTTGAGGCACACTGGCCAACGCGATGGCGCTCAAGAGGGCTGCACCGGTCCCAGAAAGAACACTCAAATAAAAGAAAAAAGGTGCCAACAAAGGTGGCTGTCAGCTAGAAGAGGATTAGTCCATCTAGCAGATAGTGCCAGCTTTAAGGATGCCCCTAGGGCCATATCGATCAAACATCGGCCCAACCTGGACCGAAATACTCAGACCAAAGAAATCGAACAGTCCTAGAATCCAGCCAACAGCACTGGGATGTGTAGCTGGCTAGCTGATGCGTGACGAAGTAATTTTTGCAGACTTCCAGTCGCGTTGCATCACGCCAACTGTACCCATCGAGAGACCGAATGAGCCCGCCACAATACACCATGCCTGCAGTCCTTCATCTGGAAATGTGTCGTTGGCACTGTTGACTGATCAAATGGGTTGTGAGTATGGATAGCTCCGCTGGGGGCCCGACAACGGAAAATGCCGACCGGGGTGCTTCTTCATCGACGTTTGAATTGCGACTTGAGGGGTGACCATTGGGATAGTCCGTTACACCGGTCGAGGCTAATTGCTATGTCTCTTGCACTTGTTCTTACCCAGCTGCGGTGGCGGACTTTTTCACCACTACAACATACACTCTCCTTGACAGATGGTACCGACGGGGATTGACGGCAAAGGGAGCAGTAGCAGCGAAATACAGCGCACCTTGACAAAATGTTACAGAATCTCCAGAATTCAAATATGATGGTCATTACGAAAAGGGCTTACATCAGTCTCCATGATCTGGTGGGGTAGAAGATTGTGTTCTTAATACACTTTGGCATTTTCGATCGTCAACGTGGGGAACGCTGTGCTCATGGAACTGGACATGGGTTTTTTTAATTAATTTTCGGAGGGCTTGCCGCTCAATGACGCCTATGGCTTCAGTGGCCTTTCCATCAAAATTGCTTTTTGATTAAAGAACTGCCCAGGTGATACTTCCTTACGAGAAATCCCCCAATCGGCCCCCCTCTCCGAGATCACCTGGACTTGACCTGGTATCCATGACTCAACGTAACTTTCTGTCAGAATCACGTTCGTTGATTCGTAGGTTCGTAGGTTCCTCTTTGTCGCTGTAGTTCAATTTTACATAGGTACAGATGCAGTTGATCTCTCATCTCCCGCTGTTCATGGGAATTCATCTAAGATTTTGATCTTTGAAAAGGTCAATTGGACGGTTATGCTGCAGAGTGAGGGTCGACGAGGATCAGTGGCATGACACTCGCCCCACCCGACACCCCCAACATTCCCCCGAATTCCTCCCTTGACCAACTTCAAACGGAGTGGCATGATGTAGAACAGAGCCAGCTGACGTTGGGATGATGTTGGTGAATCACAGTGAATAGCCTATATCTATCCGATTTCTTTTGACCAAGATCTAATCATCAAGATCTCTATTCCTCCACAATGTCTGCAGTACAATGCACCCGGCTATTTACCAGAAACATCCCTCAAGTGAGGCGACAACGCCAACTACAAAAATCTCGCGTCACCCTCGTCGGGAGTCCAGCTCCAAGTCACAACCCTGCCATTGACTCTGAAGTTCTACCGTATCGACTGTACGAACTATCCCTAAAGAAGATCCGAAAAGAGGCCCACACGGCTGAGCCCGATCTACGCCATGTCATTGCGGGCATCACAATGCAAAAAGTGGTTTCCAGTGCCGTGCATGACGATATTCTACACAGAGTCGACTTGATCGAATCTGCCAAATTACCTCGAAGACTGCCAATCTTACCGGGAGCCGATGAGCCTTGGGAATCTGAAGAAATCACAGATCACACCGCAAATCCGAATGCGTGGGATATGGAATCTCTCGATCAAGCGCTTTGTGAGATGGAACGCGCAAGCAAAAAAGGAAAAATTGCGAAAAGTGTTTGTTTTAAATTAATTAGTGCGATGTGAAGGTTGAAGATTAAAAAAAAAAATACATGTCAACGTTGGTCTATCTGAACTTGAGAAGGCTCTATTTCCCCTTCCCCCTTCTCTTCGTCAAAATTCTGATGTGGCTCCTCGATAATCTTTGCTAGCGCGGTATAATATATATACCATCTACACCAATTTGTATGTTGTAGGTTCGTGAAAAAAGAAAAAATACTGTATTTGAATGAAATAAACATACCCCCAATTACTAGTTCCGAAAGATCGGCAGGATCTACAGCAGAATCTGGACTAGGGAGGGTAGACGTTTAAGCGTAGCTGGACAGTATTCCATACTTGGGCGTTCTTCGGATGTGTTTGTAATGAGGCCTAGACGAAACTGAGATAATAGTCAATCGTTAGACGATATTTGGACACCTCAACGGACGTAACAGGGGCATATTCATGCGTGTGTACGCGTGATTTTTTTTTTGTTAAATTTCCACTGTGCCAATAGTGTTTACCCTTTTTTTTTCAACGTTACTGAGGCATAATTTAAACAGTACTTGGATTTAGTGAGACATAATCTAGACGGTTAAGCCTTAAAGAGACGTTAATCCGGAATGGCTTACGTGCAATTGGAGTTGAACGTCTAGACGTTGCGTAGATGTAATAACCCGTCATGTAGATCTTGATGCGTTACTTGAACGTTACTTGGACGGTATAACCAAGAAGGCGGTGCCGGAATAGCCACTGGGCTGTTCTTGTACCGTTGGAGATCGATCAACACATGGTTTACTCCTTACTAATGCTCCTCGAATTAGATATTATACTGAATGAGTAGGAGCATTGTACCTCTACCTATCCACTACTTCAATTACAGGACCAGCTCTTCTATGCCAAAAGCCTTCCCCTTTGCTTGAACCACTTCTCTCGAATTTCCCCCCTTGAATCTTACTTACCTGTGACTCAACACCACCCTCTTCTCTCTCAAATTAAACCCCAGCATCCAGTTATGGCCGAAGAAACTCAGTTCTGTCACACCTGCAACAAACGGAGGCCGAAGGATGCATTTCGGGCACCTGAAGCGGCAGGGAAGGAGTTCTACAAACTGTGTGAGCCTTGCCGTACAAAATTCCGAAATGGATGCAAATCACATGCCCTGATGGGGTACTACAATCCGTTTATTTGTCAGGTCCAGACTAAATGGATCTCAGAGGTCACGAGCCAAGAGAGCTCAAGCAAACAGGGGGCGAGACTGGCCATACTATCTCTCCAAACCAGCACCCCAGACTAGGAGCGACCTCAGCAACTCAGAACCGGAAATTACCCCCGCAAGCACCAGTGCCACACCAACAACCACCATGCCTGAGCAACCGGAATGTGTACATGCAGATTCCATCCACCGCAGCCGAATCACGGTTGCACCGCCCGTTGTCGACGGGTCTGCGCAAAGCACAACAACAGTCACTGTCGGCACCATTTCAACCACCATTGTTTCTACAAATGCGACAGAAACCCCGACCAAATCAGCAGAGGACACAAAAACTGCACCAAACGACATTCAGGAGGCCGAAGATGAAGACCTGGAGCCACTTTCTAGTGAACTCGAATCTGCGTAACTAAGCGAAAGCGATGTAGGGACAAATCAGCGCCCCGAATTCTTTGGCTGTCTTCACTGTGAAAATCTGCGCCCAAGGCCAATGGCAGGTCTTCACATCTGTTTGCTCTGCATTCGGGACTGGAAGGGGTGTGCGAAGAGTGCTCACAATCAAGCTAAGGCAAGCTTCTTGTGGGATGATGAGGAGCATGATGAGTATTATACGTGTTATTTTGCGAGCATCTAATACTTGTGCCCAGAATCGAGATTGCGGGATTTGTATCTCCACGTGAAGCACCAATCTCTAGAGTGTATGGCAGCTTTTATTCCGAACTCTCTTTTTTTTTCATGCACGATATGTTGATATTAGTGCATACATCAATTGGGGAGATTGACAGAGTGACTGGAAATTAAAATTTGGCAGAGTTAAAAAAAGACCAATTGACAGGAGTGCAAAATTGGACGTTTTTCGGGGAATTTGCCAAGTATATAAAAGATACCTACTCGATAACAAGCTTGCAAACAGGTCCAAAGGAATAGGGATTTATCGATTTTTGGAATCGATTTGCAGATGCATCATTAAGGAGATGCACACATTGAAATTCAAATGAAACAGGCCTGAAGGAGTTGATGGATCCAAGATAGCTAGATCACAGCACGTGACAATCCAAAAAAATCCAAGGAGTCCAGGTTGCTGTTTTTGACCCGTTTGCATTCACAGTGCATTTGCCCCGTATGAAGTGCATATGATAACTTTAAACCTGCAGTTTATTCAATTCGACTATTCTTCCGTGAATCTTCAATCCATGGCTGTCTCCTGAGCGATGTCTACGTGTCCAATTAAGCCACTCAACTCACGCCAAGCCGGAATGGCGGACAGGCACTCCACCAACTCACCTCCGCGCACCTATCACAACCTCCCGAGGCGTCGACTAATATGGAACCACCCAGTGCCAAACCCATCCGAGGGCAAGAGGGCCCCACCCATCAGGCAAGCAGATCTCGGACTTCTACGTCGGAAATCTGGCTCGCCTAAATCCTTCCATGTCGTTGGCTCGGGATGAGACCCCCTTTGCTTCTTCCCCCCTCTGAGCTTCCTTCGCCGCGCCATGGTTGGTGGTACGCAACAATTTGTCACGGACTCACGAGTCAGGAAGGCTCTAAGCCGTCAGTCGCGGTCCTGTAAAGTCTGCCGACTCCGGAAAGTCAAGGTCCGTTGCCCTCGTCATCGTACCAAGATCGTCCCTGGGGGTCGGAACGCTCCCGTACCCGTCTGAGGCGTCCCGCTGGTAACGCATCACCCGCAAGGCTAACGTAGATCCCGCTGTCAGTGTGACCGAGTCAAGCCCTGCCACGCCTGCTGTGCTCATGGCTACCCCTCCAAATGCGTGTATGAGCACGTCCCCGATGAAGAAGCCCGCCCCCTCAGTCAGGCGGAAGAGATTCGGAACCTACGGGCGGAGATCCGTGATCTTCGGGGAAGAATAGACAACAAACATGACGGTACGTTTACAGGTCCCACCCACTCTTTTCAATAGCGTGTGCCAAACGCCAGTGGATGTGGGACAATCGTTCACATTTGTATAGGATCCGGGGCCCAGGATCTCCAGCGCCTGGACAAACTTGAGAGATTTTTTGAGTCTATTCGCTCGGCCCCAAGCTCGTTAGTGGATGATCTTGTTCGCGATATTCGGACGGCACATGTTGGCCCCAGGAAGGATTTGGTACCTGTTGGACCATGGGAAGGCAGGGAAGGTATGTGGTAAAACGATTTACATGAAAGTTTACCTGTGCTGACAGCACCAGCGTATGAATTTTACGATAATTCTTCGCGCCCTTCTTCAACTCTGCCGGTTCGGAATCGCTTGTTAATAAATTCCCCGGTGGAAGACTTCAACACTTTGCAAGGTGATGATGAGAATGACAGCGACTCTGAGCGCATGTCGCCGAGCAGTGGGTCCGAGTCGTCTGGCACGATCTCGGTTATGAGCATGCAAGGACCCGCGGTGGATGCGTTTGTCGAAAGGTTTGTGGATGCATTTAGCCCAAAAGTGGATATGAAAGCCGGAAGAGCAGGTGCACTGCGTGCTGCCGCCGGGATTCGAATGTTCTCACCACTCATCACAGATGCATTCGAAGCCGTCTCAGTAGCATTCTTTGGTCGTTCTGTGCAGAACAAGCAGATAGAGGCATCCGGGTTCCGACTTTATCCGCGCGTGCTACGTGAATTGCAGGATGCGTTGGTGGACCCCGAAAAATGCAAAGCAGAATCAACACTGGTGACGGTGATTCTCTTGCTGGCTTTCGAGGTCAGTTTCACAACACGCCCTTTCTCTTCTACCGAAACTAAATTTAGCAGAGCGTTGAACGCACTACTCAGAGTGGTGTGTTAGCCCACGTACGAGGAGCAGTGCGCTTGATTGAACATCGTGGGCCAGAAAATCACATGTATGGGGTTGAACATCTTATGTTTACAGAACTTCGTCCCTATTGGGTAAGATCACACCCCTTCCGTAGCTGCCTCTTCTCAATCTAACAGCTTAGATTGGTGCCGCTATGGCAGCTCGGCAACCTTCATTCCTAGCCCGCGAAGAATGGAAGACCATTCCGTGGTCAGCAGGAACAAGCCAAAAAGATATTCTACATCATCTTCTTGACCTGGCCACCTTGGTACCAAGTCTATTAGCAGCATCCGATGCCTTCAAAGAAGCACAAATCACGTCTGTCATGGGCAAACAAGAGATGGCTGTCAAACAGTCCACGCTTTGGAACGGAATACGCAATCTTACAAACCGCTTCTATCAGTGGTACGAAGACTGGGTTGTTGCATACCCTGACGGGCCACCGCAGGAAGCCGAACAAACTGGCGACCAGGGGTTCCCCATTTTCCAACGCCGCGACCTCCGCACCGGGGCTACTTTTACCCCAACAAGATTCACATATCCAAACTTGCTTCTTGCACAAACCAGCTGTGTCTACTATGCCGTGCGATTGGTTCTGTCTTCGATCGACACTCGGCCAGAGGATCGTGTCTCGCCCCTGGAACAGTATGACCTGGGCTGTGGGATTTGCCGCTCGTTAGAGTATTATATTGTCACTGCGCCAGGCACCATGATCAATCGTCTTGCGTTTCCCACGCGAGTAGCGTGGGAAGCATTCCCAGATGGAGGCCCAGAGCGTCGGTTTATGGTTGAGGTGCTGCAACTAGTTGAGAAGCGGCATTCCCTTGGGCTTTGGGGCAGTTCCATGCCAGAGTTGTCTACTAAAGAAACCTCACCCCTGAACACGGGGAGTCTGTAGTGTGGACGAAAGTACTACATGTAAACATGATGTTTTGTGGCCACGAATTAATTATTTCATCTCGAGGTTCTGCGATCCAGGCTTTTGGAGACGATGAATTTTTGTACGGATGTGCAGCTTTCTTTTTAAACGAACCCAATGCTCCCTTTGATCAGCAAGTCCTCATGAGGAAATCGACGTTCAGCTTCCAATCGTGTAGGGGCTATGCACCTCGGCTTTTCGGCTACATTGCCCAAATGCAACGAGCATGGGACCAAACCAAAAACATACAATGAATGCGAGCTGAAACAAGAGGATACAGCTGAAATGATGAGTACTAAATTAATTTGCTTTTCTATCTCTCATTGGATGTTCCTGTTCAAACTAGATCGCATTAGACCTGGGTCCGCCAGGGATCGCCAGGACTAACTACGCAAAGAGAGATCTGATCGATCAACAATCGATCGTTTCATGGAGATAGGAAAAACATAGTTGTGGAATCATTCATAAACAGCATAGAGCCCCATGATCCGAAGAGCACTTCTATCCTACAAAATGCTTTCCTTCCCCAAATTGGCGCTCTCTGCCCTCGCGGCTACCACGGCCGTTGCAACGGACATCAACGATTTCTCTTGCAAGAGTTCCTACAACCCTGTTGTCCTCCTGCACGGTCTTGGTGCGACTTCTTATGAGGACCTAAACTACATGCAGTGCTGGCTGCAGGTCCAAGGCTTTTGCACATATGCCAAGACCTACGGTGCATACGATGGCTTCCCATTGCTTGGCGGCTTGAAGGCAATCAACGAGAGCGCCCCTGAAATTGCGGCCTACATCAAAGAGGTCGTGGAAAAGACCGGCAAGAGCAAGGTCGACCTCGTTGGCCACTCTGAGGGTGCTTTCCAATCTCTCTATGTGCCCAAGTTCGAGGGCGTAGCCCATCTGATCGACAAGATCGCTTCCATCGCCCCCCCTACCCATGCCACTACGTTTGCCGACATTTACGAACTCGCATACAAGTTTGGCAACGAGTCACGCGCAGCTGTGGGTGAGATTCTTGATACCGTCGGCTGCCCTGCTTGCAACGATCTCGGCCCCGATGGCCCAGCCGTCAAGCGCTTGAATGACGGTACCCCTATTGCGCAGCCTGGCAACCACATCACTATCATTGCGTCCAAGCACGATGAGATGGTTACTCCCCCATCGACATCGTTCATCTCCGAGGAAGGCGTGATCAATCGCTGGATCCAGGATAGTTGCCCACTAGACCCCGTTGGTCACATTGGTGAGGCCTATGATCTGAACGTCTGGCACTTGGTCAAGAACGTGCTCACTTCGACCCCGGACAAGAAGTTCTTGTGTCTGCTTGGATCACCGGGTAAATAAAGAGTTCAAGGTTGTCTGAAGTGATTCATTTTGATGTCATCAATCCATCCATGAACATCTTATTCCGCCATTGCTCGGGTTTCCTTTCGCTTTCTCCTGCCTTCCAGATCTGACATCGCAGCAGCGGCACATGTCACAGACTGTGTGAATACTAAATTATAGTGCTTATCTTCAGGGCTCATCTTTTGATGGAGCAACTTGGGAACGTTTCTCAATTGCTCTTTGAGGATAATGTTCCAGAGAAACATAAATCTGGAACGTGAACAAAGCAAAGAATTTTTTTGTTTTTGTTGTTCTCGAGTCTGTCGCGTGCCAATTTAGAGCTCTTTTTAACACTGCATCGAATGATCCCAAAAGTGTCCCAAACAAGAAAAGAGATGCTAGTCAGCCTAATTTGGTGTGATCCGATGATGATCCTTCGGCTGTTTGTCATATCTAAGCTTTTGATATAAAAACTCGAGGAGTGCCCTTGAAGAATCTCACCTCTCTCTTCGCTTCAGCTGCAATATTAATTTGCCCAAGCAAAGTATATCAACTTCCTTCATTGCAATCCCTTGGATTTGGGAAGATTCTGGACTTTCACGGTAAAGTGATCAATCATGTGTCCTGTGTTTGCCCGTAGAATGGGACGCACCCATCTGAGACTGGGTGAGAGACACCGAGAATAAGTAGTTGTTCGCTACAACTCAACTTAACCACACATAACCACCACTCCGAGATCACTCGAGAATTCAGAACCCTCGAGAAACACGTTAAACTGCCAATGATCACTCTAACCTAAACCCCCCCCCCCCCCCACGCTAGCTCTGCTCTGAAACAGTTGCTGCCTTAAGGCACAAGTGAGTTTCTTCACGGCTCGGAACTTTCTTTCTCCGCACACTATCTTATCTGAGAGGCGCAAGGATTAAAAAAAAAATCACCATGTCAGAGCCAGACAACAAACCTGGCTCTGAATCCAATATTCATCGAATCCAAGAGCGATGGGACAGTCTGAATGAGATGTTCCAAAATACCGACCCCGAGCCTGCAGAGCCTGTCGGCTCTGCCGATGACCTAGAGGCGGAAATTCGTCAAGCTCAGGCTCAATTGTCCAGACTGAAGAAGCAGCGTGAGCTCATTGACATCAAACAAAAGGTTGCAGAGGAAGAGAGAGAATTGGAACTGGCTCGCACTCGACTTATGGCTGCGACGTCCTTGGAACTTCCCCCGGCTACCCCTGCTTCGACTCCGTCCAGAACCGAGCCGAGGAACAGCAAGGGTGGTATTGATGGTGCCCAAAAGATAACTGCTGCGGCCCGATCTGAGCAAATTCCCGCTCCAGCACCTCTGACCCAAGCTGCTGATCGTCACCCCTCCGAGGCTAAGCCGACCGAAATCAAGCCTTCTCCTAAACCCGCAAGCAAACTCGGGTCCGGTTTGAACCTCGAGCAATTGCGAGCCCTCGCAGCAGCTACCAGGTCCCCCGCCGCACAAACAGTTGTCAAGACCGAATCCCGTTCGAGTCTACAACCTTCCGCCCGATCTTTTCATCCCGAAACATCCGTCCATGCCCCACCGGTGCCCAATGTGCCGGTATACAACGGACGAGCTCTGGGAGAGTTCAAGAACTTTTCTATGGGTCTAGAGCGACACTTTGATAAATATCCGGAGTGGTACAAGATCGATGAGCGCAAGGTCACGCGGGCGCTTAAGCACGTTGCCCTTAATATTGAGGATGAGTGGAAGCGACACATACGTCACCTACCCGCCGACAAAATCACCTACGCCAATTTCTGTACCTTCCTTATTCACCAGCTCCAGAACGGAGTCTACCCGGATGTTGCCAGGTCGCGCTATATGGATAGCTATCAGCGACCAGCCCAGTCGGTAACTGATTTCTCCAACTGGATGCAGCAATGGGTGCCACATTTCCCGAATAACGACTCGGAACGTGACCGCATGCGCCATCTCTTTGAGCATCTGATGAACAGGGTTCGCAACGAGGCTGACAAGACCCACCTGGATTTCGACAACTATCACGATTTTGTCGAATATCTCCAGCGGGTCGAGGATTCCATCGGTAGCCGCGCTGAGTCTCTTGGTCGCCGAGTTATCAACCCTCGAAAGCGACTTCGCAGTGACTAAAGCGGTTCGCCCTAGTTGAGAGAGCTCCGCTTCGACAGGAAGCTCCGGCGAAGCTGACATCCATCTTTATTTACATCTGCACACGGGGATAAATTGGAGGGGAGGGGGGGGGGGGGGGGTTGGGTTTCTTGCTACTCAATGGGGCATTCTCTGTGCAATCTTCTTGACTTTTCCTTGTACATACCAGGGCGTTGCGAAATCTTTCAAGCAAGAAATTCGTACCGACTTTCTCCTTTTTTTTCGTTTTGTGAAATATCTCTCCGATGTCAACCGTGATCAATGCGATCTTTCCAACATATGTAGTTTTAATACTAGACCTTCTCAAGTACATTCTGAATGCCAACAGCCGGATTTTTGGCCAGAGCCTCCTCAAGCTGCTCCTTGCGTGCATGAATACCACACTCTTCCCGACCATTTTACGCCGGCCCAAACACTAAGCCTCTCCCCTGAACTTGGCTGATCACCCCCAGAGAGCTTTGCATTCCTCCTGGGTAAAAATACAATGCCCGTCACTGATGGAAACAAGCCAAGATAGTGGCATCAGGCTCACCGCTACAGCAGGCGCAGTAAGCGTGATTTTCATTGGGGGCGGGACGTGCCACAGACCCATCGGTGAGTGCTTTTTCAGCATCGTATAGCTGGTGCTGTAAATTTCGTAGATCGGATCGTCCATGGAGGTGTGAACGAGGCGCACTTCGAGAAGCGCGTGATCGTTGTAGCATTGCGATCCTAACTTCAGCTAGAGACTGCCGATGTTGTTGAGATGGCCGATACCTTCGTAGTCAAGGTGTTCGACGAAGTAGCCTGATTCCTGAGGGATAACGAATGTGAGGCCTAGTACAAGCTCAGCGACTGCTTGAATAGCCTTAGCCAGAGGGAGGGGGGGAGGGTATCGATGTGCTCTTGGAGCTTAGAAGCCATGGTTAATGAATGTAAAGAAGCATGTAGAGAAGGGGCCTTTTCTCTCTTTTATGCCGATGAGGCTCTTTTTCGTTTGCCATTTCCCGAAGCCACCCACTCTGTCGAATCAAGTGTGTATGCTGCAGTTGGGGACAGAAGTTGAGTGTCTATGCCAACGACGTGCAGGTGCCTGGTGTCTTGCGGATAAAGGGATCTCCGCGTATCTGCCTTGCGAGATTTTGGACGAAGTACACCCAACCTTGGCAGCTTCAGAGTCCCACCTGATTCTCTGTGGTAGGCGCATTTCTAATACGTGTCTCAGGTTGCTTGAAATTTGATTGGAGAACTGACCTTCTGCATAGCCCAAAATGGTTGGCTACTTATGCAGATGCATTAGCCTTTGAGTGTTCTTCTATTGCTCAGCACTTATCTTTTTGCTCTGAACGAATCGTCTTCAGTTGGAGATATCTCAGCTTCCAATAGGATGCATGGTATGGGATGATCGGGGTGGTTATAGTCCAAGAGGGGAAAACCCCCCCACCTCGGCGGGACCGGCGGTTGGGGAAGCCCATTGACTTGTCTGATTTCTGACTTTCTCGTATATTCCTAGCCTCCTTCCTAGCCTCCGGGCTTCGAGGCTTCCCAAATTTCTGGAAAACTGCCCTTGCTGTGTGGGTTTTTGGGCTCTGTACTCCATTTGTGGGTAGTTTTGGTCACATTATGGACGTGAAATCTGCGCCTTTACCACCGTGCCAGATATGCCAGGTGCGCCAGGCTCCTCATCGATATGCTCGTTGGGGATTGCCCCTGGCTGTCGCAGTGTTGATTCTGTTAGTCTGGCCTATCCCACTATCCTCATGGAAGGTGGATGATCCTTTGGACATTCCAGTCACCTGGGCGGAAATCGTTCCGTCGCAGTCGCTGGAATACCACAATTGTGGCGATGAGTTCCAATGCGCGAGACTAGAAGTACCCATGGACTACCAACGGACAGATGGAAAAGGTCGCTCATTTGCCCTGGCTGTTGTCCGACTGCCTGCCAAAGTCCCAGTCACCGATCCGCGGTATGGGGGCGCAGTGCTGATCAATCCTGGTAAGTGAGGTTAGACTTGACATGATGATCTGCGCTCATAGTCTAGGTGGCCCTGGTGGCCCTGGAACAGTGCAAGCATTCGAGACGGGTCGAAATCTCCAGCTGATCATTGATGCGGAGGTTGACCCAAAAGAGACCGGAGCAGAAACTGGGAACAAATACTTTGACATCATCGGATTTGATCCTCGTGGAGTAGGGTCCACAACACCTCCAGTGATGTGTTTCCCTGACCCCGTATCTCAAAGGAATTGGGAGTTACAAGTCTCCGCGGAAGGCATGCTAGGAAGTGGACCGGACTCCTTGCAGAGAAACTGGCAGCGGACGCACGCGCTGAACTCAGGCTGTTCCGTAACCGATCGGTCGAGTCTCGGAGCAGATGAGCCAATGATGTCCTATGTCAATACACGACTTGTTGCGCAGGACATGCTAACCATCGTCGAGCGCCATGGAGAATGGCGTGAGAAGGAAGGCCTAAGAGCCCAGAAAGCCCACAACAGGTGTCATGGACTGGATGAAGCAGACGCGATCTTGAAGCGCACTACATGGCACCGCGGCAAAGAGCCACTTCTCTACTGGGGTCGCTCATATGGTGCCCTGCTAGGCACCACCTTTGCATCGCTCTTCCCAGAGCGAGTCGGACGGGCCGTTCTCGATGGCGTAGTCGACATGGTGAAGTACTACCAAGGAAAAGGACCGAACGTTGTTGCTGACGCGGATGCCATCTTCGATCGATTTTCCCATTACTGTGATGAGGCTGGACCCGCGGGATGTCCCTTCTATGTGGAGGGTGGTCCAGACGCCATCGGCGCAGCCTATTGGCAACTTGAGCAGCAGATTTTCAACAACTCAATCCCTGTCATAGCATCCGCAGAACGCGGACCAGAAGTTGTAACTTGGACAGATATCAAAGCGATTCAGCGTGTTGCCATCTACCAACCTCTCCTTGCATTCCCCATCCTGGCAGATAGAATGACCGAATTAGGCAAGGGGAATGCAGTCCCCATGGCTGACTTCAAACATGGTAGCCACTTCAGTGCTTGTCCGTCCAAAGACTGTAGTCTCGCTGGACCTTGGTCCCCTGAATGTGCTACATCGCAGGATAACATGCTCTACGCCATGGCCGCTATCATGTGCTCGGATGCTGAACACTTGACCACTCCGAATCGTGAGCAGTTCCAGGCAGATTGGTCTAGCCTTCTGGCAGATAGTGCATGTCTGGGGGATTATTTGGCGCAATTGCAATTGGGCTGTGTTGGATGGAAAGCCAAGGCCAAGTACCCTTTCACAGGCATGTCGTATTATGATCCCTCTGCGTTCGCAACTGACTGGTCTTAGGGCCGTGGGGCGCTGCTACCGCTCATCCCATGCTATTCGTATCGAATACTCTGGATCCAGTGACCCCTCTCCGCGGGTGTGTATTCTCTAATCCCTACTAGCTATCCAAGCTAACAGGCCCAGCGCCCAACACATGTCCCAAATTTTCCCAGGATCTGGATTGCTACAGCAAGAATCAGAAGGAGTAAGTGGTTTACAGTAATCCATTCAGTGATTCATCCCTCACATATCTCATCTAGCACACAACACTCACAGCCCCATCAATTTGCGTGGCCAAGGCCATTCGCCATTATTTCCAGACCGGTGCACTTCCAACGGAAGGAACTCTGTGCGAGGCCGATTTGAAGCCTTTGGTTGGATCACCACATCATCTCGCGAAGATCACTCAGAGCCTCAATCCATCTGACCGTAGACTGTTCGAGGCATTGATGGCAGAGGTTCAGCGATCGCCTCTGTATCCGCTATGAGGATCCACAACGTAGATATTCGGACGACTGTCTTGGCTAGTTTTTCTTTCTCAGTCCTGCTCAGAATATTTTTAATCTACCCAACTACCAAGATTCCTGTATCTCCCCGAGCAATGCCGTCTTGCTCGAGCTTCGCTCAACCTCGATTCACCAATAGTCAGCAACTCCGCTTCAATGGAGTTGTTGGATGAGTTTAGGAGTAGTTCACAGCTCCTGTGTGTCTTGGTAACATCAATACAGACAAGCAATCACCATGGCACCTCTAACTGCAATCAAGAGCCTCACGAACACTATCAGTATGCAAGCACCACAGTCTCTCAAGCGGCGGGTGACGAAAACTCCAAGGTCACGATGCAGATGCCCAGCATATGTGTGTTTGAGGATAAGGTGAAGAAGGGAGAATATCTCCAGGGTCACCTAGCCGCGTTCAGAATCTTTAACGAGAAACGAAGACGACCCGGATATGGATGGTTCTACTGCGAAGTATGGAGTTAACAACTGACACTCCCGTTAGGTGTCGCTGGGTGTATCACCCTGCGCGATCCGGTGGATCCGATAACGTGCCGGGTGAATCCATTCGACACACGGCCATCAAACTGATGAAGGCATCGAACTTAATCAAAGTCCACCACCATGGCAAAGCCATTACAGGTGGAGAGAATTGATTGCTAAGGATTGCTGCATTCATCGTCCGTTCCGGTATCCCTGAAGCACGGCTGGAGGTGAAGGACGCTGCGCACGGTCATAGTCTACATAGATGGGCGTTTTGCTCGCTGGGCTGCTCGCTCGATATCATCTTACAAGAAGCTGGTGCTGTACAAAATTTACGTTCTATTCAATAGAACTGCATGCAAAGCCCCAGCTTTAACACCATCAGGACTTGGCTATTCATCGTTCAAAGGCGTCATGTCAGCGGATGACGAAGGCCAAAAGAGTGCCAAAGCACTGGGTAATTACAAGGCAACCCTGCTGCAAAACCACAGCCTCTTGGCAGTCGGAAATACAGTCGAGGGAACAGTGTTCTGGTTCGTGAGCCTGGCTGCTACGCTTAACTCCGACGCGGCAGCCACCGGATGAGGCAGCCAAAGAGTGAAAATTGAAGACGCCTATGCTACATTACAAGACAGTGCGAACGCCGAAGGCTGATTCTGTGCGAAGCCCCTATTTGATGTGATTCACGTCAAAACGAAGGGTGAATACTTGGAATGAAACATCCACTGGCTCAAAGTTAATTCTATCAGTCGAAACAAGTTGCTAAAGATGTTGCTACAGCGTTATGCATCTTTATCCACCGGGGGTATTTTGGTCTATTTTAGATTACGAGGAGATTGTAGTCGAACTCAAATGATGACTCTTGTTACCGTCGGAGGTTTACAAATATGTTCATATGTGGGACTTCGGACTTGACTGGGCCCTTGACAGAAAATCTTACAATGAGAAGGTGCTGTGCACTGGGGTTGTCCACTTTCACGGAGGACTCAGCCCAGTGGCTTGTTCTAAGGTGAAACATCCAGTGAAGAGTTTCGGGACGAGTTCCACTTTTGGTCAATTCCAGGACTCCACTCGGCATAGCTGGCTGTCTTGTCGGAGTGAACTATAAATCCCAGGGTTCATGTCGATGTTCGAGCTGATCAAGTCTTCTAGCTTATCATCATTACAATGCGCTTCATCGTACCTTTTGTCGCCGCTGGCCTTGCCAGCGCAGGTCTGCTAGAGACTGTTATCAAGAGAGATGACTACTGGGGTGGCAGTGTCTCGCTCGGTCCATCCAAGTCCACCATCATCAACGCCGTCACGACACTCATCCCTGGGCCTGCTCCACCAACTCAGAATGGCGTGCTATTCCTCTGGCCGGGTGTAAGTCCTTGGGTGCTCTGAAGGGTCTTCTGGTCACTAATAGTCATAGATGTCCAATGGAACCGGGGACCTGGTTCAGACCACCCTCGAAAGCTGGTCCAGCAACGCGTGGTGCGGAGCAACCACTGGCCAGTGGTGTGTGCGTGCCAGTGTCTTCGGCAGCTTTGGCCAGCTCGATGGCACCGGATCACCCGTAAGCGGAACCGATGAGGTGCGAATTGAGTACAATCTTGAGTCCGATGGACAGACTTGGACGCAGTAAGTCCACATCCAAGATGACGGAATTCATTGGCACTTACATTTGCAGGAATGTCACAAATGGCCGGACTGGTGCCCTGCTTTCAACCTACTCCCACGAATCTGGACCTTACATGCGAGGGCAAGTCAATAGTCGGGGTGGCGTATATAAAGGATTGAACTGACTTCAGGTAGATATGGCACTGGAACTGAGTGCGACAACAGCTGCTCGGGAACTATCGCTGCGCAAAAGTATTTGAACACTGTGATCACTCTCGCCGAGGCTGATGCCACATTTGGCTCGACGATTTCTAGCGCCGGTGGTGCTACTTATACCGAAGTTATGTCCAGTCAAGGTGGAAAGGCGTGGACTATCAAGGAGATTGACATCCCCTCAATGCACTGAGTCGAGATCAATGGATTTTGTGTCTGAGGGATTGCACTCCGAGCATACATGGTGAACATGCCTTCATTCGAAACGTTCCAATGTGGAAAAAAGCCGGGAAACCCCGTCAATAGTTATAAGAAAATCGCTTTCATAACAACCCACCCCTTGCAAAATGCATGCGCCCATACAAAGCTTCACTCTCACTCCCGATAGTCAAGCAGCACTTTCAGCCGAACAGGACCAGGGGACACCGCACCACCAATACCATCCAGGTGTTTCTTCGACTTGACATAAGCATCAACCACCTTCTTAGCATCGGGCGTTATAATCGAACACCCCTTCCCATCAGCCCGACAGATAGACATCCCCTGCACAGGCTGATTCGCAATCTGCGCCTGAATAGCCGAAACATCCCATCCCGACCAGCCGTTATTCTCCCCATCACCAAACCCAAACTCGCCCCACGTGCACGAGTATCCACCCCATTGATCAGTAGGTAGGTGATCACCAGGAGCAGCACCCCACGCCCCCTCAGAGTCCTCGTCAAAGGCCACATATTGAGTCTCACCGGGTGCAAGAGTGAAACTCAGAGCCGAGTGACCATACCACCCGGTCAGCTTGCCGTCGGGCCCGATCTTGTTCCACACAACCACCGTCCAAGGCTCCTCGTTTGGCCCCGTGAACTCCGCCACGTACTTGTAGTTGTGTGCCTCGCTCGGACTGACCGTGATTATGTTACTTCCCCAGGGCTTGCCGACATTTCCCTGGTATTGGACCTCCGTGCCCTTGCCTTTGGGCCGAGTACGCTCTCCAAAGTTGCTTGTTGAGAACTGGCCTTCCGGCGGTGTTGCGGTCCAGTCCGCTGAGGTAGGCCCATCTGGATCTGGGCCTGAGAGAATCTGGTTGATTACTGGAAGATCGGGGAGGACCTTGCTCGGGAGATCGAGCACAGCGTTGATGGGCCCGCCGTGATTGTTGTGAGGTACTAGCGGAAGGCTTTTTGCTGGAACGGCTTTCTTTTCTTCGAAAGAGCCCTTTGGCAGCGTGTCTGCAAGGGCCGCTGCTTTTTCTGCCGTCGAGGGATTCCCGGGGAGTATATTTGAACGTGGCACAGGGCTACCTCCTGGGTAGGCGGTCACCTTGACGGTATTCGTTGTGGTTTTGGTTATTTTTGGTGTCTGGAACATAGTCGTCATTGTCGGAGCCGGGGGGATGAGCTGAGTGAACTCCGGTTGTGCCGGTCTTGGATTTGTCGGCGCACGGAGAACAGGCTCCGGCTGCGATTCACGTTGATGCCAGTAGTCCTCGTATGCCTCGGGACGCGCGAGGTCAAGCACGGGATGATCGTGCGTACCCAAGGTGGGCTCAGGTCTATGCCTGATGAGTGTAAGCGTGGAATGAATGGCGTTAGTTGGGACGCAGTTTCCTAAAATCGTCGTGGTGGTGGTGAGCGTGATGGATTCAACTACAACATCATCTGGATTATTGTTCATATAATTCCAGGCTAAAGTTCGAATTTCCAAGTGTTCGATAGGCAGCATCAAGTGGCGATGGCCATGCTCAGGATGGTGGATGCCAGCAAAGGCATACCCAGCTAGGCCTGCTAGAACGACCTGTAAAGAAACGTACCCCATTGCAAATGCAACAGGATAAGGTCGGCAAGAGTTCCGTAGCAGAGATTCAATTATCGACGCGATGAGTCAAGGCGTCAACTAGGGTTCTTTTCCCTTCCCCCAAAAAAAACCAAAAAAAGACACACTCAGTTGATCGAATCCATCTCGATCGTGCGGTGTTGGCGGCTGTCGTTGTCGAGTAGACACGCGATCCGGGGGTGGGAATTAGCTTTATACAGCCCTTTGAAAAGAACCAAAAAAGGTCTTGTCTGTGTATCTGGAATGCTATCGCGCACTTGGCCTTTGAAGGACTCAAAGGGGATAGTAGTAGTCCTGAATTCCGGGGTTCCTTGGCTGACCCTTGGAAGGCCGTCAATCAGACTGCATTTTCGGGCGATTCAATGAGCATCAAGGTAATTTGCATGATGGGTTTAATTTTTAATAGACAGCACAAGGCAAATAGCGAAACCCGGTCGACCTCTTCGAAAAGTAATGGTCGTTGCGTCCACGTTGAGCTTCAATGTAGATACGGCTGTTGTAGCCCCTCGCGTCGCATTCCGGCCCTGAATCAACATTTGTCCCTCTTCCTTTCCCCGCGTCCAACAGGATTAAAGGGGGTTTCCATGGGATGGGACTCATTTTTGCCTAATTGGCTTGAATTTTGGAGTTTGGAGTTATGAAAGTATGTGAAGAGATTGAGACAACACAGGTTTCCATGAGTGGATGCAAGAGATGTGGTGAAAGGAGTGTCTGTCAAGAGAGTGTGTTATGCGTCAAGTCCAACAAAAGTCAGCACAAGCACCAAAAAGAGAACCCCAAAAAATCCAAAAAAAACTACCGAGCGCATGTTTTTTTGGTGCTGTCGGGATTTTCCTTTCAACGCAAGACTTCCAATGCCACTTTTTGCCCCCTTCTGGAGAGATCATCATGCACATGAACCTGAGACCTGGGTTTGTGGGGGTCCGACATCGACCAATTGGGTGCCAACAACAGTCGTGACACTGTGGTCAATACCGTTGAAAACACAAGTAACGCCCTCCGTGCCGGTTTGAATATGGGAAATGCCCAGGGGGTTCGCTATGTTCATTAGGATCCACGTTGTTTACTGTGGACTAGATCAATGACATACCAATCTGAACCCAGTCACCGTTGGACGGGAAACTCTGAGTAAATTGAGCGTCGGCAGCTCCAATGAAAGTGACTTGCACTTGATCCCCAGTCGGATCAGGATGAGCGACAGGAGGTGCAGGAGGTGCAGGAAATGAATTCGATCCCTGGTTCTGGCAAGATCCAGTCACCTGGGTCTGGGGAGGGCCAACATCCACCCATTGGGCTCCGTGGACGTTTGTCACACTGTGATCAATGCCGTAAAAGGTACACCGAGCCCCGGCAGTGTGGGATGAGATGTGCGAGATGCTCAATGGGTTTTCTAAAGAAAGTCAGAATCGTGTTCAGTTCGAATGTATGACACAATAAGGGACATTCCAATGGGGACAGTAGGTCCATCAGTGGGGATGCTTTGAGTGAACTGAGCGTCGGCGGCGCCAACGAAGGTGATCTCTACTTCTTGATTCCTGTGTTTCACTGGAATCGCACTAGCAGTAGTAGCATAGGCTACAAAAAGGCCGAGAACCGTCAAACCCTTCATTTTCCAGAGGAAAGATACGTGGAAGATTGAGTTGCTGAGAGTGTAGTATATGGTAGAACTGGTTGTTGTCTCGACACAGAGGATCAATGAGATACCGAAGCACTATTAAATACCTTTGGCTCTATACTTCGGACACATCTGAGACAAGTCTACAGCATCATCACACTGGTTTCTAATATTAGATGCAATTTTCTCTTCCATGGGAGATCGGATAGTGGCATTAGGATGTGTACTGCGTACAGCATAGCCACTATTTTTGATTCATGGAGAGAACCTTGGAATGAGAAAACTGGATCTGTCCAAGACAACCCACTTTTTCTAAATTTGTTTCCTATAGGGATTAGTAGTTAGAGTCAAGGGACAGAAGTTCAGACATCTTTTTCACATTTCGTCTAGGGTCGATTAGATTGATTGCCGGATACTTATTGTCCAGGTGGGAAGGGTATGTCGGATGTACCGAATTGCTGTATGTGTATGTGATTATCATCGGTCCTCAACACAGCTCAGACAGACATCCAATGCGTCATCGATCTTATATCCACGACCTTGTGACTGGCGGAACTTGCCGACCCCCCCCCCCCCCCACCCCCCGGATTTTTGGATCCTCGCATAGTCCAGCGGTGTCTCAGAACTGTGAGCACTTCAGATCATCTGATGGGTTCTTTTTCTTGAAAGTTTACCATCTGGTCCAGCTCTGAGGAGGGAGGTCTCAATCGCCCTCTGGTGAGTTTTGCCGTCTCCCGTAAAGCACCATCAGCCATCCAATGTGCTCTATATAACTAGCCCCTCCCCACATGTGACAAGGGTTTCCAGATCACCTTGCAAGTCAGTTCCTGAACATGATGCCCTCATCAAACGCAATCGCAGTATAGCCACCTAGAAAGAAAAGAACCGCGGATTGTTGATATCTATGGACACGGGCAAACCGTGCCACGAATTTAAATGACTGTGCCTCCCTTTTGGCGATTGGGGGCATGACGCATTCGAGCATCAATCGACATGCTCCGAGACAAGTTGCAATGTTATTAGGAGAGGGGGGGCTGGTGGGGCGAAGTGTATAGCAATGGACATGTCTTTTTGCTACCGAGAATGAGCGTTGATAAATCAGATTTCCGTCTTAAGATGCATTACGGAATAAGAACATGATTGGATCATTTCTCCACCCTTGGGATGTGTGCGGCGAAAGCCAACCTTGGAAGCAGGAAAGGCCACAAGGCCACAAGGCGACAAGGCGACAAGGCGACAAGGCCACAAGGCCACCAAAGATTCATTCTGTAAATTCTTCGCTCCATCTTCTCTCCATTCTGGCCATCATCCAATGTGGAAATCGACCAAAATCAATCAATTCTCCAAATCTTCCACTCCGCAAATCCAACAACGACATTATCTGATCAGCTTATCAGAGATTGAAGACGCACTAAACCCTTTAGAGGAAAAGATGCGCCGTGTGACCGACTGGCCAATCAAACCACAGTGCGAAAGATTTACCCAAAAGGAAAACCAAAGGAAAACCAAAGGGTTGACGGGGCTTTGTGCATGTATAAATGCAAGGCCATACCCAGTGTTGCAGTAACCATTCTTAAAAAACATTCTCCATGGCAAACCTTCACCCTTTTGACCCCATCACACCTGGGGAGATCCAATTGGCGGTCTCCGTTCTGGAATCCGCGTTCCCCGGTGCTAAGCTTCGCTACAAGCGCATCGATCTTCAAGAACCCGCCAAGCATGAGGTTGTCCCATTCCTCGAGGCCGAGCGCCGACATGAAGTGCACCCGCCGAAGCCGGCACGTTTGCTGATGGTGCTCTTTCACCGATTGGACAATGGGTCTTTCTTCAAGGCTCTGATCAACGCAGACACCAAGTCCATTGTGTCAGCGAAAGAGCTGCCCAAGGACGTCCAGGGTCCAGTGGATGCCGATGAAATGATGGAAATTGAGGAGCTCTGTCTCAGCCATCCAGCTGTCAAGGCCGAGATTGAAAAGTTGAAGCTTCCGGCTGGCCACACCGTCTGCTTGGATCCGTGGATCTACGGCACCGACGATGCCAAGGAAACTCGGCGTTTGTTCCAGTGCTACATGTACATTGTAGCCACCGACCATCCCCAGAACAACCAGTATTCGCTTCCTTGCAAATTTTCGCCGGTGTTTGATGGCATCTCTCGCAAACTAGTCCGCATGGATTATCTGCCTGGCGGAGCCGATACTCAAACCACTGAGACGCAGCCCTGGAAGCCGGTGCCTGCGGTGCAATACGCGCACGATTTGCTAGATGAGCCCCTGCGCACCGATCTGAAGCCCTACATTGTCCAGCAACCAGAGGGAGCGTCATTCAATGTCATCGGCAATGCCGTGTCGTGGCAGAAGTGGCGTTTCAGAGTAGGTTTCAACAACCGAGAGGGTTTGGTGTTGCACAATGTGACCTACGACGGTCGCAACACCTTCTACCGCCTGTCCTTCTCGGAGATGACAGTCCCCTACGCCGGCATGTTCCAACCAGCCTCCTTTTTGGTAACAAGTCTGATTGATTCTAGATCCCCGTGCTCCCTACCACCGCAAGCAAGCCTTTGACGTCGGTGACGTGGGCTTCGGTATCACAGCTAACCAATTGAGTCTCGGCTGCGACTGTCTCGGTCACATCAAGTATTTCGATGGTTATCGCACAGATGCAAAGGGAGAACCAATTCTACTCCAAAATGTCATCTGCATGCACGAGCAGGATAATGGCTTGCAACACAAGCACTCCAATTACCGCACTGGTGCGGCGACCGTCGTCCGCAACCGCCAGCTCGTGGTTCAAATGATCTGCACCGTTGCAAACTACGAATATATCTTCGCTTTCATCCTCGACCAAGCAGCCAATATTGAGCTCGAGGTGCGGGCAACCGGTATCCTCTCAACGGTCCCCTTCGACAATGAGAACGGCCAAACCGTGCCATGGGGCACGAACGTCGGGCCAGGCGTTATGGCCCCATTCCACCAACACATGTTCTCCCTCCGAATTGATCCGGCCATCGACGGCTACAAAAACACAGTGTACTACGAAGATAGCGTGCCCATGCCCGAGGATGACAGCAACCCGTGGCTTGTCGGGTACACCACCGAGAAAACCGTTATCAAGTCCAGTGGCAGTGCCACCACCAGCGTCGACCGCCACCGCGTCTTTAAGATCCGGAACGATTCCATCGTCAACCCTATCACCCACCACCCCATCGCATATAAGCTGCAGACCATGCCAAGTCAGATGCTCCTCGCGCACCCGAACTCCTTTGGCACGAAGCGCGCCGGTTTCGCGACCCGTCCTATCTGGGTAACTAAATATCAAGACGACGAGCTCTTCGCCGCCGGCGAGTTCACAAACCAGAGCAAGAAGTCGGAAGGTGTGGATGTGTGGGCTGCACGGAACGACGCAGTTGAAAACGAAGACGTCGTTCTCTGGCACAGTATGTCATCCCATCTAATCTCTCCTACAATAGTAGCTTACTGTTCCCAGCTTTCGGCCTTACGCACAACCCTCGCATTGAGGACTTCCCTGTTATGCCGGTGGAACGCGTGAGCGTCATGCTCAAGCCGGATGGATTCTTTACTAAGAACCCTGCACTGGATGTACCGGCTTCGGACCAGTCTTTCAACCAGTCGACTTTGCACCCCGAGCCGGCTTGCTGTGCGGCTCCTCAGGAGCGAACGCAGGTGAAGTTATAGATATCAGGTGTGAGATGAGATATAGAGGCCGAGCTCTGTAGACACATTCTCGGTCATGGAGGTAAATGCAATGAAGTGGTTTGAATCAAATGCTCACTTTTTTCGGGGAGGGGGAAAACGACGCCGCTCCTTTAAGCGGCTATACCCCTAGCAGTAAATTTAGAGACATCACAATGAACGTGTGGATGATGACCCTCAACGAATATCCATATTGCCAGACCCACTGCTGCAAAAGCAACCCACACTGCACACAGTAGCCAGGATAGTGGTGATTCTCATATGAAAGAAAGTTACACCTTCACAAGACGTGGTGAATGGAATGTTCAACCGATGCCTAGGTTCATCCGGCCGGCAACTTTGCGATATTTCCACCAAACTCCCCTTGAGAATGTAAAAGCCAATGTGGATTTTTCCCACGGTGTCGCTAGAATCGAGAGCTTGAATCGATCGATACCATCAGACTAGCCCGCACCGAGTCAGTCGATCCGCTAGTCTCCATGCTAAAAGCAAATTACAGATCATCGGCCATTCAACACGGTCAGAAAAAATACATCTACTGCTCCTTCTCAATGGAAAGCTTCTCGGTCCACTTCTGCGCCGAAATAACAGCCGTCTTGCGAGCAAAGACCTTCTCCATCAACACGCGGTGCAGCTCTTCATCCCGATCCATGCAGCAGTCCTCCAAGACCGTGAGACGGTAGTCCATATCCATTGCCTGGCGAATAGTCGACAATACAGCTCCACTGGTGATGAGGCCCGCGACAACGATAGACTCGGCATTTGCGCACCGCAAAAGCAGATCGAGTTCAGTAGCAAAGAAGGCGGAGACACGACGCTTGGTGAGGACCACCTCTCCAGATGCAGGTGCGATGGTGGGGTGGACTTGCACGGACGAGTGGCCTTCGAGATATTCACCGCGTGCGACGACAGCGGGTACAGATGAGTTGTTTGGGTGGTTTTCTGGGTAGCCGTGGCGGAAGGCGGTGACAACGTGGATAATTTTCACGTTAGCTTTGCGTGCAGAAGAGATGGTTGAGGCCAGGCGTTCAAGGTAGGGCTCTGTGTTGTTGAGCCTGTCGATTACCCCGTTTTGGACGTCGAGGATGAGGAGGATGGTTGCCATAATTGCTGGTTAAGGATATAGGGTGGAATTGAAGGGAGATAGAAAAGCAAAGATTGAAATCAGAATGAGGTTGGGCTTAAGAGGGAGCTTTCAAGAGAGAGTTGATATCAAACGAGATGAAATTGAATGGTTGCGGTTCCGGTATGGATCCCGGTACCGGCATAGACACATAAGGAAACTATTCCAAAGAAAGTATTGAGGTCGCTTGCCTTGTTAAAATACAAGCTTGTTTTTTTTAAAAAAAGAAGAACAGAACATAAGGGATATCAGTCCAATCTCGGTCGCTTAACCGCAAACTGCTCCAAAAGGGCAACCCTTTCTTTCAGACGGGCATTCTCTTTCTCAAGATCCCCACGATCCAGAATCAAATCATCGCGATACCTCTTTTGCGTCCTAGGTGACCCTTCTATGCATTTATCCAAGATATCTCGGTGCTTCTTGGACGACATTACTGAATCCAATGGATCTGCCTCCAGGGTCTTGGCCCGAGGGGTCTTCAGCAATCTAGGTGTCCTGCACGGTGTAATCGGCTGGTGATGTTCGAAGGTCTCTCGTTCACTGCTGGATTGATCGTCCTCTGATTCAAAGCTATCGTCTCCCTCTTGGCTCTCCCGTGATTGCTCGGGGGACGGAGGTGTATACTCGGGGCTGGAGCGTGGCCTCAATTCCTCTGTGGATGGGATGACGGGTAAAGGTACACTTGTTCGAGGTGTAGTTCGGGTTCTCGTTATTATTGGAGGATCGTCCGAGTAGAGACGGCTATCAAGGATGGAGGTTCTATCCTCTGGCACGGCCGTAGCTCGATTCCCTTGGAGGCAGTTGCGAAGGCGGAATTCATCCAGGGGCACAAGACAGCTTTGACGCCAGACATCGGCAGCTTCTTCCGCCCGTTTAGACGAAGATACCTCTCCATCGATCCACGACGCGAACTCCCTCACCTCCAGTGTAATAGCAGTTTCATTGTTATCGGAGAATCTCTTTCTCATGTAGTCCGTATAGCTCTTTTGCATAGCCCCGAAAGCAATGTTTTCCATCGGGTTGAAGAACTGTTGATCGTTCTTGGGAAAGGAAAGGCAAGCAATCCTGTGGTCCCAGCAGAACTTTTCGAACTCAGGAAAGACTATGCGAAATCGATAGGAAATCAGCAGAATTCTCCATGCTTCACGCCGACCTCGAGGGCGGGTCTCAGGCTCAAACACGGTCTTTAGCCAGTCCAGTGCATGATTTGCCTCCGCCCAACCTGACTGGGTGAAAGAAACCTTGATTCGATCAAAGTTCTTGGTCTGCGGTGGATCCTGGCTCCTGCAGACGATGTAGGGGGGCAGATGCTTCCCTCGCGTTGAGCAGCAGTGGATAACAGATGAGAATGCCCGTTCTTCTCTTTTGTGATGTTGATTCATTGGTCGAACAAACATAGTGCTTGCCTTTCGATACATAGTGGTAACAAATGCGGCGTCTTCCATAGCATAGATGTTGTCGTTAAAAACCTGGCACCGCTGCTTGACATCTTTGAATGCTTGAAAGAACTTCCAGGCTCTGCGATCTTCATGCGGACCTTTCAATTTTAATGTACTGCGCTCTTTAGCTATGTAATCAGCAAGTTTTTGGTGACGCATCCAGAAACCCTTCTGCCAACCGACGTTGAGATTCGGTCTCTGGCGGGAGCTCTGGTGGGTATGCAAATATGCATTGGCTGTATCCTTGGCCAACATGTTATAAGGAAAGAATCCATGATTCAGCCAACGCTCAACCCGCTCCACAACTGCATTCTCGTCCTCGACCGAGAGAGCTGGTTGACCCATGACACCTGACTTCTTTCGCAGATAGGCACCAGCAAGATTTGTGGCAACTTCGGAAGCGATCGTATGAGATGGAGGCGCCCCAACAACAGTGAGCATGTCCTGCCTTCTAGTCTGGCGATTAAGAATGGGGGGGGGGTTCAAAGAGAGAGGAGATTTTCAGACAAAAAGTGACCTACAACATCGAAGGAAATTTTCGTACAACATACACTATCAACATTGATCAAGCCTCCACTCTGTTAGCTCAACAAATTTCTGGCCCACAGCGGATCACTGCGTTCTGTACGGAGTACTCCGTATGGCCATTCGAATTTTTTTCTTTTTGGCACGAAACCGTCAAAGTGGATGCTATTCCACAGGCTGGTTTCCATAGTGACGTGGATCCACAGCATGTCGAACCTTTCTGCCTTTCTGCTAGCGTTGTTTTCTGGAATAGGGTTGTCCGATCGTCAGTGCATTCGACACTGTACGACAGCTGATGTATAAAATATAAAAAAAAAATGGTAGGCGTTTGAGGTAGGCGTCCACAAGTGTCTGGAGGTCGATTTATCGTTGGATGGTCGCGGTTCCAGTGTTAGATCCAGGTCACTACATGGACAATTGAAATGGATACAGCTATTATATTACCCATCATTTCAAAGTGCAACAGGACAAGAGAAAAGAAGGGGGAAAACACATAGGTCTATAAAAACGAAAGGACGTGGAAATGATGGTGTGAGTAAATGCCTATCTCAACCCCAGAAATTCAACCTCAGCGCAATGATAACCCAAATCTCCTGTTCAACGAATTCTCGATTTTTGGGGGGGGGAGGAGGAGGGAAATATGATGGCGATGGAATGGTCTCCTCCAGCTTCCAGACACCCCATAGCAGAACCCAGCGTGATTTCCTCCCGGCGCCGTTTCTTGTCAGCGGGCGATGCCTTTTCGTACCTGTCAACGCACTCTTTGAAAGCCTCAAGCTACATCACCGAAGTTGGTAAAACTCCCAATTTTCGGGCCGATTTGGGGGTTGGGTGCCCGCTTTGAGGAGATAATGTGACAGGGGCATCAGCATCGGAGCTTTCATCTTCGCTGCAGGCCAATCATGCGTCAGTGGATTTCATCTATTAATCCTGCTGGTCTGAAAAGATCATGAACGAAAAAGAACGAAAGAAAAAAAAACACCATCGCCGTGGCATCAGCCATGATAGATCACATGGCAGCCACAGCGAGTCGTTCTGGCTCAAGCATGATCGTATTGGTACTGACAAGACCACAGGTATAAATGTTATACTGGAGATGAGAGTAAAAAAAAAAGAATCTCAAATCAAGACCAGAAGAAGGATAAAAAAGACCCGCCAATAGAAAAAGAGTCGTCTACTTTCATCACTGATCTTGGTCGAATTGCACCTCCCACACCTGAGTCGCGAAATCGACGAGCTCTTGCGTCGCAATGACTATGTCGCGTTCTCTGTTCTCCTGCGCTGGCCGTCGAAAAAAGAGGTGAAAAGGGATGATGAGCTGAGGTAGCGGAGTGTCAGGATCAAAGTAGACTGTACCATTAGATGTTTCCCGAAGGGTCAAGTGGGTTTGCAGGATAGGTTGTGATAATCCCGAACTCCAATGCCACTGGTCGATAATGATCTCGGGTTTCTGGGTATTGAGATTCACTCCGATAGCCACATTGGCCTCCTGCCTAGCTGGATCCAACCAGTACTGGGCATCACGTTGAAGCTTTGCATAGGTTTCCGAATTCGCAACCTCTAAAACCACCGTGGGTCTCTTAGGAACACCGCGAGAGTGTCTCAGTAGACTCCACCCCCCGTCGGCCTCCTTCCTTGTACCATCTAGCGCGAGCATCGTTGTCTTTCCCCAATGTTGAATTTTTTGGTGGAGGCCCGTTGGCTCAATGGCCTGCATAAGCATGCTGTGGAAAGCCTGTGTGGCGTGTTCGTGCGCAGGGCCGAGCATCTTAACGATGAGGATGTTTGTTCTTGGACTGAAGAATATTTTTTGACGTACGGGAGGATCTGACTCCATGAAGTCTTTTTGGAAGGTGGTAGGATGAATGATGAAAATCAAGTCTTCGCTTTCGTCTTTGTTATGGGAGTTCCGACTGTCGCCCGGGAAATTCGGACGGCAACAGTCACCTAAAAGTATACCTCCGGTGAAGGTACGAAGAGTGCCATCGATCAGTGGCAGCGGATTCGAATTTTCTTTTCGTCCTTCGCAACTTGCACTTGTCTGCTCTTTTGTCTTCGGTGCTCCGGAACAAGCATGGAGACGATCAATCTCAAGGGCGATTATCCGGTAAAAATCATCCATACCGTTGTAGTGATAGACTTTAACCGAAGGAGGTAATCCTTCGATATCCGGTAGGCCATGTTGGATGGCGCGCTCAAGATCTATCATCTTTTGGTCTTGAGAGAAGAGCTCAGTTGGCACCAAGCTTGAGGATAACCGTGATGTAAAACTGGTAAGACAATCTCCTTTGAAGGCTACAGGGGTGCCCTGTGAACATGAAATCTCTCTCATTATGACTGTACTATGTCGTAATCGCTTGCTGGTGTGCCCCGGTACATCAGACTTGGTAGATAGAGCATGACGGTAATACGCTCAATCAATGGACTTTGGTTAAGATGATCACACAGGGACCACCAAAGCCAATGGCTGAGAAGCGATCTCGGTCGTGATTCCACAGGCCTAGACTCTTCTGTGGGCTGGATTTCTAGGCTTGTGGTGGAGAGTAGGACTCGCAGGAGTCAAGGTAAGCGAAAGCTCAACATTCTCGCTGTGAACAATTTTTAAAATATCTAATTATCGAGCTCCGATAGTTCAAATTCTTCAGCCGGTCAGAAAATGTGGAGAGAAATGGTTTACGTGGACTGAGCCAGTTCTCTTCATTTGCATTGCGATGGCGCTGTTAATCGCGGAACAGGCAGAGCCCCAGCCCAGCTAGCCGCAACTGTACCAAAATCACTTTTTTTTTTTTTTGCGTTTTCCTTCGGAGTTCAAGTTAACTTCCTCATTCACGAAGAATTAGGGATAATCTCCCATGTGATGGGCAGTGATCAGCAATTTTCAGTCCAACTCCACACGACAGCAGAGTCTAGCAGCTCGCCGTCGGCCAAGCCTGGGGACTAGGCAGATCTGCATTGCTAGCGGGCGAAAAGCATTATATTTTCGCTCCCAAGGTCCAGCCAGGCCCATGTATAATCTCAATTTTCTCGTTGTGAAAGAGATGAGGATACCAACCCGGTTAGCCATGGAGACTTGCCATCTTAGCGGAGTGGAACGAGCGGAGCTGCCTCAGAAACTCCGCAGCCTAATGATCGGGTCTCTGCCGGTCAGGTTAGGGGATGGATTGGCCAGATTTCCTCCAACGGTGTCCGAGGCACCCGCTCGACGACCTGGAAATGCGTTTCGCCCTGAGTCCACTCCTGCACGGTTTTCGGGACGGGGACAACGGTCTTTCCCTTGGTAAAGTGGATATTAATGACCTTACGACAAGGGGCTGTTTTCCTGCACTCTTTGCGGGGAATCTTGATGCCGACGGGCCAGTAGCCATGATTTATCCATAGAAGATGCATACATTCCGGCCGCAGCGTCATTTCTGCTCCGAGGTTCATTTGCGTGCGGGCCCGGGCCTGATTCCAGTTTTTCTTGCAAGCGAAATTTTTGGTCAAATCAATCATTTTGGATGATTAATCTGAGGGAGAAGGGAGAATCACAAGATGAACTGCTCGGTTCTTTCGACAATGTACTCTGTAGCGGTGAGTGAGCTTGGGGGCTCTCCGGGGTATATGGGCACAACCCTCCATGTGGATAGGTGCATTTGCCCAATGACAGGTCCTTAAACAACACATCTCTTGGGTAGATTGAAAAAACCGCCGATTTGAAAAAGAACGTTGATCGCATCGCCATCGAGCACTTGTCTCTCCCTCAGTCGACGCGGGTATCTTTCGATTGTTGTGATAATGGTCATCTCGTGCTTCACAATCTAGTTGTGTCCTTTCTGTCGAGACCATTGCAGGACAACTGAATCAAAGTTGGGACACAGCGGATATAAGTACCCCCAAGTACTTTACTATCCAACAGTAAGGACTCCAAATTGAAATAATCTGTTTCAGGTATTTGGCGGATTCTCCATACAAGGCTATCCCAGAAAGAGGCTACTCCCTCCCGCGTTCGGCATCAACATTGCTCCCAATAGTTCCTTTCATGAGCTTCTGGTCTACTTACTAAACACTTGAAACATCCTCAAGTTAGGATCGGAGTAATGCATCACTGGTTATTCACTGCACGATAACCATCAGGGCCGAACTATCCATGTTAGTCTTCACCAAGAAAAGCCATCATTTTGGTGTGGAGTAGTGAACATAGTCCACAGCAGTTGAACTAACATGCATTTAGATTGCATTTTTAATCTCTTTTGCAAAACGCAGTAGTGTGCAAATCGGTTCAACCCGAGTAAGGATCCGAAATATGGATACATTCAACCCCGGCAATGCCGGAAGCACCTGGGACTACGGAGTGTACTCCGTCGAAATCGAGCTTTGAAATAGCCCTGCAAAGAATCTTCAACTACTCCGTACTCCAGAGACATACAATTCCAAGCCAGGAATTGGACTTGATCCCAATCTCAAATCTCAATGCCAACCAGATCAAGGAAAAGCACAGGCCCCACGCACTTCCCCCGTCAACAACATGCCATTACCCGAGACAGGACTAGATGATAAATCCGAAGGGTCAAACGGATCATACGAGTCAAGGTGCCCAAGTCAGTCTAGATCCTCCACATCACCCCATAATCTCCATAATCCTCGTGGGTTTGGACAAGGCTCTCACTCCGAAACGGTGTGAAGTGGATCCGAAACCATAAGCGGCATCAGATGATGTCTCTTTGCAGAGAAGTAGGCAGTACTCCGTATTCCGTACCAAATCAGCTACTCCGTAGTAAAACCCGTAGTAAAACGAGCATAAATAGAAGCGTCAAACAAAGTGACCAACACGAAAAAAAAGAAAAAGAAAAAAAAAAGAGCAAACCGGGGATAACTCGGCCGGCCGAGTGATCTCAGCCGTGCAGACTCCACCTAACAACGCTCTCACCCGTCTTTGACAGAACAGGGAGCATCACTCCGGACGTTGTAGGAGAAGGGAATTCAAAGCTGAGAGATGAGAGCAGGAATCAGATTTGGTGACATGGTTGATGTGGAAGTGACAGAAGTACCCGACGGAGTACTCCGTACTTCGTATGTTGTAGAGCAAAAGGATCGGCCGAATCCCTTGAAACTTGAAACTGCCGGACCCTCCAGAGCTGCAGGTGACATCAAGGGGAATCTAAGGGAATCTGCCGAATTCTGTGGATCTCGATTTTCTACTTTCTATTCACTCCGTACAAGACTAACAAGTGCAAATATCCAGGACATTCCAATTTTTTTTTAATGGAATACGTCGACATCATTCTTCCCCACGGGGTAGAGGGGGGTATGTATATAGCGCAGAAGAGGCTAACCTCATAGGAAATGCTTAGGTGTGGTATTTCCCCGATTTCCCATGTTTCCCAAACGCCAGCATAGGGAAACAGATCAAAAACCAAAGTCTGTGAGGAACTAGACTAATGGATGGTCCCCGCTCATGCTGGGGAACAACATCACATCCGAAACACGACCCAGGATATTTCGCATACTCAGGCCTTCCATCGGCTGCAAACCTGCATTGGTGGTGGTTGGCACGTTGGGAGTAGTTGCGAAAGAGGGAGGGGAAGGCAACGCAAGAGGGGAATATGTTGTGCTCGATAGTTGTCCTATCGGAGTATTCGTGCGAGCGCTGAAGGCCTCACGGATCTCACGCAGAGCACGGAGTGACGAAGAAAGATGCTTAGCGGAATCTGTGCGGTTGTTCTGGTCCAAATCCCCATCTGCATAGACATGGTCCGCCAGAACCATCTCCAGCCTGTCAATCAAGTGCCAGGTCTGAAGACTATCGTCATTCGCAACGAGCAAGAATGCAGATGCGATGGTTCGCTGCAGACTAATCCATGACCGCGAGCAGTGGGAATTGATCTCGTGCAATTCGACAAACGCATCGATTGTGTTGATCAGGCTACCGATACAGTCTTCGCGGATCAGTGCGCGACGCGGTGGCTCCAAATGGGCATGTGGGTCAAGCGAGACGCGACACAAGACAGAGAGAAGATACGAGGAGTGCAGGCGCAATTCGGTTCGCTCAATGTGCTCGGCTAGTGACCGACATTTTTCTCGATACCGCAAATGAGGTGTCGCTTCCGCAAGCATGCGGTGGATCTGTTGTTTATACTCACGAATCTCATTGATACGTATCTGCGACGATCCGGGATACATGCGCGACCGAAGGACTTCCAATGCCAACGATACAATGCGACAAAGAGTCTCAAAATACGAGCGATGGCCCGGCATTGATTTGGGATCGAATGGAATTTCAGGTTGGCTGACCATGGTGATCGATGGTCGGTCATAGGCAAGTGAGAAATGACTGTTCTGGAAGGCCATTGTCCACCTGAGAAATGTGAGGTTGAGATCGACCAAAAGGGAAGAAGATAAGGATACTTACCAGACACGCCTTCGCACTTCCTGCTCTGCAACTGAAAACCCAGTCGACTCAACATGGAGCCCGAGAACAAGACACATTCGCTCCGTCATGCCTGATGTTGGTTAGCTGGACCTTCTCGCAGGAAACGTTCAACACATACCAAGCAAGGTATATGATGCACCTGCATTCATATTGTATGAAAGTACGTTGCTAATGATGAGAAGAATCTGAATTACTTCTATGGTGGGTTGCGATACATAGTTCAACATCCGGAGACATTGATACGCACAGGAAACTGGTCAAAGTCAGCACAGCCCCTCCGATCTTCCTCGAATACTACGCACCATATACCCATGAGGTCAACTCACGGTCGTTTTCCGGTATACCAGACAGCTGGCAACCCGATGCAAGAACCGCAAAAAGCAGACTGAGAAAGGCCAACGGCATCCCGAAAGGTTTCACTAAACCGTTGGCATCGGCTTTATAGACACCACCTGCTCGTCGTCGATTATCCAGAAGTCGTTTGGTTTGTCGTTCTAACTGTGAGATGTCCGAAAGGACTGGATATAATACTGATCCTATGTCCTGGTAAAACCGGAGGAATCTGACAATTGGCATTAGCAGGCATCGCAGAACACCACAAATTTCTAACTCACTCCAAACACCGTCCGTCTTCTGGGAGAACCGCACAAACACCGGCGATATTGAATGTGAACGGGTCAGAGGACCACAAATCCACAAAGGGATATGCAGCCGACTCATTCCCCAACGCAAGTTCGGCAAGAAGATCATCCTGGGGCAGCGCCTGCGCTGTTTCCTCCGATCTCTTCGATTTATCCAAAATATCAACCAGGGCCGACCGAGACCCGAGATGGACCGCGCCCGTCTTTAAAACATTGGACCCGTAGACACCTTCCGACCGGATGGAATCCTTTCGTGCGATGGGTTCTGGTTCTGGGTCTGGGTCTGGTTCTGGTTCCGGTTCTGGCGGCTTGTGAGTTGAGTGTGTCTGGAAGAGCGAGTGCAGACTGCCGAGGATCTGTTCCATTGCGACCATCTTGGTATTGATTTCATCCCATTCCGCCTGGGAAATATCGATGATGTCCGGTAAATCTAGATCGGCGCTGGTGCTCGAGGGATGATCGGTTGCATATGAACCATCGATTGTGGGGGCCGAACTTGTGTATGGGGGGATTGTGGGAGAGACAAATGTAGGTTGCTGTAGTGGCGTAGAGGAGGCCGAGGTGACGGTAGTTGGAGGGGGTTGTTTTTCAGAGGAAGGACGACCGTAGGAGCAGGTGAAGTTTCGTTTAGTGCAGTTGCCGCAGGGGACGTTGCGATCGCAGCGGACTTTGCTCGCTCGGCATGGTAAACAGGTTTTGCACTCGCGCGGGCGGCGACGGATAGGGTAAGTGGGCATAGTGTGAATTTCCTACTCTCTTTTTTTTTCACAGCTGGATCCTCGTGATCGACAGCAGAGAAATTATGAAAGAGGCTGCCAGCGGCGACCGGGCAATAAGAGGGAGCGGCATAGGAAGACGTAGATCGAGTTCGAGGTTGGAAATGACAGCTCTCACTGGTGCTGACCAGTCGGAATAGCGCCAACACTGAATCGGTACAGAAGACTAGCCCTGAAAGTGATGGATGCGTCCAGCGGTGCCTATCATTGGGGGGTCCGTGAGCTGCCCCGGATTGTCCTGTGAACAAACTCAGAAACTTTGGGAAGGGGAAGAAGAAGGAAGGTTCGAGATGAGACGAGTCTGTAAGGGCTTAAGCCTCTGTTTTGAAAAGGTGGCCAAGGTACTCGTAGTACTAGAATTGGGCTGATTAAAAGAAGGTTGAAGTGTTGGAAAAGTAAATTGTGAAGTCGGCCGGGTGGCAGATGATTTCAAAACCAGGCGGGTGTTCCCGTTCGCTACGGACCAGGCGCCCTGATTTGGTGGATTTTGTTTTTTTGTTATAAAAATAGGTGTGTTGGAGATTAATAGGTAAGTCGAGATGTATGTATGCATGTATTACAATTACTTTCTTGATTTATTACAGCTGTGCAGATTGCAAAGCCAATCATAGCATGAATTGGCCCTGTATATATTGCATATACTCTGTGTGGAGGACCCCTGGTTCATGCTATAGTCATGATCATTCCTTTAACGAATTAAAGGGATCACTCATAGATCAGTAGTTGCTGAAGGAACTCATGCACATTTATGCCTCTGTATAAGAAAACAAACAACTCTTTCACGCCTTGGACTTCTTCTCAGACACTTGCGGTACTACCCACCAGTCATGCCAACGAGACTTGGATCCAACTTCAGGAACAACTACCTTCAAATTGAGAGATTTGTCTTCAGTCAAAGATGCCGCAGCGAGAGCCTTCTTGACTGCTTCGACAGCAAGACTGGTTCCAATGCACGCACGCATGGTGTTTTTCACGTCGCGTTTCCAATCCTCTTCAATGGCCGAAGGTGGCGGTTGGGTAGTTGCGGATGGATTCTCAATGAAAGCTCCATTGGCAAGGGTCGCCTCCCAAGCTTTGCGCGCTTCTGTAATGGCTTTCGAGGCACGCTCCATAATGGTAGCGTCGGAATCACCTTCGAGGGCTGCCTCGCGCTGGTATTCTTCGTATGGGACCAACTCCGGCAATGTGATGGGGATAAACGGCTTCATACGGATTTCATAGCGGAGTCGATCGGTAGAATATGCCTGGGGAGATGAAGAAGACGGGAGCACGTTGTGCCGGGCCAGGATAACATACAAGGCATGTAGAGCAATCGCAAAGGCATCCACCGCAATGATGTGCGTGGTCAATCTCTCCAGAGCGTGGAATGACCGGTGGAACGCAGATGCCTTTTGAGAGGAGCTTCCAGAGCGGTTGCCAGCAGAAATCAAATCGCGTTTTCGTGCAGCCACTGTAAACGTGCGAATGCGATCGATGTGCCCGAGATGCGTGGAACAAATATGAGACAAATACCAGTACATTCCCGGTAACTCTTCTGGGGAGTAGATCGACAGCTCAAATCCCATCTGGAGAATCAGTCGGAACTGGACGAGCTTCTGGTGATAGGCCCAGCTGCTAAGTGGGAAGGACCAGGTCGGTTCGCCGCCTTGGAATTGCAGAGGCGGTTCCGCACTCAAAGTGCGGAGCTCGAGATCAATTTCTTCTGCCTGCACTGGATCAGCAATGACGCTCAATTGGCAAAGAGACATGAAGCAAGACCGACCTCTATCTGCAGGTTGTCCCAATCGACGAGGGTATGGCAGAGGGTTCGGCGCATGCGACACCTATTGAGACAAGCGCATCTCACAGTATCAACAAACGGCTGTATGAGTTAGAAAATGGGACGCGCGATGATCAATGTGCTCACTAACCTGGGCGAATCGCTTTATGAAACCATCCATCTTCTGGGCAATCTGGAACCGAGGATCGGACGGCATTTCCACTTCATCAGTGTTAGACTCGAGCAAAATATTGGCAGGTAAGACGAGTTCCGCGAGTTCATCGTATAGAAATTCCTTTACTGGTACGGCACCGAGGATTGTCATGTTGCTGACAATCAATGCTTGGAGAAGACAACGAATATAAATTGACGGTTGCGGTGTTCGAGCAAGCAGAGTCCATATAGCAGTCTGCAATACAAGTTAGAACCAAGAATATATTCAAGTTCAAGAGTACACACCTTGAAATTGCTGGGACCGGTGTAATCAAGCATCTGCTGCATGTCTATCGCATCTTGGCACAGTCGTTTCAGATGTGCGAGCGCATCATCGGAAGTAATATTAACCATCGGACGCGGTGGCACAGTGCTGGCCAGCTTGCGCTGAATCTTCAAGCTAAAGGCATCTGGCACCGGCTTTCCCAGTGCGACTGTCTCTGTCAGAGGTCGAAGTTGGGCTATACAAGAGATGAAATTTTCCGCAGATCTGGTTTCAAGAACTTCAATATCCTGATGTAGTGCGGACAGAAACTCGTGCCGAAACATTAATCTGCAAAGGATGGCATCTTTGAGCTTCTGGTCAATATCGGTCTGCTCAGCAACCCAAGCAACCGCCTGGTCCAGCAGACGGTGGAAGGGGGTTATATCAAATGCAGACAGAAGATTGCGGTTGTACAATTGACTGACAAAATCCTCTTCCTAGTTGGCGGATAGCATTAGCGATAGTTATGCAATCAGTTCGGGAGCCAGCCCTCTAACCTCATAGTAATACTCAGTGGCCACTCGGACATGCACAAGATCACAAGCTTTGACCAACGCAAGACAATAAGCTCTCAAGACGAGGTTGACCAAAGTGTCATCACTTGGTACACGGTCAAATCGAGCGTCGTCCATAGTTCTCGGCACTGGCCACAATAATTTGTCGAGATATATTGACGTGAATAGCGTCTGCGATAGAGGATGTCCCTGATGCCACGCCACCTGCGGTTAAATCAGCAACCTGCCTGGCTCCGTATGGACGAAGTCATCTCCCACCTCATGGCACAGCAACTGGTCCATCAAGCCAACGACTTCCTCTGGTGTCAACGGCCGCCGTACGTCGTAGTCGTCTTCTAGCGCCTGCGCGAGATTTTCTCCGGGAGCTATGTACCCGCTATCCATCTTCGAGTCCATAATCTGTGCGAGTTCGATTTTTGTCAGCTGGAATTCTCGTTGCACGTTTCACATCGGGTGGGAAAGTTGACGCACTTCCAATGCGCCCACAGCCTCGAACAGGGTGAACGTCTCATCTTTCACGAGCTGCCCTGTACCTAGATCTGCAAGTACAAAGTATTAGACACATGATCGAAGCTCTCAGGGCAATATGCTTACTCGAAGCGGCTTTTGTAAATTCAGCGGTAATGTCACGGGGTACGGCAGACCGCGGACGTGGAACGCGAACTTCATTATTCGGCAGCATCACGAAGAATCCCAAGTTCTTCCCGCAGCTCTTGTTTTATAGGGTTTCAGCAAATATTGTGCTGTCGGACGTGTTTTGAGAAATCGAGGGGGAGGCGGGGATGTGAGCGGAGGAAAAAGCGAGTCGGGAAGTCGACAGACAACCGGGCCCTAAAGGTGACGTGCAACTTCTGACCGGCCACGCCTGGGCAGTATAAGAATTCTTACGGCAGTTTTAATTAACAGCTTATGCGTGGTGTGAAAACAAAGGCGAGTGCGATTTCTAAGCTCTGTCCAACCAGACAGGCCGGTATTGCTACACATGTACATATTCAATGCCTTCCCCGGACCGAAAACTTGCTCAAGTCCGTCACACTCGGGCCCCGCATTTCTTCAAGCTCGATTCTCTCAGGTTATGGGTGACATTGGCTTATTTCTCAGCAGCCTTGGCGAGGGCCTCGTTGTTGGCCTGGGCGAGGGACTTGACATCACCCTGCTTGCCGTTCTGTTTGTCGTAACATTGTCATCAGTCAAAATTCTGCAGCGAAGTGCTCGGGATGTTCACTAACCTCCCACTTGGCGAAACGGAGGTCCATCTGGCCGCGGCGCTCAGATGCGAGGCGAGGGCCATCCTTCAAGGAACGGCGCACCGTGCGGGCGGCGATGGCCAAGTAGCGGTTGTAGCTAAGGTCGGGGTTAGCATTGACCTTCAAGGCGAGTGGTGGATGCGTACGTCAAACCGGCGGCTTTCCAGACAGCAGTCATTTTGAAGAGAATGTGGGAGGTATGGTTCGATTGAAGGGGTGAAAACGGTTCGGGTGAGTTTGGAAGCGTTCGACTTCGGAGGATCGGGATGACAGGATCACGTGAAGAGGAGCCTACCTTGGGCAGGCGGTGACTGCCACAGCGGTCAGCATTTGCTTGATTTGGATCTTTGGAGCCTAGAAGTCAGGTGATGCGGGAGCAAGGTTTGAAAAGGAATAATAATATTCCGAGCAAGATTGATAAGCGCATATCGCGTTTGAGTTCATGTGACTGGCGTTTATCTTGACCACATCCTTTCTGTAAAGAACACCACACCATGTTCTTCAGTCCCACAAGGTTCAATTCACAACATCATAATCGCTACGTGCCATTGGGGTATTCTTTACTTTAATCCAAGGGTTTTGTTTTTTTTTCGAGTTTAGCAGGGTGTACAAGCGTTGCCGCGAAATTAGGTAGATTGTTCGTCACATAACTTGCCAACATGTGGAACGAAATACAGCGTACTTTACCACTAGACCATAACAAAAACCAAGGTTCCTGTTTAAGGCCTAGGGGGGCCATATTCGTGGTTTGACACAACAGCTTAATATAAAAGGAAACTACTCGACGCGACACACTGTCTTCATCGGGACCACGAAGTTCTGTTGATTAAATTAAAAAATCTGTGTTCCATTAGACCATCAAAACTTGCGTTCCGGAGTTTCCGCGGTTTTTTCTGGGTTGGCAAGGCGCAGAAGGGTTGCCGTGAAGTCTTATGGATCGGTCACGATATGCGCATCTTGACAACATCGCTTATAACTAGAACACAACACAATGCGACACAACATATCCTCCGCCCACAGAACATTCAATCCATGAAATTGTAACTGGTAAGTGCGATAGGCATACCGATCACTCCATTCTGTCCTTCTCATTTCTTTTTTCGAGGCTGGTAGGGTGTAGATGCGTTGCCGCGAAAGTACATAGATCGTTCGTCCCAAGAGCAGCAAAACGCGTGTTGCCGCAGTATCATATCAAATTTTAACAACCCAAATGCATCTTCAGCAACTTCGAAGTGCTAAAGCAGAGGGGTTGTCAGCTCTAGTAAAACCCAAGTGTAGACTCCAAGCAGCAGGGCTTGCGGTGCACAATTATGTGTTCGATCTGCCACCTTGGAGTGCGGAGTATGCAATGCTCTGATTTGCGTCAGCTACCCGCATACCATACATATGGTCGACCTCGAAACCAAGAGCCAAACAAGCACCCCGAAGAGTATCTCAAGGCGGTCCGTTGCTCAAGATCATTTGCCATCCCCTCCTACTTCCTTTGGTCACCACTTCTCTCACTTACCTTTTATTCTCATCAACCTCCATCCATCTGCCATCGCCCACAACATTCCCCATCTTTCTCTGCTTTGATACCACCCCATTTGGAGTCGACAGTGCTCTTTTATTGCATCCATCAGGTGAGTAACTCAGCCTTGTGCTGGCGATGGTCCATAAGTTCCCCTGGCGAATCCCCACTTCCCACTGTGTGGCTCTTGCATCTGTGCATGATCGGCATGAGGTCTTGTGGCATGCTGCGATCACTGGAGCCCCGCAGTTCCATCCTATGCTTGGGGCATCTGGGTTGCTGTGGCATCCAGTGACCTTGTCTAGGATTGGGTGTTGCACATCAACGTCCAGCATCTGCTAGGCTCATCTCAATTGCATGGCTTCTGGATACCTGTGGCACAAATCTATCATGTTGAGAACCTTGCACCAGATCATCAATGGTCTGATGTTTTGTCTGGTACTTGATGTCGTTCGACAGTGCACAAGACACCATTGGGGTGTAGGACACCAAGTTTTGTGGGAATGGGCACTCTGAACAGCTTCTAGGAGCCATGCCCTATGACCCTGCAGACATGGTTAGCCTTGCTACCCTGTGATTTGTCTCAACACACCTTGTTTGGGCAGAGACAGATGCTATAATCCAGCCAAACATAGATATTTCAAAGCTGTTCCACATCGAGAAAGTTGTGTGCTTTCCTTGGGCCTGATCCATCATGGTCCTTCGTTCAATGCCTCCCTGTCTGCAGAAAACATGTTCTCAAATGCAGCGTCTTCTTCCTGCTCAAGGGTTTGGCACTAATGCACCAACACATTGGTCATGCCCAGTCAACTACCTCATGCACAGTCCATACATCCCTGATTCATGTTTTGTTATGAAAACAATTGCTAATGATTATACCGTGCAGAAGGATATAAAGGAAGTGTCTCTCCAACATGCCGACAAAAAAGAAAGCCGGTGGCCGAAAGCGCGACAATGAGGTAGACCTTGCTGAGCTCGAAAGTCTCCGGAAGAAAGTCGCCGAGCAGACCAAGGCCTTAGAGGCTGAAGAGGCCCGCAAGGAAGAAGAGAACCAGACCAAGCGCCAAGTCAGCAGTCGGCGCCAACGCACACTAGTTCGCTGGGATGGTATGTTTTATTGTCTTTTTCCATTCAATATCTAAATCTTTGTTCGGTTATTTGTTTGAGGAGTTCACCTGATATGTGTTCAACCCTAGGGATATCCATTGGATGGATAGACTGTCATCACACTGACTTGCATTCAAAAGAATCTTTGAATCATGCTGACATTTGACTGAAACAGTGGATACCGACATTCGGCTTCTTCTGGCTATCCAGTATGCCTGCAATAAATCCAGCGTGAAGATTCCCTGGAAGGAGGTCGCGGAGGTTATGGGAGAGAAGTTCACGGAGGGTGCAATCGTTCAGCATTTGTCCAAGCTTCGTACCAAGCGGGAGGAGCAGGATAAGCCAAATCCGCCTCCACTGAAGCGTGCAGGAAATGGTAATCACAAGGCTGACACAGGCAACAAGAAGGAGGCGTTGCCTTCTGCAAAGGTGGGTCCTGCGCCGAGCACTCACAATGGAAAGCGCCTTCGCCGTGATCCATCCGGGGATGAATCCGAAGACAGTGTGTACGCCTTGAAGAAGAAGCAGTTCGCAAAGAACAACAAGAAGGACAAGGTCTTTGTTGCTCCCAAGCTGCGTACCAAACGTGAAGAAACCGATAGTGATGACTCTCAGAAGCTAGTGTGTGTTGGAGCGGAATGGCTGCGTGACTTTGCCACCGGCGATGACCGCGAGGATGATGATGAATCTGCTAGTTCTGAGAACGAGAACTCCACTGAAAGTAGCCAGGCCACTACTCAAGTTGCCAGGAAGTCAAAGATGGTGAAACTCAAGCTGGATCAAGAACGGTTCGCAAGTTTGGACCACCGCCTTGGTAACTCTGCAACCTCCCGAGAGCCAGTTACCCCAACCAACCCGCCGCGCATTACCAATATGGCACCTCGTCGTTCCTCTTACTATCCTTACTCTACTGCTCCTTTTTCTCCTATGACGCCCACCCCGGTTGCAAACAACTCTGGGATTTCTATCCCTTACCCGTCCAATGGCCCAAGCCCTTTTGACATCGTCAATCGTATTCCTAATGGAATTTCTGACGCTGCTCCTGTTGTAGTCCCCAGCACGGTCTCTGGTGAAGTCTCTGCTTTTGATGCCGTGAATCTTACAGCGGCATATTCGCAGTTTGAGATGCTCCCCGAAATGCAATTTGCGGACCATTATGGCGCTCAAGGTACTTTCCCGATGACTGGCTACACCGAAACCAGTGGGTTTGAAAACCAGTTCATTTCCGACAGTGAACTGTTTGCTAAGCTTCCCAATGTGGAACCTCCTCGTTACTTTGGGTATGAGGGTGAAGATACCAAGGAATTTTAATTTCCTGAAGTCATCACGGTGCTGGTCAATTGATGCTTTTCCAAGCTTGCCGTTTCTTTTTTATTTTGACTTTTTATGACTTGTCGTTCTTTTTTGCTTTTCGCTGGTTGATTGAGGAAGATGGGTGAGCATCAACCCCAATTAACGGGTGCAATTCCGGATAATCATTCTTGCGTGGCATGGAGTCACGCTTTGTTCGGAGTTGTGCCCCAGCGCCTCTTTCATGCGCTCGTTGGCCCCTGCGGGGGGCCCAGTAGTTAGTCACTTTAATAAGAGCATGAACAAATTTTTTTGTTTTTGTAGATTAGTAGGATTCTAACTAACTTTTGATCCAAAAGGAAGGTTAGAATAAAGTGATATGAGAACTATGGTATATTATCTCTGGACCGATCTTTGATTGAAAGAGCATTTAGAGGGCGCGTATAGTGTGTCTGGTATGTGGACTTACGCATCATTCTGCGGCAGTCTTCAATTGAGCAGCAGATCATTGAGATAAAATTGTGAAATTAATTCTATGATGAATTGAAGATATAGATATAGTTAAATTCGTGAAAACACGCAAAAAGAAAAAGTGAAAAAATTTAAGAAAAAAGTGAAGTAGCCAGTTTATGTAGGGGGGGGGTAAACCGAGAGCCGGATATGTGAAGCTTCCCGAGGTATAAAACACATCAGCTTGAATCTACACACACAAGTTTTAACACTGAAAAGACTCTTACTTCAGAACGTTTGAATTTGAAACCACTGTATTCAAACTGCATGTTTCCACACTTAATGAATTTAAGAAGAAGCTACAATACTAAATAATACTATAAGATCTACTAGTAACATTTCGAGAGCCGATCGAGGTCCGTTCTTCCGTCTCACGTGATGGTTCTAGCTGTTTCTGCCGCCAAGCTCTGGGGATGAAGGAAGCGCCTGGAAAATTTTCGAGACTTCGGCTTCATCTCTCCCCCAGCTTTCTTCATCTCTTTCTTTTTCCACCTCCAAACCCTTTATCTCTCCTGGGTTGTTGTCTTTCTCTCTTCTTTTAATTTCTTTAATCTTGCTGTTCCTAGCCATGCAGCGCGCTCTCTCTACCCGGACCTCCGTCCTTTCGGCCGCTTCCAAGCGTGCCCCTTTCGGTCGCTCGACTTTGAACCTCCAGCAGCAGCGTTTTGCTCACAAGGTGCGTTGGATTGCCAATTTCTCGCAGAACCATCTTTCTTTGACATCGACCCCGTGTTCCGTTCATTCCGAAGCGTTGGATTCCCTTGACTAACAACAACTAGGAGATCAAGTTTGGCGTTGAAGCCCGTGCCAGTCTTCTCAAGGGCGTTGACACACTTGCTAAGGCTGTTACCTCCACACTCGGCCCTAAGGGCCGTAACGTCTTGATCGACTCCCCCTACGGCTCCCCCAAGATCACCAAGGGTAAGATTTCTATCAAGATTCAACACAGGGTCATTCGGAAAAGACTAATCACTCTCCAGACGGTGTATCTGTCGCCAAGGCCATCCAGCTCAAGGACAAGTTCGAGAACCTTGGTGCCCGCCTCATCCAGGATGTTGCTTCTAAGACCAACGAGGTTGCTGGTGACGGTACCACTACCGCCACTGTCCTCTCCCGCGCCATCTTCTCCGAGACTGTCAAGAACGTTGCCGCTGGCTGCAACCCAATGGATCTCCGCCGCGGTATCCAGGCTGCCGTTGAGGCCGCTGTGGAGTATCTCCAGGCTAACGCCCGTCCTATCACCACCGGCGAGGAGATCGCCCAGGTCGCCACAATCTCTGCCAACGGTGACACCCACGTCGGCAAGCTCATCTCTACCGCCATGGAGCGTGTTGGCAAGGAGGGTGTCATCACCGTGAAGGAGGGCAAGACTCTGGATGATGAGCTCGAGGTCACCGAGGGTATGCGCTTTGACCGCGGCTACACCTCTCCTTACTTCATCACCGACCCCAAATCCCAGAAGGTCGAGTTCGAGAAGCCCCTGATCCTGCTCTCCGAGAAGAAGATCTCCGCCGTCCAGGATATTCTCCCCGCCCTTGAGGCCTCCACCACTCTCCGCCGTCCTCTGGTCATCATTGCCGAGGACATTGAGGGTGAGGCTCTCGCCGTCTGCATTCTGAACAAGCTCCGTGGTCAGCTCCAGGTCGCCGCCGTCAAGGCCCCCGGCTTCGGTGACAACCGCAAGAGCATCCTCGGTGATCTCGCTGTTCTCACCAACGGTACTGTCTTCACTGATGAGCTCGACATCAAGCTCGAGAAGCTCACCCCCGATATGCTCGGCTCCACCGGTGCCATCACCATCACCAAGGAGGACACGATCATCCTCAACGGTGAGGGCAGCAAGGACAACATCTCCCAGCGCTGCGAGCAGATCCGCGGTGTTATGGCTGACCCCACCACCTCCGAGTACGAGAAGGAGAAGCTGCAAGAGCGTCTCGCTAAGCTCTCCGGTGGTGTCGCCGTCATCAAGGTCGGTGGTTCCTCCGAGGTTGAGGTCGGTGAGAAGAAGGACCGTGTTGTCGACGCTCTTAATGCCACCCGTGCCGCCGTTGAGGAGGGTATCCTCCCCGGTGGTGGTACCGCCCTGCTCAAGGCCTCCGCTAATGGCCTCGGTGGTGTCAAGCCCGCCAACTTCGATCAGCAGCTCGGTGTCAGCATCATCAAGAGCGCCATCTGTCGCCCTGCCCGCACCATTGTTGAGAACGCCGGACTTGAGGGCTCCGTCATTGTCGGCAAGCTGACCGACGAGTACGCCAAGGACTTCAACCGCGGATTCGACAGTGCCACCGGCCAATACGTCGACATGATTGCTGCCGGTATCGTTGACCCCCTCAAGGTTGTCCGCACCGCTCTGCTTGATGCCAGCGGTGTTGCCTCCCTCCTTGGTACCACCGAGGTCGCCATTGTTGATGCTCCCGAGGAGAAGGGCCCTGCCCCTCCCGGTGGTGGCATGGGCGGTATGGGTGGCATGGGCGGCGGCATGTTCTAAAGCCCCTGACCCTCTTCCCCTGAAGAATTACCTCGAGCGCTCTTCTTTGCATCGTAGCCTGTTCTGATACGCGGATATCTGTGTAATGTCTTTTCTTTGTGTCTCTATTTGGTGTTTATTTTTTTTTTCATGTTTCTTTCCATACCTTTGTTCTTTTGGACTCTTTTCCGATCTCAGACTCTCTCCCTCTCTCCTCTCTTCTGGGGACATGACCCAAAAATCGTTCCACTGTACTATATCATGTATTCCAATGAAGTCCCATCTGATACAGCCTGAATGACGTCTCTTATAACCTTTTTTTTCCAACTTTTCCGTGATTACTGGGGTCTCCGTTAAATTTACTTCAAGATCGACAATGGGCTCCTATTAATAAAGTTCAAGTGTACTCGGCAGATTTATTGAAGCACCTAACCATCTTGGCAACAGGTACTATGTACACTGCACGGGATATCAACATTCCATATTCTCAGATCAATGTGCAACTGATTGGTCATTCTGGTCGGCTATTCGTGCAGTTTAAAGAGCTACACAGGCCTAACAAGGGTCTAGACTGAGGCAAAGGACTGTAAACCCAGACCGGCAGAGCCTGGGAATGATATATGCAATGGGTGTTAACAGGGATAAATCGTGTAGTGACTTAATCTGATACCAAAGGCCAATCTAAGCGGGTGGCACAGGCAAATCACCTTTGGAACTATCTACAACTTGTTTTCTTCCCTCTTCCCTCTTCCCTCATCCCTTCCCCATGGTTCTTTACTCCGCCTCTTCCTCTCCGCTTTTTCCTCTGTCATCAGGTCATTCCGGCATTCCGGTCCCACATTTCTGTGCATCTTTGCACCTGACTTAGATTCGCTTCTGAATTTCGTTAATATCGTGGAATACTTTGGCTATCGGGAATGCATACGGCGCTTATGGGGCATCGTGTTGGCACTTTCGTCGCCTGTCACAATAGGTGCGGCCATGAATTCCTCCTTGGCTCTCTGCTTCATCGCTAACTCGACTCTAGAGTCACTGCACGCCTTGATAACCTTGAGCGGATTTAAAATAAAATCGATCGTGATTGCTACGGACAATGGCTGCCATGGTGGATACCGCTCGGCCTGCCCTAGTGAGCGATGTAGATCTCATGCAAGCACGAGCAGCTCTCCAGCACCAGCAGAGTCCAGAAGTCTCCGTTCCTCGCGAATTTATCTCTCGAATTGTTGACGAACTTATCTATCGCCGCGAGACGCATTCCTTCATCGCAGAAATCGAGCACGAACGCTCAAACCTTCGGAATGAACTTCGCAAACACACCCATATCAATGAGGCATTTCAAAAAGAACTACGGGAGATCGGCGAGATCATTACTCAGGTCGCCCATGGCGATCTATCACAGCGGGCACGTATGCACCCCCTCGAGATGTCACCTGACATCGCGACCTTCAAACAGACAATCAATACAATGATGGATCAGTTGCAGGTTTTCAGTCAAGAGGTGTCGAAGGTGGCTAGGGAGGTTGGCACAGAGGGTGTGCTGGGAGGCCAGGCGAAGATCGAGGGCATTCAGGGGATTTGGCATGAATTGACCGTCAATGTGAATGCCATGGCCAATAATCTGACCACGCAAGTCCGCGACATCACAACTGTAACAACCGCGGTTGCCAAGGGTGATTTGCAGCGCAAGGTGCAGGCGGATTGTAAGGGGGAGATATTGCTGTTGAAGAATATCATCAACTCGATGGTCGATCAGCTACGGGAATTTGCGTTCGAGGTTAGCCGGGTTGCCCGCGAGGTCGGGTCAGACGGCGTACTCGGTGGCCAGGCTGTTGTGCATGGCGTTGAGGGTACTTGGAAGAATCTTACGGACAACGTCAACCGCATGGCATCGAATCTAACACAGCAGGTCCGCGAAATTGCCGATGTGACGACCGCCGTTGCACGTGGTGATCTTACAAAGAAGGTGACTGCGGATGTGAAGGGCGAAATTTTAGATCTGAAGCTTACAATAAATGCAATGGTTGATCGGTTGAATCAGTTCGCGTTCGAGGTCAGCCGAGTCGCACGGGAGGTGGGTACAGATGGCACGCTGGGTGGACAAGCGCAGGTCGAAAATGTCGAAGGTCGCTGGCGTGATTTGACGGATAACGTGAATACAATGGCCCAAAATCTTACTCTGCAAGTCCGACAAATATCCAACGTGACCCAGGCCATTGCGCGCGGCGATCTAAGTACCAAAATTGAGGTTCACGCCCAGGGTGAGATCTTGACTCTCAAAGAAACAATCAATAGCATGGTGGATGGGTTGGGTGAATTTGCAGGACAAGTCAAAGGCGTGGCGAGGGACGTGGGTGTCCGGGGTAAACTTGGCGGCCAGGCCAACGTTGCTGGATCTCATGGGATTTGGAGATCGATCAGTGAAGATGTCAACACGATGGCAGACAATCTGACCTCTCAGGTTCGTGCCTTCGGTGAGATCACCGAGGCGGCGATGAGTGGAGATTTCACAAAATTGATTACCGTGTCTGCCTCAGGAGAAATGGACGATTTGAAACAGAAGATCAACAAGATGATCTCGAGTCTGCGTGACAGTATTCAGCGCAACACCGCTGCCCGTGAAGCAGCAGAGTTGGCAAATAGGAGCAAGTCCGAATTTTTGGCCAATATGAGGTACGTTCATCCCTTTCTTCAATTTCACGGGCTTTACTCCTTTTTTTCTGGCCTGGTGCTAACTGTAACATAGCCATGAGATCAGAACTCCAATGAACGGAATAATTGGGCTCTCTAGCCTGGCACTCGACACTGACGATCTCCAAGCTCCCGTGAGAGAGACTCTGAATATGGTACACAATCTTGCCATCTCTCTCTTGACTATCATCGACGACATCCTTGATATCTCCAAGATTGAGGCTAATCACATGATAATTGAGAAGACACCGTTCAGTCTTGGTGCAACGGTTTTCAGTGTTCTGAAAGCACTTTCCGTGGAAACCAACGAGAAGGCATTGGGTCTGGTCTACACAGTAGATGGAGATGTGCCAGATTATCTAGTTGGAGACGCATATCGACTACGGCAAGTCATGTTAAACCTAGTCGGCAATGCCATCAAGTTCACAGATCACGGCGAGATCAGAGTCACGGTAAAGCATGCACAGGACGACAAGTGCGCTTCAGATGAAACGGCCTTCCAGTTCTCAGTCTCAGACCCTGGAATTGGCATCGACGAAAGCAAACTTGGGTTGATCTTTGACAAGTTCCAGCAAGCTGATGGATCGATGACTCGTCGCTTTGGCGGAACGGGATTAGGTCTCGCCATCTCGAAACGACTCGTTTCTCTCATGGGCGGTGATATCTGGGTGACCTCGCACATGGGGGAAGGTAGCACATTCTCATTTACATGCCGGGTGAAGCTAGCTCAACCGCCGTTAAGCTTCGCAGAGCAGCTTGCCCCTCACCGCGGTCGGCGCGTTCTCTTCTTTGACCACGGTCTTGCGCGTGATTTTTCAATAGCAAAAGTGCTCGTTGAACTCGGATTAGAACCAGTAATTGCTACAACGGAGCAGCTTGAATGTGGCCAGTTGAAAAGTAACTGGGGGTGCACCTTCGACGCGATCCTAATCGAAAACTTGGAGACCGCCACAAAAATCCGAGCCTTTCCGGACCTTCAACCCATTCCACTAGTTATTACAGCACACGCCGTATCCCTGGCGCTCAGAGCTGCTGGTGAACTCGGCATAGCATCCTACATAGCAGTGCCCTGTCGACCTGTTGATCTATGGAACGGCATTCTTCCAGCCCTCGGCAACCGCGCAACCCGCACCCCATCAGGCTACACACGCTCGTTAGCAATTCTTTTAGCAGAGGATAATGATGTGAACCAAAAGGTCGCCGTTCGCATCCTTGAAAAGTTCAACCACAACGTCACGGTCGTGGAAAATGGCCTCCAAGCCGTGAAAGAGGCCAAACACAACCGCTACGATGTAGTCCTCATGGACGTCCAGATGCCCGTAATGGGTGGTTTTGAGGCCACGGGGAATATCAGACAGTATGAGAAGATGAATGGGCTTCCTCGCACGCCTATTATTGCTCTCACCGCGCATGCTATGCTCGGGGATCGAGATAAGTGCATACAAGCCGGCATGGACGATTACCTGTCTAAGCCCTTGGACTCTAGTCGCATGATGCAGACTATCTTGAAGTGCTCCGCTATGAATCTTGCCTCTCTGCCTGCTACTGAGGGCTGAAAAATACTCCAGCTCATTGCCCGTTGTTCCAACATTGACTACGCCTTCACTCTTCGTCCAAGTCTCCTTTTCCTGCGTAAAAGCTTATCTGGCTATCCAGTCGAGACCATCTCCCCCAAATGAACTTTGACCAACATCCCTTCCCACTCTCCAAGAGGTTTCATGTTCTAACCCCGAAGAAATGCCCTGTCCCTTTTCTCTCGCAACCTGAATACGTCTATAGGTTGATTATGAACCCCAGCATTCTGTTTATGAGTTTCATTTTTTTGAAATACCCCATACCCAGCAATCGATCAACATTTTTCTTTCTTTCAAGGTAGTCAAATCCATTGTTTGGCTCCTTGGTACATGTGATGGAATGGATTCAAATAATGTCTGAAGGTGTCTATGGTTCATTTGCAGTGTCTGATGTGTTCTTGTTTATTTATATTCTTTACGCACACGAACCCACACACATCAAATCCATTCCAAGAATTTAGAACTGGATTGTGTTGAAGCCCCCTTTAGCTTTCCGATCAAGGCTCACATGAGATACAAATAGCCTCTGCTCGTGTCATAATGTGTTTTAACAATAAATAGGCACGTTGCTGTACCATGTGCACACTAGCAAAGTAATTTCATACCGAAAGGAAGAACATCCAAATTAAACCTGTGCACGACTTCTCCAATCCAATCCAGAACTCACCTGATATTTCCCCTTCCGACACCCCTTCCCCCCAGAAATCTGACCTCCCTGCAACCGCTGCCATATATCCTCATCACGCTGCACATTTCTCCTTCCAAGACCGAGGTACTCACCGAAGCGGTTCTTAAGCTCAGAATCCTCAGGCGCAACGTGAGCATGAGTCCTACTCATAGCAGAATCCCACCATAATGATTTAAGCGGATGCAAGATGAAATCCTTCAGAAGGCCCGAACCAACCTTGTGCGTTTTGGATACTATCTCGCGTAGCGTGTTGCTGAAGGCTAAGACGAGGGAGAGGGAGATTATTGCGAAGGATGCCGGGGCTGGTAAATGTTAGCACGAGGATTGAAGTGGCATTTGAACGAAACAGACCTGCGATCTCGAACATGTCTCCCAGGGTTGGGTTTGCTTGTTCGCCGCTCCATTCTCGGGCGTTGATTCCAAACAGGGAGGTGAAGAAAGATAGAGGAAGGAAGCTTGGGTTGTCAGATATAGTTGTTGAGATTATGGTGGAGAGAGTATGCAGACTTACACAACACTGAAAACGGTAAAGACCATCACTGCTCGGGATTGCGTTTGAGCGACTTCAGCTTGCCATCGAGTCATTTTGGCTTCGTCGACATTTGCCTGCTTTTGTTTAAGATCGAGGAGGGTTTCGACCTGTTTAGTTAGTATGTACGAGCAATAAATAGGGTATACCGCCCTTACTGCTTTCTGTGTTAGATGGCTATTTTCTTTCATCTCGTTGATTTGCGAACGATATTCGTCAGTGCGCTCCTGTGCTGTGTCGAGGAATGATTTCCCATGTTTCCCGAGGTCAAAATATTTGACCATACTTTTGATAACGGTATCTTGTTGATCGAGCAATTTTAGGATGATGGAGAGCTCGTTTTCGATGTCACGTAGCTCGAGTAGAACGGAGAGATCTTCTCGGTTTCGACGAGCATCCCGGAATTCTTTATCTTCTTGCTGGGCGGCTGTCATGATCTTGCCATCTGAGTCACGGTCATGATCCGCTGGGCGGTTGGTGAAGCCTCTATTTCGGAAGCGCCTGAAAGACTTGGTGACAGATTCGCTCTGATTTTGTTAACCGTAGTCAGTTGAAGAACATACTAGAAGGGATTAACCTTACCAAAATACTGATTGACTCCTCAAAAATGCGCAGTACTTGCAGATCTTGATGCAGAGTCTTATCCAGGAGAACAGTGACAGCATGCAGCATAATGAGAGCAGCCAAGTCACCGGCGGTCTCAAAGCGACGCGAGAGATCCCCATTTAACTCGTTATAGATGCTGCTGTGCAAATTGGACTGTTCAAAAAGCTTTCCCTCGGAGGTAGTAGCCTCCTGATTCGGGAAGAACGTAATCACAGTCTTCTGATCGAGAATCCAAAGCCAGAGTTGATCAACCATCAGAACATTACCATCCATAAACTCGCCACTGTTATCCTCGTTCTCGGGATCATCCTGTGCAGACTTCAGATACTCCTTTAGCTGCTCGTCAATGCGGACTGGTCTGCGCGTGCGTTTCCAGAGTATCTGATCGTCGTCCCGAGCGATAGTCGAGCGCAGGTTGGGATACCCATATTGATCTAGTGTGCGACGGAAGTGCAGTGGAGGCTCGCAACCAAGATAGGTCCATATGAGTTGTGCTTCCAGGCTTGCTTTTGAGATTCGGTCTGGGACGGGCCTGGATCGGCCTTGGTTGAGTCGGTCTTCGACTACTTTGCGCCGTTGAATTAGGTTGCGGTATGTATCCCAATGCAGCTGGGGTGAGTTAGCAAAATATAGAAGAAGGGGGTTTGACGAACAAGGTGCACCAACATAAGGAGCCTGAGATGAGAACAGGTTAGTGTGGATATTGATATGGAGGACTTGAAGCATACATATAGAGCGAGTTGAGGGTCCTTCGAAGTATCAGAAGAGCTTTGTTGCAAATCCTTTTGTCTTGAGTGAAGACACGCGGGCTTGACGAAACGTGCATGAGGCTCGAGATGACGAGCTCTATTAAGCCGGAGGAACCAATTTTCGTCATCGATAAATTTTCGAACACTGCAGAAGGAAGTCAGCTCAGTGCAAAGGTATCTCGCGGAGTTGATGGGCCCTACAAATTAGGCCTTTTTCTATCCTGACATGCTCGGCGGATGACTTGGGATACCCAACCAGTGTGCGTATATGGCACATGGATCCACATCAGTTTCTCAGTATCAGCTTCAGGTCGATCGAAACGTGGCACTGCTCGGGGTGTATCCGGTCTGTCTGCATCCTGATTTATGCGATCACGAGTAGACTTGGGTATTGCCAGTAAAGGCGATTGCACTGGTTGCGATGTAGAAGAGCTTCTATCACTTATTAGCTTTGGGTTTCGACTCAGGTTTCTGAGTGTGATTTTCTTACGAAGATGGACGTTCAGTACTTCTCTGGGAGCTACTTTCAGAAGTACTACGACGGTAGGTTCGCTCCCGAGAGATAAATCCTAGCGCCTTGGTGAGTGAACTCCTCCGTTTCTGTTCCTCTGGCGGAGATGGAATTTCACTTTGTGAATCATTCAAGGAGCCGTCGTCCCACTCTGCTTCCGTGATTTGAATCTTTGGAAGTGGACCAGATGGATCATCAAAGCTTTGCCTGTAGGGTAGAGGGGCTGGCAGAGGCCTAGGCTGCTCATCATGATATTTTTGAAGCTGATCATGCAGATCGGATCCAGGAGTAAGGGAAGATGATCGAGGACTATAAAAACTGCTGATTGACGAATCATCCAAGCCACTGGGCTGAACTCGACCTAGTCTCTCCCGAAGGCAAGCTGACGGACCCCGAGAAAGGTAGTCTTCCAAAGACACCGTGGTTGACCACAGCTTAAGTGGAATTTCTTCAGTGACACCCAGTGCAGGATTCTCGAAGAAACCACTGATTTGGACCATGACTTTTTGCTCTACACCCAACGGAGTGTCCTCACGCTTTGATATTTCAACAGCATTGTCAACCGCATCACCAAGCTCCTGTAGAAATCGGTCTCGTGTGGACTTTTGATCGTGGAAAGTTGCCGTTCCCGCATGGTCTGTTGCCATGGGTAGTTCCTTTTCATGCTCAATATTTAACAAACCCGACCGGATCGAAGTGATGGGTACATGAGACTCAAGTAAGCTATTCGTCTCAGCGTCGATTACATGCATAATTGAATCCACAGTCTCGAGAAAAGACCAGAGCTTCATATCGGCCGAAAGAGTCTTGAATTGGTTCGATAGATGCCATAGCCGCTCTTGACGGGGACGCAGTTGCTTCCTGAGCGCTGCCGGGGTCTCATGATCTAGATGCAGGAGATGGCAAATACTAGCAGCATATTCATCGGCGGAGAGATATGTGGAGCCTTGGTGGGGAGTTGCAAAGAAGGCGATGCCATGGCAGCTGGTTAGGATTGACTGGCTCGGCTCTCGCGATGCCATGGCTAGAGCTGCTTTAACAACGAGACCCCCAGTGCTATGGCAGATGAAAAAGATGGGACGTCGACTTGGCTGGTGATGTTTTGGTAAACAATTGATGGTTATCCCTGAGAAGAGAAAATGCTAACATACCTCATGTTTCCGCTTTGTATGTAGTTGGTTCAATAGTCGTTTACCCAAGGTGTCAATTTTATCGTCACACAGGTCTCCATAGTTATACAGCAGAACTCGTGCTCGAGGTATGCGCTGTAGTAGTTCAGTATCAAGCCAGGACGATGTCGCGTCATGCGCTGTCCATGTCTTTCTATGATGGGCACCGATAGGCGGGACGGCGACAATGCTAAGAAATGAGCCTTTGAATGAACATGATAGAAATGGAATAAGCACTTACTCGACATCAGTATCGTCTGCAATCGCGATGTGCTCGAACCAGGAGGGCGTCTGGTTCGTTACGGGTGGCCGCGAAGTCATATTACCGAGATGGGCATGCGTATAGAGAGACGTGGAGAAAATAGCGGGGACCAAGTCAGAGGCAATCTGGGCATTTTTAAAATTCCAACAATCAAGGAGGCATTTCAGCCTCAAGAGGGGTCCGGATGATCGCGCCCCGACGCCCTGGTTCGCCCGGTGATTTGAATTCCACCCCATGCAGAGCTGTGTTTGTGGGTCAAAGCGATGTCTTTGGCTATATTAGACTGTTTCATGTCCAGAGAGAGGGAGAGAGAGAGAGATTTCCATTATTGCACATACATAGAAAACACCCAAATTCCAAATGCTCATGCAACCATTCTATAACCTGGCTCATGCGGTATCATCGGAAACGCCATGACGAAATAAAAAAGTGGAGAGAGACAGCGCATATGCATTACAGTTCTACAATAGGGGGAGATTATGCGTCAGAGTGTCGCCGTTCGTTAACCTCTCGGGCCATGCGTTTTCCAAGCTCATAGGTTGAGATCATGATGGCGCACGCCGGGGCAACTTTTAGACATCGCGCCGTCCAACCACGGAATAGGCCAGCAGTACCTTCTTCACGGAAGATGTGCATGAGAAATTTCGGTAAGGGCAATTGCTCTGGCGCCAAGATGCCAGTGGGTAATGCCGTGCGGGGAGTGGTGCCAGTGAGAGGGATGTCGTCCAAATGTCGGAAAACTTGCTGTCGGGTCTTACCAACATCGAAAGGAGTAGTAACAAGTGCTGCTAAGGATCCTGAAATACCTCCGGAAATGAAACTATCGAGGAAAGCTTGGAGGCTTGACTCTGGAGGCTCTTTCTCAGAGCCCGAAAGATGAGGAGCCTTCTGGCGCGCCGCAATCAGTGCCTTTCTCACCTCCTCATATCCCCACCAGTAGAGTCCGGAGAAAGGAACATCGCGCCACATGGTGAGAGTGAACCCTCGCCAGAGCGAGCTGTATCCCTTTGCCTGCGTCATATGGTACAAATCCTGCACAGTGGCGCTGAAGTGGCCCGCACCCGTTCCCGGAGTTGCCTGGAGACGCGTCCGAAACATCTCCAGCGGACTGGTTGCTGCTGCAGCTGCGACGCGAGCCAAGGACCCGGCTATCAAGGGCGCATAGCCTTCGGACACGTGCTGCTTGATGGGACTCCGATCATCTGTACGCAACCAGTCATAACCAGCAAAGTAGATGACATTGGCCGGGATTCCCATCATCAGTGTCGGGCTCAGCCCTCGCCACAGTGTCAAGGTTCCTTCATTGCGCGCGATCTTCCGAAGTCCATCGAGTGTTGATGTGAATGTTTTCCGCTGCGTTTCTTTGACCGCGCAGTCAATCGCCGGGTGTAAATTAGTTCCGACCGCGGTCACCTGAGGCCCTAGCATGCATATTTGGGCATCGTTTCCGACCCAGAAGACCTCGCGACAGCAGGAGGTGATCCCGAGATTTGGAGGGAGATTTTTCAAGGTTTGGGTGGTGTGAGAGGTAAAGGGGGAATGGTTGTAGACCTGTGATTGCGACTGTAAGCGGACTCGTACGACATCCAATGGTGTCACTGGAAGCTGTTAGTGCTGGGTTTCCAAGGACCAGAAGCTCTTCCGACACACCTAGAAGTCCGGTCAAGACATTGCCGGCGGTCGCAGACACCATCCGCTGCCCAGGAGTGATATCATCTGTTGGAACAGGGGTCTTGGGCGCGGGGGGAGAGCCTGTCGCAGACGTGGTGGCCATTGTAGAATCTTCAAACTGTGCAGTCCATGACGTCCCCAGATCGGTGTTTGAGTCTGTGCGGAACTGGCTGCCAGTGCTATGGCCTGAAGCGAATTCCACGTGCGGCATTCAATCAGTTCGATGCGAAAACAATCCAGAGGTGTCGGCGCTTCAGTTGAAAGAAAACGAATGCGTCACCACAGGGAAAGGAACCTTGGAGGTTTTTCGGGGTTTCGCGGGTGGCGGTGGGCGGAGATAAGCGTTTTAGGGAGATTGTCGATGATTCGGAGCTATTTGAAGGACTGAAGGGATTGGAGGGACGTGATTTTAGCAACTTCTAGTATGATTTCTCTTCAAATTTTTGAATCCGGTCACAAATTGGATGGGCTGTTTCTTTCTAGGCCCATGGTTTTTCACATGGCTTATCAATCTGATCTCATCTCCGAGGTCGGACAGGCAAAAGAGGCTATTTCGGCTCGACCATAGGGAAGATCGCTAGTGGACCTTGTGTAGTGGGGGTTGTGTAGGTTTTTAGAAGAGATGAAGTATCCATATTTCGTGAATTGATAGATCTGAAGATGTGCATATGTTGGCTATCAAAATGGAAGTCTGAAACCTGAGCCCGTGCTTAGCCGGCTATAACCAAGTCCCTTACTTCGAAGACCTTGTTCCATCCTAGCCCATATCCTCGTTTTTCTTTCTTTAGCTTACGCTAGACCTGGAGTCGAAGCTATAAAGATGTAGCCATTTTCTCTATGGACATGTGGATTTGGTGAAATTTGGTCAGTCAACTAACATTTGAGAGGTAGGCTTCAACTTTCCCATTAAAAGTGGCATTGCGTTTCACGCCTTTTTTTCCCCCATACAATCGGCATTTTGGAAGTAGTCATAGTTTAAGCCATTCATGTCGCAGCAACTCCGCAGCTGACTTTCGGTGTGCTGGATCAATTGTAAGCATGCTTTGGAGGAAGTCGATGAAGATGGGAATTTCAGTGTCGGGCATATCATTGGGTTTGAGAAAAGGCCTTTCTGTGCCATTTATGACCCTTTCGAGACTCGTCGGTATCAGATCCGAGATTCGAAGAAGAGATCCTAAGGAGAGTGAGTCAAAACCGAAAACATGATGTCGGTACTCTTCTTCTTTTTCAAAAAGCAAGGCATTACCATTTGTGTTGAAGAACTCTGCAGTCTTGCTTCCGTCTTGAAGAAGCCCGGGCGGGAAATCACCAAGTACTTCAATCGTCCTAGCGAGTCGGTCATCATCAGCTGTCCATGAACCATTTTTTGATCCCACTCCAGAGAAAGGCACTATCCCCTGGACAAATTCAATGATCTATTTGATAAGTAGGGGAGATAAGACAGCAGGGCCATATTTGGAGCCGGTAGATTGAAAGCTCACAAGGCAACCGAGGCTCCAGATATCAACCTTCGCATCCCAACGAGCACCGATCGTAACTTCGGGTGCTCGTAAAGCTGGAGATCGGACTAAGTCTGATAGATGATTGTCTGACCAAGAAGCTACAGCTAGTGTAAGCGTGCCGTCCATCTAATTACAAGACGAGTGATGCATACCAACGCCGAAGTCAATTATTTTGATGTGCGGATTACGCATACTCGAGATGAGCGGTGTGCTGATGACCTCTCCGAGTGGCTTGGTAATACCACACTCAGTACTGATCCGAGGAGGAGTTTCCGATAGATCTTTCTCAATGGTTTCTTCCGGAGTTTCCAGCTGGAGTAGTATGTTGGTAGGCTTTAGATCTGTGTGTCCATTGTGATTAGCACCATGATTGTGAGTAGAAGGCGATTTATAAGGTATAGCCATACCGGTATGAACGATTCCACACTCTCTATGGAGAAAATCCAACCCCAGTAAAAACTGTCGCGCTATGGTTCTTACTGCCATGAGAGGCAATCTTCCATCTTCAAATTTTGCGGTTTGAAAATCCAAGTGGTGACCCAACACGTCGAAGACAAGGCACATGTGCTGTCCATTTGGCCCTTCATGTTCGAATTGATCTAGGAGGGATAACACGAAATGTTGACCGCCGTGGTTGCTTTTCTTGGCACTATGGGATAACCTGGAGAGAATCTCTCGCTCGAAGATATCGTGCGAGCCGCCGTAGCAATCAGCTCTGAGTATTTTGAGTGCCACATATCTCTGAACCCTTCAGCCCTGGATAAGCCCAATGTGTAACTAATTCGAAGAACTACACTCACTTGGAATTCCTAGCTAGCCAAACAGTAGAATACTGCCCATAGCCTAGTTTCCTCATCACTTTGTAAGTACCAGAGCTAAAAGTGTCTCCAAGTGAAACTGGATGGAAGACTCCGGTAGAATAAAAGTCTGGCTCTTCTGTTGTCAGGTGTAGATTGGGGGATCTTGATATTTGAGAAGCAGGCTCAAAGTATCTTGCGAGCCAAGATCGAGAATTCATCCGGCTCAAAGCCTTTTTGAAATTTGGAATCATGTTGGAATGTAATTTTGCAAGATTTGTAGTATGGATCTTCTGGGTAGTTTGTCAATAAAATTGTAAGTGATCAGGGGGATCGCACCTGCTGACAAGTTCAGTATCCCCGTAGGCAAATCAGGCCGCTACTCCTGATAGAATACATATGACTAGTCATTCGCTAGGCCAAAAGATCATAAGCATATGCATTAGGCCCTAACTTCCGTTAGGGACCACAGTTCCCAGGCGCGACAATTAGGTGGACGAAACCTATAGGAATGTCCCGGATACAGCAGGCGGTATGTAGGGTTTCCAAAATGCCTACAGACGCACTGTTCCTAGCCCAGGCAACCTGGGAACAATCCTTATTCAATAACGAACATACATATCCTTTAGCCTTGATCCCCTAGATCTTCATTCTTCCTTTTCACTGTTTTGGGATTCATTATAATTAGCCACATCACACCATGTCACATCACATCACTTTATGCCCCGTCATATCCATTGGTCAATGCTAGCCCTCTATGTTGTCTTGCGGTAAATCATACCCAGAGTCTTAGGATGCATTAATAAGTGTTTAGGGGTAGTACCATTGATGTTCTGGGAGATTGGTTACTGATGACAAGGACGCTACCTACGTATGACGCCGCCCTGCAGGCAAAAATTAGCCTCACATTGTCTCACATCACATCATTACCTCTCAAAGCCTATGACTCCACAGATGTGCGTATTTATCATGAGCTTGGGGGCCTGTACGAGCGATTTATTACTAGGCTATCTGTCAGTCATATATATGTACCTGGTCTCCGCTCATCCTGGGACGAGGTCCTCGAAGTGTGTACTAAAGTACTTTGTATTCTTTCGTTGGTGCCAATGCGTTTTTCAAGAGACATACAAGGTCTTCTCTATGTAAGCTATCGAATGTCTACCTAGCGAGGTACTTCGATTTTCAAGTTGATCAATCCTTGTCCCGTACACTGGCATGTTCTGTCCTGCCACGAGTGGTTTCCTAGACTTAACCCTAGTGTAGATGATCAACAGTCGCAATTGACCTTGGGAATATCAAAGCGATTATTGTTTGGACGTGCAGCCTGTCTAGGCGCTTACTGAAAGCAGGTGAGTGTTTTTCACTTTTTATGAGGGATCTCAATGAGGACCCTGTTAAACCGCAGCAGTTCGCCCTCCTTGTTACTAAAGACACACCATTCTTATTTTATCTTGGACCTTCCTTGCTAGAACCTTTTTTCTGAATCCTTGCAATCATAATTTCGAGCCCCTATTCTCGGTTATCCCCGCACCGACGCTGGGATGCTCTCTGCGTTCTCACTTTGGTGCGGAATTCGGGTATCCTGATGAACTTTGTCATGGTCTGACGATACTACGGGGGACTGGGAAGAAACAGAAGGTTCAGGGATTGGGGGCGTGAGCTCTGCAACTGGAATACTACAAACGATATTCATATCTGCTGGTTGTTGCAGAATAAATCTGGCTCAGTCATACAAATTGAATATTGCCTATTGTCAGCGTTGTCCGCATAGATTGGAAAAAGAGCGGATTTTGTTTTTTTGAGTCAGTGTAGAGAACTCAGAGGATTTTTTTAACCTATATATTGGTCGTCCCATTCATTGTTGAAACCGTGGATTTCGCTTCATATATACTACGAAGTGAAACCAAGACAACCTTTGGGATTATCTATATTAAAGTCTTCAATCTAAGAGTTAGTTACGTGCTTTCAGCTTGGTAATTTAAATCGGACAAAGGCAGTCATCCAAAGATGTAGATACCTTCCTCTAAAGAAGCTCTCATTGAATCAATAGTCCTTTCATTACTTGGTCATGTGTTATTTCTAGCTAATTCTAAGAGCCTGTCCCTTCCAACAATAAAGCAGTTTCTTAAATCTCGATCCGTCTGAGAGGCTATGAGGGTTGCGGAATGCAAAAATTGTGTTAAGATACCAACTTATGTTGCATACTTCATTGGTCTCGGTCCGGATAAGCATCATACAACCCATCAGCAACGCGAATGTTGTTGAAAGATGCTTCACCCTCTCCATTTTGGAAGAAGCGAATCTCAGTAGAGTTTTCGTACCAAGGCCTGGAATAAATTAGTTTACGAAGACAAATCAAAGCAAAGGGGATGGAAACATACCGGACCCAGGTGGACAGTACAAAGCGAGAGTTCGCGTAGACTTCCAGCACAGAGTTGTCCACCACGATGGTGAGGCTTAGAGTCTCAATGTGCTCCTCACCAACCTCGCTGGAATGAGACGAGTGGGCATCGCTTTCTGGCGCAGGGTCAGACTTGCAGTCAGTCGAATGATGCACACCCTGTTCGTCCTTTTCACCACACTTGTGGTCGCCGTGGCCGGCGTAGCCACCTTGGCCGCCGTGACCACCGTAAATCCCATGGCCACCGCTGCCTCCATTACCACTATCACTGCTATTGTTGCCACAGTTGTCGTTGATGTCAAATAGACGAAGACGTCCAGACTCTGGTGACGCATCGATGCCGGAGGTGGTGTCTGCAGCAGCGCTGGTTTTGGACCGATCAATCATGATGGACTCATTTGAGAACTGGTAGTAAATAGTGGTTGACTCAAGCTCGGATGCCAGGATCTGGAAACCGGTTTGCAGGCCAGAAGCACGTGCGTCGAAGCTGATCTCAGCTTCCAGAACAAAGAACTTGGTATCCGGGGAGCGAGTAAAGGGAATGACACCGGCACTCGTGAGCGTCCGGCCTGGCTCGGTGAAGCCAGGAGTATCAGTCATAGCACTGTAGGTCTCCCGGGCAATGTCGATTCCAAGTGTCTCAAGTTCAACGCACTCACCCGCGGAGTCGGAGTCAGCAGTTAAACGCCACGAACCTGTCTCCTTCACAAGATCGTTGTTGACCACATTGGGAATGGCTTTGATGGACAACTCGCGCGCCGTCAACAAAGTGTTTTGCCATCCTTGTTGCGCCGCTGGGAAGCCCACAATTCCCCCGAAAACATCTCCAGTGAGCCACACATAGCTGATAAAACGGTCCGGGGCGCCGCTGGCAGTAGATGGGAGGGAAGACTGGGGAACAACTTTGCCCGCTGCGGCATAAGAAGCCAAGCCCCAGTCAAAGACACCAACCATATCAGGGGTGAATGTGACGTTTTCACCCTCGGAGACTCCAATTGACCCTGCTAGCCAAAGCTGGGCATGGAGTGAAGAGACCGATGGCTGGATGGGCACGTATGAGCTCTCTACTGCAATGGTCATGAAAGGACTGCCGCTGTAGCTGTAACCTTCTCTGGTGAGGCCGAATGCGTTGGTAGTCTCGAAATTGTATCCAAAGACCTTTGACCAGTCTCCATTTCCCCACGTTGAGTTGGCCGGCTCATTGTACCATTCTCCAAGATACTCCCACTGCTCGAAATCGGGGCTCGTGTTCTGGTAGAGGAACAGGCCAGGTCCGACATCATGAACACCACCTGAAATGGTCGTATACCAAGTACCTTCGGTATTTCCAAGAGATTTGTCTAGATCCACGTTTTGGAAAACGTACGGGTCGCGGAAACCTGTTACATTCACGTCTACTGGGGGCTCGGGAATCACAGGCGGAATATCCAGCTTGGTAAAGTTCTTTCCTCCGTCGTATGTGACGGCCAGAGACTGTGATTCACTTCCTCGGGTGTAAGCCAGTGTCCAATGGATTGGCAAGGACGAGACAGAGGTGTATAACAAGGTCGGTTTGTCGTCAACTCCTCTCGGGATCACAGAGCCATCGAAAACCGCAACGGGGTCATTGGGACCGCCAGCAACGATAGAGAAGTTGCCATTGGGTCTCACATCGTAATAATGAACAAGATCCTCCGTGAGAACTGCCGCGATTCCAGTACCGTTGTGGAGAAATCCGACGTGGAAGCGCCCTGTCTCAGGATCAACGTAGTGGGCGCATGGATCGCCAATCTGGCCGTTTGGTGGAAGCACATGCGTGTGGGGCCTCCATGTCTCGAACAAAGAGAGTTCAGGTAGAGTCGCGAGATCGGGGGGCGGAGCGTTGTAGTCTTGTGCAGTGGCTCTCTCCCAGATCAAGGCCAAAACCGATGCTGTCGTTGCAGCCTTCATGATGTTGAAGGTTTGATTGGAAATTGAATGAATTGAATGACCTTTCGAGATGATTCTTGCGGATATTTGTACTTTGCACAGCGAAACAACATTCTCTCATCAACTGTGCATTGTTATTTCGAAGGAAATAGAGAACATTCTCACCCCCTGGAAGATCGCATCCTAGAGCACCACCGAGGAATTTCAATACCAGCGAGAAAGAAGACTTACGCTTGACGTATTGAGCTGAGAATATGCATTTACGTAGGGGGCGGATTGTGGAATGCAAACAAGCTGTCTAGGTAACGCCCTCATTCTTCGGAGAAATGAAACAAGTAGCCACTAGAATCTTGCCAAGGCAACGACGATACTTAAATATAACGGCTAAAGGAATGCTAGTGACCCTCATTTCTTTCAGAGCAACTACTCCGTACAGCAAGCTACACTCTTTCTTGGCAACACTGCATCAGAAGAAGAATCCACGATGACAAGGAAGTGCGTGGCACAATGTGGATTGAAGAGGTGAGGGAGTTAAGTTCTGAATTACAGAATCCAGTATGTTCCTATGATGTTGATCCTTTGGGTATGTCTATACATATCCGTAGCCGCGTTACTTGAATTACACGTCAACGCTGCTGACCGAAAATCGTAAATGGAGGCCGCAAATTCATTTGAATTTACATGATCTCACCAAAAAGTTGCATATTTTGGTGATTTAGAATATATTAATACAAGCCCTATGTAAAAACAGGGAAGGAAAAGGCTATACAGTGCCGGCACTATCTAGGATGTCTAAGTATCACATCGGTATAGTTGTAGGAAAGAGGATGCCACGGATTCGTACTTGAAATAATATATCTATGAAAGATGAATGGGTAGATTGCTCTCCAATCAATCACAACTGCCCAATTGTCTACCTAATGAGCTTCTCCATGCTCATTCAGATTTTGCTACCTTAGTATGCCACTCCATGCTGTAAGAACCACCTTCAACATCCAGGGCTCATTCACACTCTCTTATACAAAGCCACAATAATCAAAGGGAAGAGGAGCTGAAGCTTCTCAAACAACAACACGGCAACTTCTTGGGAGCTATCTATCAGATTGAAGCGGACTTAGCATGGCTACGGAACCATCCGCATTTACTCGACGAGGTAATTGTTACTAAAGAACAAGAGGCCCCATAAATTGTATTTGGCTACAGCGAAGAATGGAACTCATGTTTTCGCGCTTGTTGTCGAGGGGAAGCAAGTAACTGATATGAGATTTTACAGGGGATACATGGATTCAAAATGGGAGGCATTTCCTATACAGGGAACCAATCCATTCTTATGTCCAGTTGTTTAAAATGGTTGGAAGGTCACGTGACCACCACTGTTTGCTCCCAGTACTCAGTCTCAGTCATAGCATGTAGATAGTTTCTCTCTCTCTCTCAACGCATCAAGAGATTTCCAGTTACATCTACATTCATCGTAGATCTCTAGTATCTCTAACAAAAATACTTCCAATTCAAGCCGTGGTGCTATTGTTGCAATGAGTGCAGTCACTTCAGTCGGCATGGGGAGAAGAGAGGAGAGGAGTGGGCCCTGGGGATGCCAAGCCTGAGATCGGCACGGGTGTGTGTGTCATGGACTCGGAAACATCTGAACGCTCTCCGACCACTACCTCGCCATGGACGACAACGACGAGCTCGCGTCGTTCCGTCAACAGTGGCGCGAGGAGGTCACTCGTCGATCAAGACCTAAGGATGCCCCTCCTGCTCCTGCTCCTCCGAGTCGGACTGCCCCGCCGGCTCGTCTTCCGCCTACACGTCATGAGGCCTCTCACCGGAAAGAAATTGAAGAGGAGGGTCCCCCGCTGGCTTCTTTCGACGCGGATGAACTGGCCCAACAAGTTGGAGAGTTGACTGTAGAACCACTCGAAGATGACTTCTCACGTCGAGAGGTAGCAGAACCAACGTCTGCACTAGAGCACTTTGAACGAGCGGTCGAGAAGGAGGCCGAAGGAAACCTGGGAGATAGTCTTTCGCATTACCGAAAGGCCTATAGAGTGAGTCTTGAACGCTCTAAATTCACTTATGGTCCATATTCTCATTCCTCTCCAGCTAGATTCCGCCGTTGACAAGTCCTACCGCAATAAGCACTATTCCCATGTGTGGAAGAAGCCGCATCTGGCCGTGCCCACTGCTCCTGTCGCTGCGACCCAACAGCCCACAGAGGTACCGACTCTTCCGACACCTGAGCTGATCGCGTCATTTGCACACCTGCCGATTCCTCAGTTGGATCCTATCGTCGAAAACACACCGCCGCCGCCTTGCCCGATTGCCACCGTACCGTCGGAAGTTCTGGTGGAGATTTTGCGCCATGTGGCGATGGATGACCCATCTGCCTTTGGTCGGATGGCACTAGTCTGTAAGCGGATTGCCTATCACTTCGCCCATGAGCAGCAGATTTGGCGACGAATCTGTCAAGGCCGGAGATTCGGCTTCGGAGGAATGCATTATGATTTTGCATGCGACCTGCATGGGGAGCCGATCTACACCCTTGCGCCGCGATACACTCCATTTCCCAACGACGAGCCTGTGGAAATTCCCTCGCCGCTGTCTTCATGGAGCCAAGTGTTCCAGACCCTTCCTCGGATTCGGTTCACGGGCATCTACATCAGCACGGTCAACTACACTCGGCCTGGTGCGGCATCTGCGTACACGAATCTGTCGTGGAACAGTCCCATTCACATTGTGACCTACTACCGCTATCTGCGGTTTTATCCGGATGGCTCGGTAATCTCATTGCTCACCTCGACGGAGCCTGCCGATGTGGTTCCTCACATCAGTAAAGAGAATGTGGTGGCGGCGCGCGCCCCAGCGCACCGAAAGCATCAACGACGTCCCTCCGATGCGGGTCATACCCTCTCTGGGGCCACTGATGCCGTGCCACCTCTTGCCATGAACACATTAAAGCATGGCCTTCGGGGCCGGTGGCATTTAGCCTTGCCCGTTGACACCTCTGAATCTTCCGAACCCCCCGCCGCGGCCTGGAAGCCGGACATAGCGTCTGATCAGAAATCCATCCTTTCAGATGAGCGGGATCTCATCATTGAAACGGAAGGTGTCGATTCCAAGTACGTTTACACGATGCATCTATCGCTCCGTTCCTCGGCTGTACCTAAATCCGCCCAAGTCGGGCCGGCTCCCTCCAACCCATCAAAAAACACTAAATTAGCCTGGAAGGGCTTCTGGAGTTACAACAGACTTACGGATGACTGGGGAGAGTTTGGTCTTCGTAATGACCGGGCATTCGTGTTCCGTCGCGTGCGCGGCTGGGGCCTGGACTGATATGATTTGATGACTTAACATGAAATACTTGATACATGTACAGAAAACGAGATAAATCAAAGAATTTGAAGATGCTAAAGACCGTTTTTTTGTGTTCATATTGCGGCAATGTCAGGAGACAAGGTTCTTTTAGAAAGCGCTCGTTCTCCCACTTTGATCTGCGGTCTCGGCTCTCTACGAGGTAGGTAAGCTGATTGATTCACCTTAGAATTACCGTTTTGCAACATGTCTAACTTTCGATAGTGAACCCATTCCATTCCCAGCGCGAAGTAGGAGTACGAATCTGACACGTTGCTTCAAGTGCGGCTGAGGCCCATATTGATAGTTTACTAGGCTCTGACAGCGGAGATTGAAACTCTCCGTACTCCGTATTCCGTTCTCAGCTGAAAGTGTTTTGGATGTGTTCACATTGAAAAAAATTTGTACATGGGAATCTAGACCACTATATTCAGTGCGCTATCGAAGTACCCTCTCCCCATTATCCATCATCCACAACTACAACCATCCACACACCCACTTGACCATTATTCGCTAGTAAAGGCGTGCAATGGACCCAGCGATAGCGACCGTCGGGGTTGGATCGCGTCGCCCACCTGATACGCGCAGTGACACTGCGACCAACCTTCATAGCCTGTAGCAGGTCCTCCTTCACGGCCGAGGAACTGCCGATGCGCGATAAGAAGGGTGATTGTAGAATCCCTGGAATCTGGAGGGCGGGTGATGTGAACAGAATCCGGAGCGAAGGGTAGGGTCGAACGAGGAGATACTGGTACAGATTAGAATTTTGTATACAAGTACATACAAGTACAAAGAAATCGACATCTCTTCTTACATTTTCATACACGCCCACAAATGACATGCGGGAAAAGGGTGATTTCACATCCTGTAGACGAAGCGATTCAGTCTCCCTGTCTTGTGATATATCAGTCTGCAACCACGATCGCGGTTGATGTGGAGACTGGAGGGCTTTGGGTTGAAACAAGTGTCCACCATGCTGTAGAACAGCGGAGAGTTCTCGCGGACTGAAAAGCTCGGTCAGTTCCCGGAACTCGTCCTTTGCTTCTGGTTCTGGTGACTCAGCGATGCTGTCTTCATCGGGACCGCGGTATTTATGTTGTAGTTCCATCAAAGATTCCATTGATACTCCATCCATTGCGAGTCCCGAGACATCAATCTGGGCGCCGACGAAGTACTTGACATGGCCGTGGCTGTCGCATAGTGGTGCGCACTGCAGTAGGTTCATGAATGGAGAGCCATCGCGACGACTAATCATGTTAGGAACTTGTTGACTGAATTGAGGAAGGGTTGAATGTAAAACAGACTAATTGAGAAACATCTCCGAGTGATGCTGGCCTGCATGGATCGCTTCGCGAAGACGACGAACACTGTTTGCATTTGTCTTCGGGCCTTGTAGGAAGCGACAATTTCGACCAAGCCCATAATCCATGCCGTACTGTGTTGTCCTATGAAACTCTGATTTTGTTAACCCCATCCTTTTTTTTTAAAAAATACAAAAGCGACGTGAAAACCGACCCTCTGATGCGAAAATAATTGGATTGTCAGGTCGTGATGGGTCCGTCAAGCAAAAGACTTCTGCCAGGGCATTCGAATTCCCGCGAAACTTCATCGGTAAGGTTCCTCGGACTCGCTGCTCGACGATCTTGCTTGTGATGGCGATGCATCGTGATGTGATGAATGCAGGAAGTTCCTCGGCAGTCAGAGCCAACAGCCCGTCCACAACACGCTGCTCCAAAACCCGGTTCACAGTCGCCCCGGCAGCTTCCCCGTCCGTCTGAACCACTGGAGGGGGTACGTCAACCGAGAGACGAACAAGCGCATTGGCATATTGAATTGCCTTGAGCGCCTTGGATGCATTAAGATAGTAGGTGAGAGTAATAATCGAGCGTGGCCGTTCTTCGAGAAGAAAATCACGAAACCGAGCTAGATACCGGGGGTTATTTAGGATGGTGAGCATATGTTCGGACGAGAACATGATATCGGCCGTGCGTTCCAGCTGGAAAAGTGATAGATCGCCGCCGTCGTAGGGTGCAATGAGATCATATGAGCCGTTTTCTTCACTGACGGGATTCAACTCTAGCGCTCCCTCATTTGGATTAATTTGTTGTAGAAGAGGGAGCTCATCGGCCGTCGCATGTCGGCGCAGGTTCTTGATGGAAGGTTTTGGGGTAGGATATACTCCCATCTCTTCCTCTTCAATCGCATCCAAACTTTCCGACCTTGGTGGTTGGGGAAAGTTGTCCAGTAATTGATCGGTTCTACTTTTGTCAACAAAATTCATTGAGTTCATCGCCCTCCGTCCGACTTACCGCGAGGACCGACTAGACTCGCTGACCCATTCGTGGTATTCATCTTGGATTGTTTCCGTCAATGAGCGCAACGACTCTGCATCGGGGCTTCCTAGCCCATCGAACGCCTGGAGACGATGAAGATCTGTACGAGGCATTTTGGGAACAAAGGAAGTACGAGCCCGTGTATCAGAACATGGTATCCGACCTTTTCTTTTATAGTCGGAAATCTCATCTTACTGCGACCCCTCCAGAATGATACATCAATTGCCCCGGCCGAGTGTGATTACAAGCCATACGGAGTACAATAGATACAATACAATGTCTACAACACAGTACAAAGGCCATCTGGGAGATCATAATGACAAAAAGGCAGATCGAACGATGAGCGAGTGAACTCCACGAGATCGGAATTGGTCACGGACCGATGATGCCATCGTGCAGCGGAATGCCCCTATTGAACTCCGAATTGGAGACAATCTCACTGGAGCTGACTGAAACTGCGATAGATCCATGAGATTGTTCGCAAATAGGCTCCGGGTGATCAATTCCTATTCGTTGCTTGACAGGGATCTTTTCATTTTATTTCCCAAAGCCTGAGCCGATCACCACGGGGGGGGGGGAACTCCCTTATTTCGTACTTTGCGCAAACCTCGTCCAGAATCATGCCAAGTTCACCAACACCGGGGCTACACCGGATAACAAGATTTCCAAATTTCCAGAATGAAGCATAATTTCACTTCGATTAGCTGTTGTAAAGGTCAGGGGATTTAGATATGAATTGATCAAGATCGATCTAAAATATCGAATCAAGGCACTTTTAATTTTAGACCCTTTTTTTAATGCGATTGTCCTAATATAGGATGTCCCAAGAGTGCAACGCAAGAGAACAGTCAGCTGAACCTTTCCATCCACTATTTTTTATATGTTCTTCTTAGCAAAACTCAGATCAATGACAATAGATTCACCACCCCCAGTCGCTTTTAGGGCACGGGATTTGCTTCACTATGCATGGTCGCATGCTGTGACCCAAGCAAAAAAAGCCCTATTCTTGATGGTCATCATTCAGCTATTAGGAGGCGTAGCAGATACTCGGAAGTACTACAAGTTAGCTTCAGAGGCTTCTTCATTTAGTCAAGTAAGCATCAATCTCAACTTGGTATAATTCGACCCCCAAGATACCCCAGATATCCCTGATCATAAACAGGAAACCCGTCAGTACACAGTTGACCCTTTTTTTCCGCCTTCACATGCGTCGAAAAGACATCTAAAATCCTAGTCTTGCAGATCGAAGGAGTATAGCCTACGTATGCGGACGATGATAAAAAATCACTTTCGTGTATAGGACATTCCACAGGAACTAAACATGAGAGGAAAGGGCGCCTGACTCCCGAGGCAGTCGCGTTAGAGCTAAGAACCCTAGCTACATGACAAGGAAATCTGCTAGCACAGTGGAGGCTAACTTGGGATTTCCAAAAATCTGATCTCTTGACAATCTACACAAGGCAGGAAAATCTGTGACTACGTTCAAAAATGACAGGAACCCAGAATATTGTACATTGACCCCCTTCACTCAACCTCAACCTTCTTAACGTCAACATCATCCGCCTCCGTCTTCGGCACCGTAACAACAAGAACCCCATCCTCTAACTTAGCAGAAACCGCATCTCCGTCGATCTTGGGTGGATTTGCTGTGCTCCCCAATCGCACCTTACGCTCAAACGCCCCAAGCGTACGCTCATCTAACACAATCATCTTGACCAGGTCTTCAGATCCAGGTCGACCAATCACACCGGCAATGATGAGTTCCACCGTCTTCGGATCCCAGTTCACTTCGATATCTTCCTTCTTCGCACCGGGGAGGGGCACGTGAATCACAAATGTCTCTGGGGTATCGAATACATCAACCTCAGGTCTGTATTTCTCAGATCCAGTGGAGGGGAATGCGCAGGGTGGCGGCTGTGATCTAGTTGGTCTAGATCCACAGGGGCCTTCAGACGCGCGAGGCACTTCGCAGCCCCCTCGCCCGTGGCTGCCAAATGAAGGGCCACCAAAATTTGCCTGGCCAAAGGAGCTGTGCCCACCCCATCCTCTGTTCCCGTGTCCACCTTGTTGACCATAGGGCAATGAGTATGGCTGCCGAGAGAAGGAAGTACCACCGGAAGCGTTACCTGGGTATCTGTCAGATTGTTGGTGGATTAGACTCGCGTTATGCGACCCGCCCGGAAACTGGTACGCATGAGGAGGGAAGGATGGCCTGAACTTGTCACCATCCCAAGAATGGGAGTTTCTGTTTCGACCCTCCGCAGGGTTACGATAGGCGTGTGGCTGCTGAGCGTAGCCCGGGAAATGGTATGTTGGATGATGACCTTGCGGGCCTGGGTATGGGGATCGCTTATGAGAAGCGGAGGCATTACCAGTCTCATTGTTGGCTTCGTTGAAGAAGTCCACGTCGATGAATTGGCCCAACACAGATGCGTAGGGATGGCCGGGATGGCCGGCTTGACCGTTGCCAGACTGGAAAGACCACGGGCTGGGATACGGGTGGCTACCTTCGCCATGAGGAACAAAGGAAGGGTCAGATAAACCCTGCTCGTCCACGTTGGGGCCAAAGCCCAAGGATGGGATATTCTGGTTGAGAGCTTTGATAGACATGCTGTGAGTGGAATGAAAGTTCGGTTGTAATGAGGTAGCAGAGTGTGATAAGTAAGACTGACTTTGGTGATTGAGGAGGCTTTGAATTTATACTATTTATCTGCCGTTTATAGAGAGTGGTTGCAGGCAGCTACGTTCCAAAATGTACTGGGAGCTGAGACTTGAGACAATTACACAGGTCAGTGACATCCATATGTTGTAGATTGAATTTATAACAATTGGATTTTCCCACATTGTGGTACGAGTGGATCTGTGGCGCCGCCAAGCTTGGATTTCGGGAGTATCCAAACCAATTACACCGAGACGGATCACCCCACTGGAAGGTCGGACATAAACCCCGGCGATGGTCACATGAGAGGGAGTACTACAAGAACTACAACATATGTATGTGCTCGAGAAAGTGGTGTGCGGTAAAAGATGAGAAGAGAAAGCTACAAACTAGAAAAAAGTACGAGGAGCAATGAGAAGTTGACACAAAACCGTTACATACTTCCAATGCCCCCTACGACTAGTGCTTAGTGACAGAGATCTATGGTTCCAACACTGTATGGAACTACCAATAGATAGGGCATGAAAAATACCCTGAGTTGTCTCTCACGAACTAAAATGGTAATATCCGCTCTTTTTCCAATCGATGCGGATAACGCTGACTAAACATAATATGGCAGCTACCCCTAAGTCACCACCGGGGGTGGATACGCGCACGGGTAATGATTTGCTCAGCGAAGCGGAAGCAAATCCAGTCCGCTTTGAATAAGATCTACGGAACAACCTATAGCTATATTAGATAGCTTCTTCACTGCTCGACGGTGTCGGTCGGTGAGTGTGGACAGGGCATGATCTTGAATCATTTTCTACCGTGGTAGCCTGTCTAGGTTGCTGCGTAGTGGGAGTATATTGTCCGATGCACCCGTTGAAGGGCCCCTGCTTTGCTGTAAAGCTCATGCATCCACAACCTTGGTATAAAATCTGTAACCAAGAACACATCTGCCACGGGAACTAGAGTATTTTCAATAGTGATGAGAACCTGCGTAGGCAAGCCTTGCTTTATCCCTGATTCTCAGATCTCTCTTTTCTCAGAGAGAAAGACTTGCCCGTGAGCCTGAAACGTACAGAGGTGAAGATGAGGGACTGCGGACGGGATGGTTGATGACACCCTTTAAATAGAAGGCCCGGAGGCCTAAGCGCGCTACTTTGAAAACTTATCTGGACATTTCCAAAATATTTTCGAGTGGCTAGGAAGACCGGAACCATGTGATTGACGTGGCAGATTCTGGTTGGTCGTGGATGCCGGTATCAGAGCACATGGAGTGAAGAGTCCAAGGGCCAAGGGGCTCCTCAGGTTTTTGGTCAGGCTCGCGCCGAATCCATGTGAGTCATACCACTTGGCGATTGATGAAGGAGCCGGAATGCTTGATGCGGCGCGCCAGCTTGCTACATAATCTTGTCGAGCTCACGCCTGATCCTCCTTGGCAAACGTAGCTAATGGTGGCTTTGAATAAACAACTGGGTGACAACAAGGTTCTTTATCGCAGACAGCTGCCAGACCGAATAAGCCAAGATCAATGTTGGAGGCTCCGTGGGTTGCCGTAATAACTATTCTAGTCGCAGTAATTGTCAAACAAAGGTAGGGGGTCCTGGCCATGGTTATTGTGCATGACCCGAAGAGTCTCAGCGATATGTCCATCTAACTCTGGTTTTCGGAAGATCGTGGGGTTTCTGTTCGATAAGCGGAGGACATGGACCGGTACTGGTTTCTTACATTCATAGGCGGTTTGGTAGTCATAATTGGTGTTGTTTAGGTCGACCACAAAATAGGAGTGCTTTCCGGGGTAGATCGTGACCGCAAGGAAACGAGTCATATAAATCCTATCGTGCTGATGGAGGCCGTCCTGCACCTTCCAGGCAAATGGACATGTGGATTCTAAATAATCTTTTGAATCAAGAATACTATTAGGGGAATCACCCAGAATTCGCATCGTTCCGGCAACAACGTCGGGGGGCAACTTGAACAAGATCCCTCGAATTTAGCCCATGACGTGGCTGCGAATCTGTTGAGTTGAGTCGTCCATAGTACGGAATAAGAATGATATTATGTGCGCTGAAAAGGTGTGACAATAAGTGGATGTTGCTGGCTTCCTTGTGCAGATGTGAAAAGATGCAGTCTTGACTGAATGTGAAGTTTACCATTACTTGTTGAGCGGACGGATTAGTATTCTTCCGTCCTTGCCTTCTCGGGACCGTCAACGAATTCTCCTGGCACGAGCAGCGATGAAGGTTAGTCGACGACTAGCGACTGTGAGCCCCCATATAAAGAGTTGGTTAGGGCTATCAGTTCTGGGAGACTCGTAAAAGGTTCCGAGAGACTTGCCAAAATGGCTTATATAATTTATTACGGTTAGATCTCCCTCTAGGTGTGGAGGTGAGATCCCAGGGACCCTCGGCCCTATTAGGAATTGCGCTATTGGGTCCGAAGCAGGACCCCAAGGGCCTGCCTGGGACCAATCCCAATCTGTCATGTATGGTTGCGCAGTCCGCCGTATTCTAGAGTATTGAGTGCCGAAACCAATGATGCAATATGTTGTACATGGTCGAAAACAGGGTGGAATACCCGTAGAAATCCACGGACCATCACGATGGCGCGGCCTATACAAAATTGCATATCCTGTTTAGTTGGCTTTGTCCGCCCAGATTGGAAAAAAAGAGCGGATTTGGTTACTCTAGTTAGATATAGAATTCAGAGTATTTTTGCCCATCTGTTGGTCGTCCCATACATTGTTGAAACCGTAGATGTCAGTAGTTTTAGAAATTATTACATCCTATGTTGTATATAACTCATTAGTTCTAGCGGACTTTCAGATGTCATCGTATCTGAAGGATTAGTGAGGCTATCTATATTCATAGGACCCCTAGGAAGGTGTTCTAAATAAATCTATAGGAGGGAACGTCTCACCGGGGGGGGAGGGGGAGATGGGGCAGATTTCGGTTTGTCAATTCCTTATCGGCTTATCGATAAGGCAAAATTTTCAGAATTAAGCTCTGTCCCTGGTCAACATTCGTTAGCGCTATACCTCAAAATGCCGGAAAAGGTCCGTACCGTGTTTGCGGACTCGGAAGACGAGAATATTGTGATGCCAAAGATATTATGCCAACCCACAGAAGAACCTGAGCGCAAGAAGAAGAGAAACAAGAAGCGCAAGCTCGATGATCCCGATGTCTCCGAACCCGCCGATCAAGATGAACTGAGAAAAATCCCTGCATCTGACAAGCAGGGAGAAGCAGCAGTCCCTTTCCCCCAAAAGCGACCGGAGACAGTATCCCAAACAAATGGTATACATACATCAAAACCATACCCGAAATCTAAGTCGCGACTCTTGACCGATACCAAAACCAACTTCACACCCTTGCGAGAGAAGGCCAAAGCCCTCCTCGAGACGCGGCGAAAGCTCCCCGTATTTGAAAACGCGGATTTAATCCGCGACCTGCTACGAGAACAAGATGTGATGCTCTTGGTCGGTGAGACGGGTAGCGGAAAGAGTACGCAAATCCCGCAGTTCCTGGTAGACGAATTCTGGTGTCGGCCTGTACCCACACAAATCACACGGGATGGGAAGACAGAAAGGAAAATGGTCGGAGGATGCATTGCCATCACGCAGCCGCGTCGAGTCGCTGCAATTTCACTGGCCCGCCGTGTAGCCGAGGAGATGGGTACACCACTTGGATCTCATTCGCCTGCTAGCAAAGTTGGCTACTCGGTGCGATTTGATACATCTACATCGCCCAGTACGCGGGTCAAGTTCTTGACTGAGGGAATGCTGCTCCAGGAGATGTTGCACGATCCGAATTTGACTAAGTACAGCGCTATTGTTGTCGATGAGGTTCACGAACGAGGTATCAATGTGGATCTGACACTTGGATTCCTACGTAACCTTGTATCCGGGAAGAAGGAGGGCCGGGGTGGTGTGCCGCTCAAGGTCATTGTCATGAGTGCCACGGCTGACATGGAGAGTCTAACGGACTTCTTCCAGCAAGGATTTACAAAACAGGAGCCACAACAGAAGGCTATCGAAACAGCCGAGGCCGAAGCCAATAGAACGGATGCTTCGAGTCAAAAGGACATCTCTGTTTGCCGCATAAAGGGTCGACAATTCGCAGTCAAAACTATCTACTCGCCCGCGCCAGTACATGACTTCGTGGATGCAGCGCTCAAAACTATCTTCCAGATTCACCAGAAGGAACCACTGCCAGGTGATATCCTGGTTTTCCTCACTGGACAAGAAACCGTCGAGGCCTTGGAACATCTGGTGAATGAATATGCCATGAGCATGGACCCGTCGCTTCCCAAAATTCTGGTTCTACCTCTGTTCGCCGCGCTGCCACAGGCTGCCCAGCAACGTGTCTTCACCCCTGCTCCACCACGAACGCGCAAGGTTGTTCTGTCCACGAACATTGCCGAGACTTCCGTCACTGTGTCCGGTGTGCGGCACGTGATCGACTGCGGCAAGGCCAAAGTCAAGCAGTTCCGCACTCGCCTTGGTCTTGACTCGCTCCTGGTGAAGCCCATCTCCAAGTCAGCCGCAATCCAGCGAAAGGGTCGAGCTGGTCGTGAGGCCCCTGGCCAATGTTTCCGACTATACACAGAGAAGGACTATCTAGCCTTGGATGAGACAAACACGCCCGAGATTCTGCGTTGTGATCTGAGCCAAGCCCTGCTGAATATGAAGGCGCGTGGTGTTGATGACATTGTTGGATTCCCATTCCTGACCCGGCCACCACGCGAAGCACTTGAGAAAGCCCTTCTGCAGCTATTAAACATTAATGCCCTTGAGGATGATGGAAAAATCAGCGCCGTCGGTTTACACATTGCCAAGCTGCCCTTGACTCCAACTCTAGGACGTGTGCTGTTGGCAGGTGCCGAGAACGGGCATGAATGCTTGCTAGATGTTATTGACATTATCTCATGTCTCAGTGTGGAGAACATTTTCTTAAACACCACCTCAGAAGAAAAGAAGGAGGCAGCGGAGGCAGCCCGTCGCGATTTATACCGGCGGGAGGGCGATCACCTCACAATGCTGATGACTGTACGTGTCTATGCCGCTGAACAAGCCGACCGCAAGGCATGGGCAGAACGCCATCTGGTATCCCATCGGGCGATGCAATCAGTAATGGTGAGTAGAACACAATTCCCGGGGGCCAGTCATCACACACTAACAAATCACACTAGGACGTGCGCAAACAGCTCCGCACCCAATGTCGGCAAGCCAAGCTACTCACCAACGAAGCCTTGAACATCACCTCATCGCACGACCCCTCGCCCATCCTCATTCTCCAGAGTTTTCTAGCCGGATTCGCGACCAATACGGCGCGTCTCGTGCCCGATGGTAGTTATCGTACGATCGTTGGAAACCAAACCGTCGCCATTCACCCATCGAGTGTGCTTTATGGCAAGAAGCTCGAGGCGATCATGTATAATGAATTTGTGTTCACCAACCGCAGTTACGCGCGTGGTGTGAGCGCCGTGCAGATGGATTGGGTGGGAGAGGCTTTGGCTGGGACGGATTGATCGTCGGCCCAAGATGCTATATTAGTAGGCAAATATATACCCCGTCAGCGATGGTACCAGTTAGACTGGCACTTTTTCCTTTCTACAACAATCTCCACCTGTTTATCTCTCTTTCGGGCAAATTCTAAAAATATCCTGCCACTAAGATTTCATGCGTTTGTGGGCAAATCGTGATCGAGAACGCGTGGAAAGAGGACAGTTCTCGTGCTGTGGAATTTAAGAAATACCAAACCTATGCAGTTTGATTGCTCTCAACATAACGTCGTTTCAGTCGTGTCCGATTTACGTTCGATTAGATCTAGAGATCTACAACCAACCACCGTGGACATTACTCCGTACTCTACTTGATGTTCGGTATCACGAACGACCAACCCTCGAATTTCCTTCGAACCAACTGCTTGGTCTGTGAATCTACGATATTCAACTCCCTTGCCCCTGCGGATTGCCACTACTACTCACCCTGTCAAGTGCTACGTGATTCAGGCTAGAACTTGAGCTAACAGGGTCCCTTTTCTTAACCGTTTGCTATCCGTCGCAACCTAGTATAGGGGGGCAACTGAGGGGTAGTAATTAGCGTGCAAGTGAAAGCGTGACAGCATGGTTGCAAGGGTGATATCAAAGTACGATGTAGTGATCATTCTTCGAAAGACCCATCTTGTTAGCTGTTGAGAGCAAAATAAGACTGGTGGTAAGTTCACACGTCACTGTGTTGATGCCGGCGTCAGCTGATGAGGATCCAAAAGTCCTCAAACCATACCCACATAGGTAGATTGCTCCTCGAAACAGACTAACGAAGTAAAAAAGCGATCAACTCAGTTGAAAGGTGGTCTCACCATTCCGATCCCGGTTGCATCATTGGAGGATCATTTGGGCGATCTCCGCTTATCAGCTAATCTCTCCATCACCGACATCATCGTCCTTTCGTTGTGGACTTGGATCTTCTATTGACCACGCCGAGAATTGTTTTTGCTACACTAGTCTCCGTTATAAGCTTTGATGCCTCTATTCCCCGCTTGGGTGGCCTTGGCTCTCTCCTGTGATCTCTAAATCCATCAAACACACTTTCCGTACCGATCTGCTTAATAGCTACAACTCGATCAACACGATGGCCTTCCAGGCCCCAACACAGGTCCCTCGTCGCAGAACATCCTATTCCACACCTCACCCGCCTACTCTCACCATCCCCTCCCCCTCCCCGGAACAACGCGATGACAACACTGCAAAATGGGTCCTCTTCTCCCCGACCGCTCGGACGCACACGACTTCAACCGATCGCACGCGTACTGTAGGTCCTGAACGACTCAGTGATTTCGGCTCATTTGCTGCAATCCAGTCTATTTCTGGCGCCGCAGCCAACGACGATGACGAGAATGCCCTCGACGACCAATTGGACGAAGATGGAACCGAACTGGATAGCCTAGATGATGGACTGCACGCCTTTCGAGCACCAGAGCTAGCCCCAGCTTCCCTAACACGGTTTGATCAGGGGCCGCCTGCGATGCTCCCAGCTCATGACGGGTTAGGAAGTTTCCAGGCATCGAGTCAGGCAGTCCAGGATCAGCTGTGGCAGCATGAGCAATACAACCCTCAGCGGCCCGCGTATGGCCACCTCCACCGTCGCCGTAACTCAAGTGTGCAGAGGCATTTAGATACTGTCGAAGAGGGCGATGCAAATTTTGAGCGGGAACGGTGGCAGCGAATCGAAGAATGGCGGATGGACCAGAGCCGGGCTCTGCTGCAGGAGATCGAACGGGAAACCCGGCAGAGGAGGTCTAGTCTGAACAGCCAATCGAGCCTTCATCATTCCATTGATCACAGCACCCAAACTCGTGTATCTGATGTGCTATTGCGGGATATTTCCCTGTCGAAAGACGTCTCGGAGGACGATGACTCTTTCTGGCGCCGTATCACGCGAACGGTGATCCGTGACCTGATCGGGATTGATGATTCGTTGCTCTCCGTGATCTTTGGTGAGACGTTGCCGCTGGACGCGCAATCTCGTACCCAGGAAGATCCACTAGACATGGAAACGTTACTGGCTCGTGAACCCGAGCCAGAGTTTGGCGATTCATCGCTGTGGCAGGCAAAAGTGCTTCAGACAATCGCTCATGAGCTTGGGATCCTTGTCCATCAACTTTGTGAACACCCCGGCGCATTTTCAACGTATTATCAAATGACGAAAGATATATCCGCCGAATATGCGGGGATGTCTCTCCACCGTCTAGCGGAAAGCGAAATCTCTCAGCAACCCGCCGAGTCCACCGTATCAATCTCTGCTGATACAACTGGCGCTTCCATGCTATCCCCGCAATTTTTGCCCACCCTCCGAGGCTCAAATCGAGACCACGAAGCACAGTGGGGGATTGATGAGGATCCAAAACGATCCGAACAACTCCCCGAATCAACAAAACGTCAACATGAATCCGAGTACTGGGAAAGCGGACTGGATGTAATGATGGTCTTCCGCTACCTCCGCAACCGCTTCAGCCGCCGAGGTTACATGCCCAACGAAACTAACACACCAACCTCACCCTGCCTCCCGCAAGATGCATCCCGCCGAGCAGCCATCATCCGGCAACATCACCCACTCGTAGCGCGAGCATACTCCCAATCTCAAACTCCGAATCGTCGCGCATCACAATTTTCCGGCGTGTCAAACACAGCGGGTGTCTCCTCGCCACTTGTACGACCGCATCCCCGGCGACCTGGCTCCAGTTGCGCCAGCCAGAGCGCCAAGCTTTCTGCTATCTCTAGCCGGCGGACAATGACAAGTTCTAGCCGGAATTACTGGGATATTGGAGGCAGTGAGACCAACAGCGCTATTGGTGTTGGAGCTGGGCTTGGCAATTGGGGTGAGGTGTGAATGGATACTCTCATCTTCCCAGAGCATATTATGCATCCATTGAAGTGGTTAGAAAATAATGTTTCCCCTGGTATCGCTTACCATCTTCGGCGCATACTGTTTCTTGATCATTCAACGAGCAAGCAATTTCTGATTAATCGACTTTTTGTTTATACCTGTGGATTACAGCTTGAGGGTTTGTTCTTTTCGGTTTCTTTCACTTCATATATGGGAACTCGAACATTCAACATACATAATTGTCATTAACCGATACATCTCGGCTAAAAGTCCGCAGGTGGAATAAATATGCTACGTTTGAACCCTCAGTGCGACTAATTATCTAGATGTATATCACAATCCGATTTTCTGCATACTGGAGAGCACCACCGTTCCATCACTTGATCAGCTCAATCATAACGATACAGCTCAGTTCATCCAAAACCAGGCGATTCTCGGGTCTCTTGCGAGTACAAACCTCCACCCCAACATCCAAAAGAGGAATGAACTATCCCACCGATTTTGTGATCGGTAAACTCCGGTATCTCATGTCCCTTTCAGGCGCACCAAGGCCATCGATGTCTGATCTCTCCGTCCGTCCAGCGTCGAAGCATAGTTCGCTCGAACCCCCAAGAGCTCGCAACTACTGGACATGTGGAGTGACTGTGCTTTGAGGAAAGACAATTCGCAGTCTCGGCGTGGCCGAAATTTGTAAAGGGATGTCGGTTATTGTGTATCCCATATTGACCATTCTGGTGAGTGTATAGGCTAGTATAGGCGACGGAATGACCAACACTGCAAGAAGCAGTTGACGTGAAAGCCTGGTTGAATTTGGTCACCCCGCAGGCAAGCTGGTCCAGGGTTTGGGTTTGAATCTTCGTGTTTCCGTAGCAGCCGAGTTGTTTACCTAGATCTTCGGCGATCATGAGGAGGGTGTTGAGATTAGCCACGATTGAAATGAGAGATTAATGAGTTTTCATCTTCAAAGCAGTTTCTTAGGACCTGACCATCCCTCTCAATAAGTACCGGAATCTATACTCACAGCTGGTATTGGTGATCAGTCGGCAAATTATGCGAAAGTGCGAATATCTATGATCTTTCCCTTTAAAGATTGATGGCAAGAGCCTGCGATTCTCAGATGCAAAATCACTGGCTTTATTCACTGACTGATTCTCACCAGGTCTATAATTCTATTGTGTGATCACACTCGTCGGATCGGAAGCTGCGCAACTGCATTCATCTTGAGTAGCATCACTGCCAGAATTTCACAAACGTTCCAACTTAATCTTCAAAGCTCTGCTGATGTCCTATGTACTCAGTCGGATACCCTTGCAACCCATTGCTGAGCGAGATAAACCGCCGTAGCCACAAATACCCCGGATTGATAACCGATCTGTCGTGAAACAGCCTTTACATTCGGCCACCGAGGTCCAACAAGATAGTTCCAAAAATTCCCAAGTCCTCATCTTGCGGCACTTCAGGATCATGGGATACGGCAGATATGGCTGGAATGAACTCCCTTTGTCCCCAGAGAATCCAACTGGTGGTCAACCAGAGGCCGATAGTTTCTTATCATTTCTAGCTTTGTAGCATGATTGACTAGATACATTGGCCACTTTGATCATTTTTGGATAGATGTAGACTCCAGCAACTCGCACAAACCCGAAGCCTACGTAGAGGCTAGACCTGGAGTTGCGTTTCCAATGTGCTTCAGGTTTAATCACCTGTGAAAGCTCAAGTTCCACACGAAACAATTGTGCGATCTTATGTCATTGAAACCATTGAATCGCTTTCAATAATTGGATAGCAAGCAGCGCTCCGAGGTCCCGTGGAAAGAAACACGGCATGAAACACGGCATGAAACACGACATGATATCGAGCGACTTTCCACCGAACACACCACTTCTGAGCTCTGAGCTCTGAGCTAGTGTTGGCTATAAAGAGGGCATGGACGAGGAGCGAGGCCATCGTGTTGTGACTTTGCTCACCTTACCATTCGACAATGGCTGTCCCAGCTCCGAGTTCATATGACTTTTATGACTTTATTGTGGTGGGTGGTGGAACCGCTGGGAATGTCGTTGCAGGTAGATTGGCAGAGAATCCCAACGTGAAAATTCTCGTGATTGAAGCTGGAATGGGGCAAGTATTCTGTATATACCTGCCACTCACTCCACTGACGTGGCAATAGTAATCCCAATGACATCTCAATGATTACAACGCCCGCTCGCGCATTCGAACTCCGAAACAGCAAGTTTGACTGGTCCTACCAGACGACCTTCGTCGACAAGCCTGACTACGAACGCGTTGAGAAACCAAATACCCGTGGCAAGGTCCTTGGTGGAAGTAGCAGCTTAAACTATTTCACCTGGATTCCTGGTAGTAGGGAAACATTCGATGCGTGGCAAGAATACGGTGGGGATAAATGGACATGGGAAAAGTGCAAACACTATTTTGAAAAGGCACACTACCAGTTTTGGCAGTTGACCGGAGTAACATTTGCTAACAAGCTCATATAAAAGCCATCTTCATATCACGATGATGAAAGAATGTGTGATCCGCGATTTTCCAGCCTCGCACGGGAAGGTCCACTCCACATATCCCACGCAACTTTGCTCCCAGAAACTCGCGATTTCCGAGATGCTCTAATAGAGGCATGGACTAGCAAAGGCCATGCGTTGAGAGAAGACATCTATAATGGCAGACTGGACGGTCTCGCTCACTGTGTTAGTACGGTCTATGAAGGGGTCCGGTCAAGCAGCGCAGTATACGTGACCGGGAAAGAAAATGTGGAGATACTGCATTCCACCATCGCAACAAAGATCAACTTAGAAGGTGCTACTGCAGTGAGTGTCACTGTTGTTGGGGCAGATCAGAACGAGACCACACTGAAGGCAACGAAAGAGATCATTATCGCGGGTGGAGTTTTTGAAACACCCAAGTTATTGCTTCTTTCCGGTATCGGTCCCAGGCGTGAACTAGCTCGTCATGGAATCGATCCAGTGATAATTTCTGAGCATGTGGGTGAGCATCTTCTTGACCATCCGATTCTTCCACATGTATTTAGATTGAAGGATGGCCTGGGTCTGGACCACATTCTCCTTCGGGAGGGACCTGCCCATGATGCTGCCGTGAAGCAGTATGATGAGGATAAAACAGGTCCATTGGCTAGTGGCCTCCTTGAGATTGTTGCCTTTCCACGCATCGATGCGCAACTCGACGAGCACAAAATGTACCACAGAGCGAGGGCGAACAACGGAGGCAAAGATCCTTTCGGACCTGAAGGTCAACCTCATTTTGAGATTGACTTTATCGTATGTGGATGATCGACGGCTGCAGAGATAGGATTGCTAATTCAACTAGCCCATGTTCTGTGATGCGTTTCAGTGGCACTTCGATATCCCACCAGAGGGAGATTGGTTAACCGTAGTCGTCGACCTTCTTCATCCACAGTCAAAGCACGGGTATGTCCGACTCACTTCGATGGATCCACGTGAACAGCCTGACATCAATCTTAATTACTTTACCGACGAGCTGGATATACTTGCTTTGAGGGAAGGTGTACGATTCATTGATGAGATCCTAATGAATGGCGCTGGGATGAAAGAGGTCATTGCTGAGGACTTTCCGTGGCCCTTGCCCCGTGAGTCGGATGAAGAGATGGATCGTCTGATTTTGGATCGGGCGCAGACTGGATATCGTAAGTTGAGCGCGATGTTGTGGTTTGAATTTGAAAACTAATTCTGACAGATCCCTGTGGCACTGCCAGACTGTCTCACGACATTGACCAAGGTGTGGTAGACTCTGAGCTGAGGGTTCACGGTGCCAAGAGGCTTCGCATTATCGATGCGTCCATCATTCCTGTTATTCCGGACTGCCGGATCCAAAATTCGGTGTATATGATTGGAGAAAAGGTATGTAAATGAACAAAAAATAAGAAAAAATAAAAATAAACCCGGTGAAATTGGATTCTGATCCTGTTAGGGTGCCGATATTATCAAAGCGGCTTATCCGGAGCTATACAAATGAGCATCAGTTCATGGACAACTTCTTGAGTAGCTGGTTTTCTTTTCGAAATGTTTAACTACCATCTTCTGTCTATTTGGTGTGTCGAGCCATTTCATCTTACATATGAACTGATTGTGGCATCGCGGCTTAAGCAACTACTCTTTGCTAGCCTTTTTGGCACTCTCTTTTCGGTGTTTCAAGGTGATCTTTTCAATATCAAAAATAGGATTCCTCTTGTAGCGTTATGATAAGCAACGCTAAGTTGTGAAATTGAATCTCGACTTTACATTATACGATGCGCCTGCATCGGTATTTATTTTCCCGCAACGAGGAGATTGGAAGATTATGCCCTAAAGGAGCCCCCATTCTAGGGAATTTTTTAGCTTCTATAGTGGTAGCACAATTTTTAGGTCTTTATTCTCGTCAGCCTGCCATGGCCTAACGAAAGTGGAACCGGCGCTAGTGCACATGTTTATATCTTTGATCGACGAGGAGATTTGCCTGTATGAATGCGCTACGATATCTTTTATCATCTTCTTTCTGCAATCTCTAGAAATCGTATTACGTAGAAAATGGGAGATCAGAAGACAGGGTTCATGCTTAGGAAAGAGTATGAGAATCTTTGTGAGCCTCACGGCCTATTCTTTACACTAGCTATGAAAAACAATTCAACCCCAGTCCTTAAAGATTTATAGAAGAGAGCAGATCTGTAAGGATCTTGCGGACACATTTACCCTTTCAATCCGTCGTTTTGACAGCAATCCAGCTTATTTGTTTGAATGTGAGAACTTGAATCTGCAATTTTCCATCATCAGGAATGGACCAAACCAAAAGCCGGTGCTCTAAATTGATCTGAGTCATGAAAAACGAATCAGATATCTTGGCTCCGTCCACTAACGACAAAGGACTATTCTCAGCACCACCCAAATGGTTTAACATGGATCAAAATCAGGCAGTCAAAAGCCACTCCAACCACCGCGTTGTCCTTCTCGGTCAGATTTACAAGAACAAAGGGGAAAGTTGCGTTGATCAAAATTCGCAAGAACAATCTTCCTATAGGTCTGAACATGAAAGTTTTCCTATTCGGCGTAAACTATTAGAGCGGACTAATTAGACTAGAGATTGAAAAGCGGCTTTTAAGGGGCAGTTATTTACCTAATAATTCTTATCTCTATAGAGGAAGTATACCCTAGTCGCTACCGAATCGGTGCTACTTCCCTTTTAGTCTAGAGTTATAGTATTAACACTAAAGGTATAGGATTTCTCTTAATGTCCTAAGCCTCCGCGGCCTTGGCCTCTACCTCGCTTTATAACTCTTCCTCTGGGGTTTTTATAGCCCCTTATTCCTCTACGTCCTCCGCGAAAGAGGGAGGTTACTAAAGCAGAGGTACCGGTTAGCTACCGATTTAGTGCTATGTCGTAATAGTTTCCTTTCCTTCGATTATCTTAATTTTATACTAAGTAGTCTTTTTAGTACAAAATGTATATAGTGTTACCAGCCAGTTCTTTAAACAAAAGAGTGCATTTCAACGAGAATACCAAGTACAGAGAAAGAAGAAGAAAGAAAGAAAGAAAGAAACCTGCGAGACAGGAACCTTTATGGGGTCCTGTCACGATCCAACAATCAAACAAACCTCGTCAAGACGGAAACTTCCGGCAGATCCTCCCAGATCGTCACATATAGAAGAGTATTATATTCAATATCTTATATCTTATACTTAGGAGTTATAAAGGTATACTGTTTGTAGGCGTAAGACCTGTCAACTAGGTAAGATATAAAAGGGAGAAGAGGAACTATATTGTCTCTAATGTACTAAGCCTAATTCTTACTAGAATTAATAGGAATCCCCGGGGATCCTAGACTATAGGGAAAACTATCCTTAGGTACTAACTAAAACGAGTCTAACCCGAGCCACTCTTTTATCGGCAGTTATTCGGTACCGATCCGGCACTATCAGATAATCCCTGTTCCTGGGTTGTAAGGATCTTTATCCGTTACAGTCTCACTGGCCTGACAACTCAGCAGTTCTTTTACACTTTGCTACGCTACTCCCTAGCTAATTCTACTTACCTAGTTTACTTTAGAGACTTTGATAGATATTCTTCCTATTGTTAGATCTATTGTAGTACTTAAAAAGAGGTAGGTTCTTCCTATCCTTCTTACTCTTAGTACTTAGGTATTCCGATTTTTCTACTTACTATTTGTCACGGTGCGAACCGTGATGCTTAGTTAGAAT